TGACATCTCCTCACGACAAAGCATTACTAAACCACTACTCAAATATTGTCGCCTCAGTGCTATCAAGGCATCCCAACACGGCATCAAACCCCTACCTCAGCTATCTCGTACCCATGGCCGTCTCAAACCAGCTCATCCTTCACTGTGTCCTCGCTTTGAGCGCAACGCACTGGCAGAAGCTACAACCCGATATGCGAGACAGGGCATTGTACCATAAAGGCCAAGCGACACAATCTTTGGCCGGTCTTCTGCCTCATGTAGACGGCGGTTCGGTGGACGTTGCGCTGGTGTCTTGTCTGCTTCTGTGCATGTCGGAGCTGTTTGATGGTACCTCGGCAGGATGGAAGCTTCATCTCCAGGGCGCAAAACGACTCCTCTCGACAGTCAAGTCGCAGACTGGTGGCAATCTGGCAGGTCACTTCAAGTTCTTCGTCAAGCTGGCACGCTTCTTAGACAGTGCAGCGACAACGAGCACCTGCAAGCCTCCTCTGATAGACGACAGGACAGTGGCGACTACACCTGAGCCGACTGAAGATTCCAGCAACGATGATGCAGCAGTTTATGGGATACCGAAAGAACTGTTCCACATGGTCGATCGTGTGAACAACCTGGCTAGCAAGCGAGGAACAAGAGTCGATGAGGCTTCAGAGGCGCTTTTCCGGGAAGAAGCTGAAAGAGTTCAAGGACGACTGGATAACTGGGCATACGACTATGGTGGCCTCGCAGGCGCCGTCGCGTCCTTGTCACCAACCAACGACGACGTACTCCACGCAACAACCGCATACGAATGGGCACTCCGCCTCCGACTTCACCAAATCACAGAGGGCTACTCGCTCACAGAAAAGGTATTCGAGTGTGTCCAGCACATTCTCGACTCCGCACAAAAGATTCGTTATGGCAGTCCCCTCGAGAGCTGCTTACTATTTCCTCTGGTGATGGCAGGCGGTGCATGCAACTGTCTTGAGCAGAGGATGGTTGTGCAAGATAGGCTGATGATTATGGAGCGGACTTGTGGGTTTGGATATGTACATCAGAGCCGTGAGCTGGTTGAGACGGTTTGGAAGAGAAGAGAGACCGAGAGCATGGTTAACTGGGCTAGGATTCGGTATGAGGAGATGGGCGGATTAGCACTCTACTGATGGCGATACACGGTAATGACGCAATTGTACTTGTGAAATATGTGGAAGAAAGGCTATGAAAGGAGAGGACTATTTTAACAGGCTATACATAAATAAGCTCTGACTCCTACGACGAGACTTGCGCATCATTGACCAACCCAGCGATGTGAGCATGCATATCATAAGCACAGACCTCATCAATCGTCAACATCCCCGGCTTCGTATTCTTGCTCGACCACCCAATCCTTTCATTCAAGTTCTCCCTCGCACGCTTGCTCGCTTCTTGCAATCTTGTAGCACGTGGCTTTCGCTCCGCCTCGTACAACTTGAGACGCTTCTCAACGCTCAAGTCTGAGTATTTGTCTGAAAAGAGGATGCCCAGGGCCCCCGCGTCTTCAATGGCCATACAAGCACCCTGACTTTGATCTGGCATCATGGGATGCGCAGCATCGCCCAGCAGTGTGCAGCGGCCCTTGGTCCAGTAGGGATAAGGATCGTGGTTGTATAGACGCCACATCTTGATGTCTTCGGCGTTGAGGAAGAGCTTGATGAGCTTGGGGTCTAGGCCAGGGAAGGTAGAAGCAAGGACGTCGCCAGTGGTGGAGATGTTCCATCCATCTTCCTTGGTATCATTCTTCTCGGCAGGATAAAAGCAGTAGCATGAAACAACGTTGTTATCGCTGCATGCTGACAGCACGATCTTGGTCTTTGTGTCACCTCCCCAGAACTCGATTGCCTCGTTGTTGATATACTCCTCCAGGCCAAGCTCACGTAGCTTGTCGGCGTAGATGATGCAGCGATAACAGCATGATGTGCTGGGCACGAAGTTTGGAATGACACCAAGTTGCTCACGCATCACACTTCGGATACCGTCTGCGCAAATGATGGCATCATGTGTAGCCTCATTACCGTTCTCAAAAGTGATATGACCAGTTTCAGTGTCAAGCTTGGATGCCTTGTGCCATGTCTTTAGCTCAGCAGGACGACCTTTGCCATTTTCCGACAAAGCTGTGTCCTTGAGGTGATTATGCAAATCGATTCGATGGAAGTTGTTGTAGTCTGTGCCAAAGCGTTCGCGATAGTCTCCCAAAGGGTATGTGCCTTCGACTTCTCCAGTAGAATAGTCATGGCGAATGAGGTTGCGCAGGATCACTGGCTTGGCAGCGGGAATGTCAACGTCCCATTCTTCCAAGAAGCGAGAGCCGTTGGAGGCGACTGAGAGAGATGCACCGACTTCACCACCAAAGTCGTAGCGCTCGTAGAGAGTGACTTGGTGGCCGGCTCGTCGGAGGGCGATGGCGGCGGAGAGACCACCAAGACCGGAGCCGATGATGCCTATTGAGAGAGACGTTTCTGTTCGTCCAGGCATGTTGTGTCGTGAAGAGTTTGTGTGAGTAAGTTGAGGCTATAATTGAGCCGTTTGGCTTAGTGATACAGAGAGGTGCTACAAGGTGCAATGAAGTACTTTTGTAAAATGTGATTGCGTGTATTGACGAGAAGATTGCAATTGAAGTTCCAATTATATGTATTGCAGTCTTATGTCCGGCGCTCAAGTCCTGTCATCACTCTCGTCTCACATCATACCAACACCAGCCTGTTCCGCCCTCCGACGACTGATGCTGAAGACCACTATCTCAAACCGCGCGGACCGCTATCAGCACGAGAAACCCAAAAGTCATCCCTGAGACCTCGAAGCGACGGGCGGGGAAGCAATCCACATGATTTCATTGGTCCCGCCCGTCAGGATCCGACGGTTGCAGCTTTATCGCGGTCTAGCCCAATCCAGATAGAGTTTACCGACGTATCATCATTCCCCAGGTTTTTGGAGTCCAGACTCGGAGCTATGACTTGAACTCTGTCAAGATAACATTGCGACTGCTCATGTTTGGCTGGTTGAGGTCGTAAAGGTGGTATCGCAGGCTTGAGGTACTTAACCCTGTCTTGTCGTCCCATTGAGGCATCTCCTTTTGGCTTCAGTACAGGCTGCCTTCGTCTATCGATTGCTACCTTGCCATCAATCGAACTCTTCACTCAAGTATCTGACTCTTACTTCAACTCACAACAACAGCTTGTATTGCTAGATCGGTGAGTACCTGATAGCTTGCACTGTCTGCATCTGTCTAACATCTTCTTACAGGATCACCATGACTCCCACCGACAACGAGAAGACCCCAGACATCATGCGTCCTCCCTCCGTCACCAAAGGCTCAGTCCAAGATGTCATCAGCGAAACATCTCTGAAGCCAATCACCCGCAAAGTCGACTACCATCTCGTTCCTCTTATGCTAGTCTGCTACTTCCTCCAATTCCTCGACAAAGTCCTGATCAACTATGCCAACATCATGGGTCTTTCTGAGAACCTCCACTTCAAAGGAAATGACTTCTCTTGGATGGCTACCGCTTTCTTCATCGGGTTCGCTGTTGCTGAGTTTCCTCAGGGTGTCTTAATCCAGAAGTTCCCTGTCAGCAAGGTCCTTGGCCTTAACGTTGTTCTCTGGGGTATTGTTATCTGCTGCTCGTCTGCCGCGCATAACTTCCCTGGAATGACAGCTGCGAGAACTCTTCTTGGCATGTTCGAAGCGGTCATCTCGCCCGCCTTGATCATGATCACTTCGCAATGGTACACCAGAAGACAAGCCACACCAAGAACCGGTATCTGGTACTGCGGTCTTGGCATCGGTCAGACTGTTGGTGGACTGATCTCGTATGCTGCTCAGCACGGTAGCCGAACCAGCAGTTTCCAGAGCTGGCGCATCATGTTTGTTTCCGTTGGCGCCTTCAATGTCATTGTTGGTCTCCTTGTTCTCTTTTGGATGCCTTCCAGTATCAAGGATGCCAAGTTCCTCACGGAGCAGGAGCAGATCATGCTTCAAGAAGCGCTTGATGCTGACCAGGGAGGGAAAAGCGCCAAGGTCTTCCGACGCGCTGGTATTTGGGATGCTCTAAAAGACATTCAAGTTTGGCTGCTTTTCCTCAACACTATTCTCATTGTTATCCCATCCGGTATCATTACGACCTTCTCTGCAACCCTCATCCGTGGCTTCGGCTATGACCCCAAGCAAGCCGCCCTTCTCAACATGCCTGCTGGCGTTGTATCAGTGTCGGCCACCTTACTCAGCACTTTCGCCATCCTCTACGGATTTCCACGCTGGTTGGGTCTCTGCCTCCTCATGGTCCCAACTCTGATTGGCGCTGGTCTCATGTCCTTCTACTCCAGCAGTCAAGCTGGCTCACTCGCTGGAATCTACTTGATCAACTTCGACGTTGCACCTCTCGCACTTATCTATGCTCTTGTAGGAGCCAACGTGCAAGGCTATACTAAGAAGGTCACTACCAACGCCATCGTTGCTGTCGGCTTCTCCATTGCCAATATCATTGGCCCCCAGACCTTCCAAGCGAAAGATGCGCCGAAATTCCTCCCAGCGAAGATAACCGTCTTCTGTGTCTGTGGCGCATCTGTTGTTGTTACTATTCTGACTCGAATTCTTTATGGCCTTCGAAACAGAAAGGGAAGGGTTTCACAGGATCTTGGGCAGAGTGGAGAGGTTGATCCGGATACCATGACGGATAGGAACAACCCTAACTTCTTCTACGTTTACTAGGCAAGACGGTTGATTTCATAGTAGTTTATCCTTATTCTTTAGAAATGAAATTAAGCCAGTTTAACTATTGCATTTGTCTCTTTGAGAAACCGTTTACCTTAACTCTTGTCATAACACGTTTAGACTCATCACATTACTGAAGTCTTGGTAATTTTAAATATTCAATTGCGCTATTCAAACTAAATGGTCCTCAAAGGAAGATCACCGTGGGTTCGCGATTGGTCCCCCGAACTGCGACCTGTAAGCAAGAACCCTTTGCCAAGGAATCAGATCCATAAGCTCACAGGTCGTTGGCGAAGAAGACAGGCTTAGCAGCATGCTTGTTGACGCGAAGGCTCAGCTGGTCGGGTCGAGAGTAATGGCCGACAATGTCCAAGTTCTGCTTCGCCTTGTACTTCTCCTCAAGGTTGATATCAGCGTAGAGAATACCCTCCTCGTTAGGGGCGAGAGGCTTGACAAGCTCCTCTCCGAAAGGCGAGAAGATCATACTGAAGCCACCGCCAGACTTCTTGGTATAGTCATAGCCATCAACGTTGGCCTTCTTATGGTTCTCCTCAGTCATGATCTGACTTGCCAGGAGAACGAAGCAGGCTCCTTCCATGGAGACGACGTGAGAGAAGGCCTTGCAGCATTCGGGGGTGATGTGGTATGGCCACTCGGGGACGTTCTGGGGGAAGATGGACGGCCAGCTGGAGACGTGGATATCAACGTCCTGAGAGTATTCGTAGTAGCGGAGAAGTGTTTGGGTGTGCTCCCAGCAGTTAAGACCAGCAACCCTTCCGAACTTGGTGTCAGCGACGTTAGTCAGAGACTCGCCCTGTCCGTCACCGTAGATAGCACGCTCAACATGTGTAGGCTTGATCTTGCGACGGTGAAGCACAATAGTGCCGGTCTCGTCAATGAAAGACTTTTGCCGTTAGTATGCCGAAAGTCTCACTTGGTAGCACAACTCACCTGTGCGATGTAAAGAGTTCCCCTGTATCTCTCACTATATCCAAGGACTACAAAGACGCCTGCCTCTCGGACAGCAGCTCGGATCTGGTCCATCTCAGGTGACTCTCTCTCCATAGAGTTCTTGAAGTACTCATTGATCCATGGTGCGTTCTCGGTAGGCGAGTTGGCCCAGATGCTCCTAGAAATGAATAAGCTGATCTGCCCATGTTTCGCAAGTCTCCTACTTACCATGGATATCCAGGAATGAAGACTTCAGGGAAGCCAATGACATTGGCACCTTCCTTTGCTGCCTCTTGGATGAGGCCGATGGACTTGTTGACACCGCCCTGGAGATCGTTCCAGACGGGCTCGGCTTGGATGGCGGCGACCTTGAGAGACTTGGACATCTTGATAGATTGTTGTTGGGTTGGGGTTGTGGATTTGTGTTGGTTGTTATTTTGCTGATGCTTGTGTTGGACTGAGAAGGATGATGAGATGACGAATCTGAGGGCGATTTGCTCTTTACTTATAGTCGCGAGACTGATATTCATCGTATGGTAAACATACGATGATGTTTCCTATCTCAGCATCTATCTATCCTTTGGTGGGGTTTGTTTTGAGGGGTCTATCCGGATATCAGATTACCTGATGATCATCAAGGTCGGGTGATTGATTCCCGGATAAATCCCCCTCCTTGACCCCAGATACCCCAGATACGCCAAACTTAATCTCCGCACGCCGGATTTATGATATCCGCAATCCTACAATAGGGTACACTTAATGCACGATGGCTTACGTGGCCACGTGTCAGACCTCGCTCATATCAGAAGCAGGATAATCAATATCCAAGAACTGCATTAAGCTATATAGACAAACTGGTATTACCGAAAACGAGCCCTCATTAAAGTCCCAAACTAAACAAAAAAGTCCAGAGATGACTCCCCAAAACACTGATCATACGTCCAAGACTCAAAGATATCGTCCAACGAATAAACATGCTCAAAGCTACTCTCTGTGCCCTCATGGAAAACCACCAGATCATCCATTTCATACCGTTCAAATTGTCGTCGACTCTCTTCATTGATCTCTTGTGCGAGACCATGTGCCCAAATGTCAATCTCCCATTCTCGTGCTAGCGACAAGATTGCTCGAATAGACCGGTTGGCCCAGTTCCAGTTCACATTCATCTCATAGAGGGATTTGACACATATATAGAGACACCTCATGGCCTCGCTTCTGCCGTGGTTTCCTGTTGATTTAATGTGAAGAAGATGGATGATTGATGCAGTGAAGGCTGGGTGGACTGCTGAGACAGGTATATTTCGCTAGACTGTGTCAGTTTGCTGGGGTAGTTAAGGTGAAAGGAGCACATACGATTGTGTAATTCTTCCTAAATATCTGTAGAATCCTCGCCATCTTGACGGCTGACTCCCTGCAGGACTTTGAGTGAATATCTCCACCCTCTGGATCATAGGCGATGGCGTTCTTGCCAGGGTTGAGAAGTTGAAAGAATGGTCGGTGCAGCAATAGTATTGCATGGTGATATTGCAAACTAGTGAATAGTCATTAGTGAGACACCTTTACAGGATCCATAGTTACTCACTGAAACTGATAGACATATGGTGGAGAACATTGAAGACTGGAACTTGAGATTTTCAAACTCTTCGGCAACCGGTCAAAGAGCCCGACAGCTTGTAGATGAGCTTTCATAACTCGATCTTCTCTTTCTTTGTCAGTCCACGCGTATCTCTGGGCATATCTGTATCGTGTCAGTGGCCATCCCTTGTCAGTTAAGTATAGATTTCTCACAGTTGGTCGATGACCTCAGAGGTAGCGAGCAGAAGCTCACAAGTATACATCGAATTCTCCAGAATGTGGCTAGTCGGAAATGGAGCGGAGATTCCATACTGTAAGTCAGATAAGAGTGGGCTATGTTGGACCAGTCCTTTTGGTTTGGTCGTTGTGATGTTGTACTCTTGGATACTCGCTGGCCGACCCATGCCAAGACAATAGAATCTGTTCTGAATGTCAGTATTCACAATCCGTCCGTGCTCTTCAGTTGACGTACTTGTCTAAGACATATACACCCCAGAAAGTGACGTTCCTAGCTTCTACATCATCATCGGATACCAAGCCTTTGGAAGCGTATGGCGAACAGTCGCAATGAAGGCCCAAGTTCATGGCCATTCTTGTCGCCATACCAATATACATGAATCCGAGACCCTCATTGTCAATAGTCGCCCAGTACAGGCCCAGAAGTGCTGTTGCTTGAACTGTAGATGTCGTTGGAGCTTCGCATTCGTAATGAAGCATGGTCTTGGCTTGAGCGGCAAATGCTTCACCAGCCGTGTTGGCGTCATCGGGGTCAGTTCGAAGCTCTAATCTCGGAGAATACCGCGACGACATGGCCAAAATAGCCGCCATGAGCGAAGGCGTGCAGTATCGGCCATTCTTCTCGATGTACAAATCCCGGACGAAGAGCTCTCTTGGGACGATATACTGCCAAGAGTTCTGCCATCGCCAGAAGATCTCCAGTAGGTGGTCGCGCATCTCATCAGAAGGTGTGATGAAGTCAGGCATGTTGTTGGCGGCCTCTATGCCGCGATTTCTGGCCTGAATCGATGATGGAACCTTGATAGCGTGGTTGTGGATGATGGAAAAATTGCTGGATGCACCAAAATAGCGCAACTCTCCAATCTCACCAAGAGTGAAGCAGCCGAGGGCATTCGCGAGATCATCCATGTCTTCTTCGCTTGTGGTACTATTTGGGTCCGGTTGAGAAGCTTGGGTACTGCTTACGAAGGCCACCTCCTCATGGTCACAGTTACTGCTGCCCTTTGCAGAGTCTGGTGTCCCAGGGTCACCATTGCGCTGGGCGAGTTGTTTCTCCAAGCTTGCGACGCGCGCTTCCAACGCGTTGATATATGCATTTGTATGTCGTCTGTCCACATACGTTAGTGTCATTTCTGTCATAATGCTGTCGTGTTGACCTACTTTCTGTTGCTCTCAGCCTGGGTATACTCGCAGGTCTGTTGGCGGTCGTAGCATGCGCTGCATCTTGGCTGACTGCCGTCGCACTGCGTATAGCTCGAGTCAGCTACTGTCACATAGGTAGATTGAGGCCATGCAACGTCACCCGTTCGTATTGAGGCTCAAATCGTGCAGGGAGGGGAGCGTTACCTTTGTCCTCTTGACCCGACACCCGTTACAGGCTACGGAAGCCCGCTTCCTGGGGTTAGGTGGGGCAGAATAGACAGCCGTCGTAGACATGATCAAATGCGTGATTCAGAGACTTGAATTCTTAATGCGTGATCGTGTGAGAAGACAAGGAGCCGCGGCGATGAAATCTGGGGTAATAATTGCAAATTCTCCACTGTCGTTGCTGCCCAGGCCCAGGGCAACGGAAAGGTTTAATGAATCCGAGGCGAAGAAGCTATTCCAAAAGCATGATAGCTTATCTGTAACCCTCTCGGAACGATTGGCATGCTAGAGTCCGAGCTTCACTGCTAAAGCTGATAAAGCTAGATTGGCGGTGTCACTAGTCCTGACCTGGGAAGCATCGTCAAAAGCCGTGATAAATGCATCCCATCGAACGGTCTCGATGTCGTTAGATGAATGGAGGCTTTATTGTCGAGATAGCATTGGGTTACGCAACCTGAACGGCACCTGCACGACTGTCGATCCGCCCGTGGTTCATATCATCAGGGTTCATGAATTGAGCCTCCCTCCTGCGGGTCAGTGTAGGGCAGTAGACTAGACATTCAATCCACATACCAGTCCTGCCAGCCAGACTGTGAACGCAAAGTGTGCTTGGAAGTATCAAATGCTACGCTTGACTCTTTGGAATCAAATCTATTTTATTATGTACAAGAGATAAGATAAAGGACAGAAGATAGGCAATTGCATGTATCTTGAGTTTGCTATCACTTGTGTCTGCCGACATGTTGAATGTGCCCCCCCGCATCTCCCTGCGTTAGCGTCAGGGTATTTGATATCCGGACCGAACACGCCAATCAAGTTGCACCTGTTTCAACACTGACTGGTTGGTTTTCCGACCCCTTTTCTGTTTATCAACAAGGGTTCTTCCAGGTTTCATTGACTTATCAGAACTCGGGGTCTTGTATCTACAGTGTGTAGCTGAACCAACGCCAAAAAGGAGACGAAATGATGATTTCGATGACGTATGACACCTGAGCACAAAGCCCCAATTCGTGGGACAGACGAACCAATCAGCACCTGCAGCTTGCCAATTTCGATGCTACATCCAAATAGGAAATTCATAACTCCGCCGAGTTCGCCTTGACCTCTACCCACTTTTGCCTGTCGCAAAAGGCCCTCACAAGCGAAAATGGTAGCCTCTCGGATAACAGACTTTAACATGCCGACGTTGGAGACAAGGACATGTCTTCCCAGCCGAATGGTTTTATGACATCAAGCAGCCTGCCAAGGAGGCAACCTCGGCGCAGTAAGGGGTGCCTGACGTGCCGCAAACGCAGGGTCAAATGCGGTATGTCGTTATCGCGCAGGGATTCTGTTCACGGCTGATGACCATAGATGAACAACGACCAACGTGTGAGAGGTGCAATAAAGGCTTTCATCCATGCCAATACGATGACAAGCTTGTATTTGTGAATCACATACGTGATGCTGCAAAAACTGTCCGACCTCAAGGTCTCAAGCCTCAGAGTCCCAATGCCTTGACCCAAAGGGAGGATGTCAAGCACATACCTGCCTCAATCGACTTGCAGGGCTTTAAAAATGAAGTAGTCATATCATTCTTCGTCAAAAACCTATTCGTCTGGATCAAGTCATCCCTCGAAGACGAATCGCCAATCCTCAATATTTTCTCTGGCAAGGCAGACTCAACAGCAGGCATGTCAGGTTTATGCGTTGCAGAAGCCTTCTTCTCGACTACGCACTCCATACCTGAAATGAAGTTCCATGCTTCTGAACTGTACGGAAGAGCGGTCCAAAAGCTGAAAACCGATCTTGGAACGAAGACGGAAACCTCGAGGTCTCTGCCTCATGCCACAATATGGAGTGCACTGTTCCTTGGTGTATATGAGATGATATCTTCTGATTCCATGTCAAACTGGCTACAGCACTGCCATGGAGTTGCGGCACTGGTATGAAACTCTCGTAACATGCTGATTGGCTTTTGCTAACTCTGGAAGACGGAAATGACGGGACCTTATGGTTTTCAGATGGATGCGGCAAAGGCCATTCTGCAAATCAACAGATCATTCATAGTAAGTTATTTTTTACTTTAAAACTGACCCGTCACTAACGCCTTTCAGTCTATCGGCGCTATGGCCAACCGAAAACGCACCTTTTTGGAACAGGATGAGTGGAAGCATATACCATGGGCATTGCAACCCATGTCCAAGACGATTGGGGATTACCTACAAGACATTCTATGTGACATCCCTGGCATGATGGAAGACGTCGATCATCTCTTCAATACGAATGATTGCCAGGTGTCTGCAAATTTCATAAGTCAAAAGCTGCAGGGTTCTTTTGAGCAACTCAACTCTTTACGAATATCGTGGAACTTCATGCATCCTCATAGTTGCTGGAGACAAAAGACGGTGCGCGAATTCTCAGAAATTTACCATGGTACAGTCGAGCAAGTCCTATGGTTCTCTGACCTAGAAACGGCCATTGAATTTGTCTACTTCAACACAACTCACTTGATACTGCATTCAATATTGGGGCAGTTGATGTCCTTGCCAGACACCTGTTGCGTCTTCGATGCAGGCATGTCTCCCGACGATAACCAATTTCTAGAGGCATCTGAACTCGTGTTCTGGAACCATGAGGATCGGTACCGGAACGCACAGGCGATATGCCAATGCGTTGATTATATGTTGCAGAACGAAGGCGGTGCATCAGGAGCGTTCAATCTGCTATTCCCACTGAAAGTCGCTTATAATCACCTCAGCGGTTTTCCAATCATGCAAAAATGGGTTGCAGGAGTTATGGAAAAGATATCTACCACGAAAGGACTTTTCATCGCGGCGCAGATTCTAGAGAAATATTGAGAGCTGCGTTGCTTGGTCTGCGCCCTAGACTGTACCCACACTCACCATCAGCGCCGCTAGCAGAAGGCGAGGCTGGAGACTCACCAGTGAAAGGGCCGTTATAACGATGGAACATAATAATAGGCGTCCACTGGTAATTTGTGCCGGCTATTCCGGATCATCATGAGAAAACGGGATGCTCATCTTCGGTGGCGGGACCGGATCGCGAGGTGCTGTCTAGCGCGGTTCCGCCGAAGCTGACGGATCGTCATCTCGGACTACTCTTTCGGGAACTTGAGCGCGAGGTGAATTGTTAGTCCAGCTCAAACACGGTACTGCCACTGATTGAAGAGATTATCGAATTACGAGCGCAGTTGCAGTAAGACTATTATAAAAAGTGCCTTCTCGCAGTCTCAATCAAGTCTATCAAATCACCAAAGTGTTCTCTTTCATTGCCATCATGCAGCTCAAGACTTTGACATTACTTTTCGCGGCTCAAACTGTCGTTGCCAGCCAGGTAAAATGGACAGGGTAGGCTCAGCATGGCGATCAAATTAAGGGCCACGCGGCTAACATTGGCAGTGTCAACTTATTTGGACTCGCCAACGATGTCAATATCCTTGGATCAGCTTACAACCCCTTCCTCGACCTGTCCTGCAAACCGAGTTATCACAGCTATCCATACATCAATACGGTTGACGACTACAAGTCATGGCATGACAAAGGCTTCAACCTTTTTCGAATTGCTATGGCTTGGCAGCATGTTCAGACATCGCTCGGCGGCAGCCTGAATGAGACCAACATGGAAGCTGTTGACAAGCTGGTCAAGGCCATTACGGATGATGGCGGTCAAGCCATTCTCGATATTGTAAATTTACAAGGTTCCCTCGCTCCGTTGCACGTACACTGACTTTTCTAGCACAACTATGCACGTTGGTATTGCGCCGTGATTGGCCAACCTGAAGTCTCATTCCTCAACCCCAACATAACCGTCACCAATGATCACTTTGCCGATCTCTGGACAAGACTTGCCCAGAGGTACAAATCCAACCCCAGAGTCATCTTCCAACTCATGAATGAACGTATGTTAAACTACAAGCACTCCCTAGTCCATTACCTAATCTCTGCAGTTAAACTGACAAAGTTCCTCAGCTCATGATCTTGACATTGCGAAGTGGGGTGCCACCAACCAGGCTGCAATCATTGCAATCCGAAACGTCACCGATAAACAGAAAATCCTGGTCTCAGGGACACAGTTCGCTCGCCTCGTTGACTGGGAAGCTTTCTCTCAACCAGGTATCGGCCCTGGTCTCATTCAAGACCCCGCCAACAACACTCTCTACGACTTCCACCAGTACTTTGACGATATCGCTGGCGCATATGGTCTCTGCGAGCCCTGGGGTGGTTTCGTCAAGAGGTTTGAAGAAGTCACTCGCATCCTCCGCCGCAATGGATTTCGAGGAATGATCACTGAGTTTGGAGGAGGACCTTTCCCTCAATGTGCCGACACAATTCAGTCTATGCTGGCATTTCTCGATCGCAACAGTGATGTCTGGTATGGGTGGACTGCTTGGGGTAGCTTCAATGAGGGCTCGGACTTGTACCTGAGTTTGGACAAGAACTCAACTTACAATCTCATCACGAGGACACTGGAGAAGTTCGTCCCGATGTAGGATTGGATAGCCGTGGGACCTGTCACCTAAGAGGCTGGCTCAGGGTGACAAGATGCTGAGAGCCTGAGAACAGAGAATCTTATTCTATAATTATTTACATGGTTGAAGTTAAACTAAGTTTGAATCAGAAAGAGTCAAGGAGCATTATTATTCAACTTTGCCAGTTTAGAAGGAAGACAATGCGCATTTTCTAGGAAGACGCCACTTCATTTCTCTGGCTTCTGGCCATATACCACATATCTACGCAAAGTTAGCTCAGCGCATTGCCGATATGATTACTTGACTTACATAGGCCAGTAAGAATGAATAGTTTTGTCTTTCATTTCGCGGCGAACCTTGGCGAGTAACACATCCAGCTCCTCTTTGCTCCAGCCAAGGACTCGGGTATAGACAGCAGAACTAAGACCTTCAAGGCCAGAGCTAATGTTTTCGAGATTCCAAGCACCTAGTTTCCCGCGGTTAGTAAGTTCGTAGACTTAGGAAACTGGAGCAAGGACTGATGCTTACCAAGCTCTTTGTGTCTCTTGTCTCTCGGCCAAGTATTCTGAGGCCATTTGAACACGACCTGGTGGACATTTTGAAAGCCCTGGGCTTCGAGCTGTTCTTTATACTTATTCGCCCCGTCGAATGGCCTTCCGATCATTTTTGTGCCGTCTAACAATTTGGTGACCCATTCATGAATTGCCGAGTCCTTTGTGAGAGTTCCGTCATCGCTCGTGATGGGGTAAATATCTGCCAGTTCAATCCAGCCGCCGGGATTGAGATTGTCATAGGCCTTGGCGAAGAAGCCGGGCCAGTCAGCGATAGATGCAGTCATCATGCGACTGTAGATGAAATCGAACTTGACATGAAATGTCCACGGCTCTTCAATATCGTCGACCTGAAAGCTCAAGTTCGGAGGAACGAAAGGGCTCTGGATGGGACTGAGGTCAATTCCGATGACTGAAGCGCTAGGATGCTCATCGGCGAAGTCCATGGCCCAGAGTCCAGTGCCTGTCCCAACGTCGAGAACATTGTGTAATTGACGACCTTCGCGACCGGCGGGCGATAAATAGAGCTTGTCATCAAAAGTGAGAAGGAAAAGATGATGCTGCAAATCAAGCCTATCCTGCTCCTGTTCGTCGTTGGGAATCACATACTGCCCGTCCTTGTACGCGTGATACGTGCGGCCGTTCTCTTGGCGATACTTTAGAATGCTCGAGGTGATTGACGAAGTGGAGCTCCCTTCAATTGAACCAAGAGAGTCAGTGTCGCTAGTAGTATCAGTGTCGGCCTCATCGACTTCTAGCGCCACGGGATCGGCAGTCGAGATAGGATCAGCCATTATGGATATGTCAACAGTAATAATAATATGTGAGGGATAAAATTGTATGTCGTAATTGGAACGTGAGGGGCACGCACTTCACATGCTGGTTCGGCTAATTGTCTTGCAGAACCAACAGACCAGGGTATCCAACAAGGGTGCTGCAAGTTTGATTGATCGCTTCTCCAGCGCGACTATTCTACAATATTCAGTGCTCAGAACGTGAAGACTTTACTAATACCCTCTGCGAAATTCTTGGCAAGAGCTTTGTGAATAGCGACACCGGCATGATAGGTATCGGTCCAGAGGCAGTCATTTCCACCATAGCAAGTCGCATCCTTGGCCCCATACTCTTTGAAGTTCTTGACTGCGGTGTCAAAAGTAGGTTTCGTGTCAAATACGGTCACCTCAATACCCGAGCTAGACTTTGAAAAGGTAGCAGCGCGCTCGGTCAGAGCCTTGTTATAGGCAATGATGTCTGCACGAAGCGTCTTGAGGTCTGATCCAGACTGTCCGATCATAGCCGGGATTTGGTCTGCGAAAGCTGGTATGATATTAGCTTAGGCCAGAGAATAGGGAGAAGCGGCGTACGAGGAACAGTGAGGAGGGCGAACTTCTTCAATCCAGCCTCGGACAGCGTCTTCAAAAGCTCGAAATACCGATCCATAGTTTTCTCAACTGGCGCTGCTGATTTCTTCCAGAAAGGTTCACCGAGATCATTGATACCGATCCATACGGCCACAAGAGTATCTGCAGAACTGATTTTGTCCGCGACATACTCTTTGTACTGGGCCACCTGGTCATCAACGCAGTACTGTGCATATGTCGAGACGATTTCTTTATCAACGGTAGCGCCAGTGACAGCAAAGTCGTAAGTCAGAATAGTAGAAGTGTTCAGCACACTAGTTAATTGCCCAACCCAGTTCAATCCATTTGCCGTTGTCTGTCCTGGTAGAGCGGGATTTCCGAGAGGGCTACCAGCGCTAGGCAAGTCGCCTCCAGGCCAGAAGCCAACAGTCGAGTATGAATCGCCACTGGGAGTTGTAAGAACGACAGCTTCAACAGTTAGACAAATAGATAACTTACAAGACAATTAGGTTCTTAGAACTACCAGTAGCTCTGGACAGAACAGGCGTAGCTCTCGCCTGGGACAGTCCAGCTGCCAGACTCAAAAGATGAAGAAACGACCTCATTTTATAAGTATAATACAACGAACAGAACGAATTAAGAAGGGGAAACAAAACAAAGAAGTTTCCAAACATGAGAATGGCGCTTTAACCTTTAAACTGATCATCATGACCCGCAGAATCCCTGCCAAGATGTTGCATCCGGAAAATTGGTGACGTTTCAAAATACAGCGTCCGATTGGTGGAAATAGCATAGTAATTGGAGCGACGAGGAGTACGCGTATCTCGGGTTTGAAGTGCGTTCAAGGTCAGAGGAATATAAGACTTAAGTATGAACCTATGTAGCAATATTCTTTAAGAATAATTCTATTCATGGTCGGCCGAAAATATGGTGACGAACGTGGAAAGCGCAGCAATACGAATTCGTCTTACTGACCATCATAGCCTGCCAGTTGTACAGACCTCACTAGCAACAACTGATCACAGCACGAGTTATTTCCAGTTTGCCTTGTGAGGAGTACTTATATTCATCACCCAAATTTTGGGAGCCAGAATGAACCCAATTTCTAAGGGAAAAAATCTAGCACGTTAGGAATGACGATAGGAAGATGAGATGACTATGACACTTCGATAAGAGTTGGAGTCGAGAGAGCTAGCCGAATTCGAAACGGAGTTGACCAACCGGGCGAAGGGGAGTATTTTTTTGGGGTAGGTTGGAGATATCGGGGCAACATTGAGATGCGCAAATGTGGCGAACGTGAAGGCAAGAGGCGAACAACAGATATAAACTGAACCATTCAATTTTTTTGTCTTATCTCGTTTTGACTTGACTGACTTGATTGAAAACGTCCCTTCCTCGGCTCGATCCTTATCAATCTACCTCGGCAGTCTTTGCCGACCCACAATCACGACTTTTCCTTGTGGGCCTTGAACTAATTTACAATCACATGGCACCGAGAATGTCTCCTGATTTTCATGTCTAATATCCTTTAACATTTCTATTTTTTCTCTTTATAGTCATTCATTCCTTCTTTCCTGTCATAATCCTGTATCTACAACCTTGGAATTATATTCTAAACCCCGTATACCCTTTGTTGATCTTATATCCCATCGTGCAAATTTCTTTCTTTATTGTATCCACCAAGCCTTTTCGAGATGACCAGTATCGATAAGCCACTACCACAAACCCAGGCCTCAAGACCTGGTGACTTCGAAGCTGTCAGAAAGTCTATCATTGATCTCCTCCGCCAGCCTGACTACGACGATGGAAGTGCCGGCCCTGTTCTTGTGCGCCTAGCCTGGTAAGTCTTCAACAAACCTGACAAACATCAGTTCATGATTAACGTAGTCTACAGGCACTCTTCTGGTACATATGACGTAACAACAGATACCGGAGGTTCAAATGGCGCTGGCATGCGCTATGAGGCTGAGGGTGGCGATCCCGCCAACGCCGGCCTTCAGAATGCTCGCCTCTTCCTAGAGCCCCTCAAGCGTCTTCACCCATGGATCACATACTCTGACCTATGGACACTTGCCGGTGTAACGGCTATTCGAGCCATGGGCGGTCCAGAAATCGATTGGCTTCCGGGGCGAACCGACTTTACAGATGACAGCAAGATTCCACCTCGCGGCCGTCTTCCTGACGCGGCTCAAGGAGCAGACCATATCCGAGACATCTTCTACCGCATGGGATTTAACGACCGGGAGATCGTAGCGCTCAGTGGCGCGCACAGTCTTGGAAGATGCCATACGGAAAACTCGGGATTCGAGGGCAAATGGGTCAACAATCCGACACGATTCTCAAATCAATATTTCCGCCTCCTGCTGTCCGAAAAGTGGACTGAGAAGACAGTCCCCGAATCCGGTGTTACCCAGTTCTCTTCTGTTGACCCTGACACAGAAGAGGAGTTAATGATGCTCCCAACCGATATGGCTTTGACGACAGACCCCGAGTTCTCCAAGTACGTGCGTCTTTATGCTGAAGACAAGGAGCTGTTCTTCAACGACTTCAAAGCAGCATTCGCCAAGCTGCTGGAGCTGGGAATAGCAAGAGATGCGGAAGGCAACATCACGAACAGCGATAATGAGAAGGGTGGATATAGAAGCGCACCGAAGAAGAGCGATTCGGTCTCAGCACATGCAGAGTTCGGACAAGGGGCCAAGACAAATGGTTGCCCTGTTATGCACGCCAGGGCAAAGCTCTGATGTGTTGTATGTTAATTTATACCCGTATAGACTATAGATGGGGAAGAAGATACACAAGTATAATTAGATGGCTATAGATCGGATTCTTTATTACTATCTCAACTTGGAATTTATTTTACTACATAAAGTCTATCGATTCTGAATACTCCGCATGGGTAATAATACTTCTGATGCATCCCACTTTCCACGCTATACGTATGGCCGATATGTGTTTAGACATCTTTGTCACCGTGATTTGATCTCTCAGAAACGAATTTCGGAAGCAAAGAAGGAATGAAAAGCAAGTCAAGTACTTACCACGAGGCATACATCAACGAATTCTATTGGCCTGCGCCCATCTGCAATGTATCCCACTCCCCAATCTGTAAACGTCGCCGCTAGCGATGCACGTTAGCTGTCGGAATACATCTTGGCAGTCTGGCGTGCATCATACGAGGTTCCCTGCATGGCAGGCCTCAATTTCTTTGGCGATTCCAAGTGGCTGGCTTACGACAGGAAAGCTTCATTCGTTCCAATATCACAGGCTAGACAGCCGTATTCCATTTCAAATCACTCTATTTCCTTCCCTCAAGCAAAGGTGGGGCTTTCATGTACATCCTGACATATTCTGTCTCTTAGCAAACGGTACCATTCGTAGTCGGACTTGGCTTTACTTTGCTCCTCCATCGTCCGTCCAACTTCGAGACCATTTTCGTAATTGACAAGTTCTTTTTCAAGCTCTCCGCCTTCTTGGTCTTCAAAAGATACCCTATGGTGAAAAGAATCGTCACGGCCACGACAGACGCTACCGCCCACCACTTCAGCGACTCCCCAAGCCCAATCAGTGGATCCATGTTCATTGACAACAGTGCAGCCACTAAGCTCGGCGGTATGAAGAACGATGCCAGTATGGTGAGTTTGGATGTGTTGCTCGCATCAGTCAGGCTGATAGTCGAGTTGACAACCGTGCTGAGACGGTCGATCCGTGTTTCGTAGTCCTCTAGGCGTTTCTTGATAATCTCCAAATCATCTTTGTAAACCTTGAAAGACTTGGCAATTTCCTTTTCTTCATCATCCATGACTTGACTCATGGTTGCTTGAAGCATATCCCGTGCTTGGGGTACCCATCGCCGCCAGAAGTGGAGCTTCCTAAGACTTTGCTTCTGATGGTCTGTACCGCCAGACTCGGGGAAGAATGATGGGTTTACGATTCCCCAGTCGATTTGGTTGAGACGGGCGTTGAGATAGTCAGCGAACGTCAGCCACTCGCCGCATACCAAGTGTAACAAGCACTGAATCGGAATGGAAAGTTGTTGATTTGCACTGTCTGTGAGCTGCGCGAAGTTGGTGGTCTTCTGGGCCCAGAAAATGTAGTCTTCGAACCAACTCATTGGGTTTTCAGCATCCTTGGATCGCAGAGATGGCGGTATCTGAAGGTCGCGCACTGCGTCCGGAGGGGTAGTGTTGGTACCGAACGCCGGGAGTTCGTCCCAGTTGGGATATCCTCGCCAAAGAGGATACCCGGCTTTAGGAGTTGGTTCAAGTAAAAGAACACCTGATTTTCGAAAATAGTCAGCCCGGAGTCCTGACTCGAGTCAGTGTGCTCACCTATAGTCGATTCTGGATTCAGCCAGAACGTGGCACGACTGCGCATATGTCCAACCTTTGCATCAACTCTTGCATCCACCGGGCCCTTATCTTGAGAAGATTCACCTGCAAGCCTTTCCCATATAGTAGGATCTGGATCCTTGTCCCAGAAGATTTGGTTCTTATCCGCATCAAGGCGTCGCATAACATTAAACTCATTGACTTGTCTTTTTGCCTCCGTCAGTTGGCTTTGATTCTCAAAGTATCGAGAGCGAATTAAGCGAAGCTGGAACCACGTCTGCCGTTTTGCATCAACATGGAGTATTGACGGCTCACGCCATCGATCTCGGATGTTATTCCAGACATAGTCGGTAATATGAGCGCGGAAGAATCGTGGATCGATCGCTAGCTCAGATCCAAGGGTTTCGATCACGTCTCGTGAAAGATCCTCCACGACAAATAAGCTGAACTTGACTCCTGTTTCGTGCTTTCTCGCCTTTTCAAGGGCCTCTCTGAGATCTCCATGCGTACGAAGGTAACTGGTTGGGCTTTGCTGTGCCTGTCCATCGTCTTTGAACCTCAGTAATGCGACATTCATCTTCATGGCCCTTTCTCGTTGTTGGTTTTCTCTCTCTTGATTATAAGATCAGTGTCTAAATACTTAAGACATGTCTCCACTCACTTTTTGAATCACGAGGATATGTATAGCGCCGTTGCTCGTTATTCTCCTTTTCCTCACCAGGGAAGATGCACCAGCGCGTAGGCACAGTCCCAACTTCCATAAAATCATGTAGAAGCTCGAGCTGCGGCCATCTCTTTGATAGACTCTTAACGTACTTCAAGTAGGGCCCTCGCTCCTTAGGTCTATGACATTTCAGTGCTGTTTGGTCTCTGATATGAAGTGTTACTCACCCCTCCCAATTATCATCCCCAAGGCGAGTTCTAACATCGTCCTTCTTATCATCCTGGTATGCGTCGCCAAGCTGTGAGTCGTGTAATCGCATTTTGGGCAATAACTTAAAGATGAAGTGCTCAAGCTTTGGTGTCTTGAGTCAGTATCCTCTGGCCGAACTTGGGCCTTTTCTACTTCGTATTACCCATGGGGTATTTGTAATTCACGAAACAAGGCTCTTGTCACCGCAAAATGGCAAGGCGAAAACATAACAATGGCTGCTGGCTGCTGGCTACTGTGATTGGCGTGGTTAATGAGCAAGCGCCAGCTTCACTGCGCCCAAATACGACATGTCTCATTTCCTCCGAACTTCACATATGCCGTGTAACCGACCCGCCGAATGCAGGCTACTTGAACCATTGCGATCCGAGTCTCGTTTCTTCTCACAAATCAACACAGGCAATAAATGTCCATGCTTATTGTTCTGAACTGTTATTTTCAGCGAGCTTCTCCTAGATAGCTAAATTCCAAGACTGTTAACAAGTCTGATTTTTCGGCACTCCTTGGGTCATGATATGACATCAAATTCTTCAGCTTATGCACGTTGGTCAAGGATCTTCGGAGAAGCGGGCTCAGCCGTCCCAAAGTTTCAGCCCGGCAGGGTTGCGAGTGGACCAACTAAAGACGAAAATGCATGATTACGGGGCATATGCACCTTTCAGGCAGCAATTCCAACAATCCATTGTTTCCCAAAACTCGGAGCCTGATTCGGTACGTACTCTCCATTCGGAAACAAAGCAATACTGCTCTGGAATTTCACCTTTCTATACCAGCACTACTGTAGCCTCCGAAGCCTTGTCCAAAATCACGTCTCCTTCAGTTCTGTTACTGTAAAATCGAGACCGAGTCCAGAAAACGCCAATACCGAGTCTCATCATACCCTTCTCTTGGTCACCCTCTTCACCATCGGATGCGGGTGTGAGAAGCAATGTAAAATATTCCTTTTGAGGCACTTCCATGACAAAGAGGCACGAGACAGTCGGCATTTCAGGCCCATCAGGAATTTTGCTGTCCAAAAACGCCTCGCCAAAGATTTCGTCACTCCCCGGAGCTGCAAGAACGTGGTGCCGAGAGTCCTGTGTAACAGAGCGCGCTCCCAATGTTACCTGGATCATCTTTCCTTTGATTGTCAAGCGGGCAACTTTCAGAGGTGATGCCAGCGGAGTTCCTTTCCACTGCAAATCACTCTGTAAAAGCTCGATCATAGAGGCTGTGGGGGTCGTGTGTACATAGCCCTTGATCCCGCCTTTCACGGACATCCAGGACCATGATGGGATGCTTCCTGGCTCGCGTGTCACCCCGCGCATTTTGGCTTCCCACACAAGTCCGTTTGCGAGATCCTCTTCCCAAAGACCTGCAAGGTATGTATAACCAGTCAGCTTCATGAACATATCTGTCAGTCCAGCAATGGCATTCCATTTATCGCTTTGGTAAGTGAGATCACGACTTGAGTAATTCGTCACCATCCGATACCAATGTCGCAGATAATTCTTCCCATCCTCTCCAGGACCTTGATGCACAATATCGGCCCACTGAATCAGACCACCATCAAAATCTCGCGATCCATCGATAAGTCCATCCTCCGTGGCGTAGCGACTAGGACATTTCCAGAGCCACTGCTCCTTACCGAAGCAGACAATCCTCGATGCCAACACGCCCTCTTGAAGTGTCCAGCCTCTGGTGTTCAAAGGCTCGGACATCCTATCAAGCTCCCTGTGCGTCTCCATCCGAACACTCACAGTCTCTCCGTGGATCTTGACGCATTCGGCGCCTTGGAACGGAAGAAGAAGACCCATCTCTGGGGTATCAGATGAAGTAGCTGCCAGTGTAAGATGTGCATTCGTATAAACAGATCCCATCTTGACTGACTCGGCTTCCCAGTCTTCACAAGAGTCTTGAATAATGCATAAGCCGTCGATCCAAAGATATCGGATTCCTAGGTAAAGCGTAGCAAGGACAGTCTCCCTTTGCGTCAAATGTAAGTCGAAGAATTCGATTCCTTCTTTGTGCTTCTCGAGATTTTCGCTTGTCGTTTTGAAATGGAGTTCTGGGTTGGCGCCCCAGCAGTAGCTCAGAGCTGTGTAAGTCCCAGTCTCTCCCTCCTCTGTCTCTCGTAGTTTAATCTTGATGTCTTTAGGATCCGTTGGAATATCCACACTTCCAGTCAGGTCCAACACGCGCGTTGGAAGCCTGGCTTCCTTGGTATTAGGAAGAGACTTGATGCAGTGTTCGTGAGTTTCACATTCCTTCAACCATATCTTCAGTGTATCTTGCCGCTTGAAAGGTTCTGACGCATCCAGTTCGTCGTGAGGGATCCAGAATCTCCGAGTAGCAAGACTTCCTATTGAACACGTTAGACCCACGTTCTAGACTAGTGCTGAAAGCATACCTAGACGTGATGGCGAAGATATAGTTAGAGGTACTCCACCATTTGTATAAAGTTGTCTGCTTCCCACCCAGCCAACTGCCATGATGTACTTCTCATGTTTGGTCAGCTCGACCGTGACAGGCATCGAGAAGTTGTTCTCGTCGCACAACTCCGGGTTGCCTCGCTGAAATTCAGCTAGCACTGAGGTGGCACCTCGCTGTATGCTAACTTCCAGCCATTTGCAAGTCGAGCACGTTTCACCCGAATTGATCAAGTGCATGACATTGGGCTGATGCTGTATGAGTTGTGGTGGGTCTGGATGAAGCATAAGTTGACAGTATTTGCAAACTCCATCTGCCGTTGGGCTCGTAAACCCCCAATCATCGGGCGTAGCGGGGGGTCCAGGAACTGGTTCAGCTCTGAGGTTCTGAATGTCACTCCCTCGGAGGCCGAAAATAGCGGCTTCCTCGGGTGACTTGTTGCTAAAGACTAGCATCGTCTTTGGTGGTTCTGATTCTTCGGAAGCCATGATTGCAAACTTGGCAGCGGAAGAGGAACTGCCGATAGTTGCATGTCGTCAAATGCGAAGATATAGAGGGGTTGAGGCGGTGTAGTCACGTGAGGTAAGCACATCCCCAGACAAGTCGTCCTTAATGTGGATTTTAACCTGTTACTGCCTGGGTTAGGCTGAAGAGAGCCTTGGCAATCATATAGAAGAGGTAGGACTTTAGTAAAGTTGAGCAAACAGATCTGGCAAAGGTTGTGGTCGAGAAATACGAATCGAGTCTAGTGGAGACGCTACCCTATACCTTTCCATTCAATCCCAAACTGCCGACTCTTGAGAGAACATCCCGTTTCTACTTTTCAGCATTTCAGTTTCAATGGTCGCGTATCTCAATCAGAAAACTGCATAATTTGTTCCATGTATAACTGTTTGTGTTTAATGAAGGAATGCCACTTTATTCTAGTTTGCTACTGACTACAGAAATGTCGATAGTGCATTTGAATCTGGGTACTTATTTATTGAATATTTAGATAAGGTCGAATCTTGCCAATGTATGGTTTCGTATGCTAATTAATTGACAACTGCATAAGACAAAAAGATTCAAGATCAATCTCAAAGCCTTGAGGAAATGTAGTCATGATGACGGGGCTGTAAAAGGCTTGAGTTCCGTGGAATGTTGCTGACTGATTACCGCGCGGCACAATGGTGCGATGTCAGTCCCAGTAGTAGCATCCAACTAAGATCTGAGGTCATCTGGACTATTAACCGCGCGGGAACATATAAGCTATCGCTTCAACGTAGGGATGATTGTTGATGTGTAATTGCTTATTAGTCTGACATGGGTGTAACTGTCAGCACATCACGGAGAATTGCCAAAGTACGATGCACGTTAAATATGTGCCGGAGAGCAAGCCCTCACACTAAATACAGGCCTGTCAATAATGTCTACCATGTTTATTAGTGCCCTTCTCAATTTCTTGGCCAACGCCTTTCACTTCATCACCTGCGGCATCTTTCTTGAACCGTCACTGGGCCCAAAGACCATGTCTCAGAAACCAAAGCACATCGTCACAATAGGCGGCTCTTTCGCCTCTGTCAGGACAGCCCACAAATTCCTCCAAGGAATGCAGAATAAAAATGCAGGACCTTACAAGGTGACAATGATCTCTCGCGATTCTCACTTCTTCTGGAATCTTGCCACGCCCCGCGCCATCATCCCAGGAACTATCCCCGATGATAAACTCTTCCAAGCTATTGCACCTGGGTTCGCTAAATATGGCGACAAGTTTGAGTTGATTGTTGGTACAGCTACTGGTATTGATATCAGCAATAAACAGGTCAAGGTTTATAAAGCAGGGCAGGAGACTTTGATTAGTTATGATTATCTCCTCATTGGTACCGGATCTTCGACCAAAGCTGAATCCCCTTTCAAGTCCAGGGGATCAACTGATGCGACGAGGGACTATGTTCATGCGTATCAGAAGCGTGTTGGAGAAGCTCAGTCCATTATTGTTGCAGGTGCAGGGCCAACTGGGGTAGAGGTTGCAGGAGAGTTGGCGGACTACTATGGCAACAAGAAGGAGATTACCTTGGTAAGAAAACCATCAACTCAAGACGAAATCAAGCTGACGACGTGTATAGATCAATGCTGGTCCAAGCGTTCTCGATAACCGCCCCGACAGCGTCTCCAAGTCCGCACATAGTCAAATGGAGAAGCTCGGCGTCAAGATCAGACTCAACACCAAAGTCAATGAGTCCATTACGCTTCCTAATGGCAAGCAAAAAGTCACTTTCTCCGATGGAAAGACAGCAGTCACAGACCTCGTCATTCCAACATTCGGAGTAGTTCCCAACTCATCCTTCATCCCGCCTGACCTTCTTGACGCGCACGGCTATATCAAGGTCAATCAATATCTCGCCATCGAAGGTCGAGAGGATGTCTTTGCAATTGGCGATGTGTCTAATCTCGAAGCACCGCAGTTCTGGTTCGTGAACACACAGGCTGGTCATATGGCCAAGAATTTGGTGCAGATAATGCTTGGAAAACCTATGATTCCATACAAAGCTTCGACAACTGGTATGTTATTCCTGACTTATGATGGCACACAATGCTAACGTTCGCAGCAATGGGAGGAATTCAGATCGGCAGGTCTGGCGTAGGCCATTATGGAAATTGGCGCATCCCAGGTTTTATGGTCCATGCGATCCGGAAGACGTTGTTTGTTGAGCAATTGCCCAAGATGATTGACAATGGCAACTGATGCCCCTTTGATATTTGCTTTTGTATCGATTGTATGGAGGTTGGATGTCTTGGAATGACGTGGAAGCCGGAGTTTAGCGTCCGGGTGAGGCTAATCTCAGCAATATCACTGGCCCTGATTTTCTTATCTTAGCTGCGAAGCTTAGCATTTAGGTTCCACCAAATTCCCTGTACGTCATCGATCGTCCCAACCTTGTTCCTGGAATAAAACAGGCCAAGACTGCAACCTCGTGAGTCTGTTCTCTACCTAATAATTCCTCCATTATTGATTTTCGCGATGCATTACAGTCTGCGTGCCATTGCGGCTGCAGCTTTACCTGCAATTGTTGTCGCTTCTGTTATTCAGCAGCCAATTGACAGCTTTGATCATACTCAAGGCTATCAATTCGATCCTCTTCTGCACCTCCCAGGAATATCGCCTTATTTCGATGCTGTAGGCTTTGGATTGTCGCATGCTGCACCTGAAGGATGTACCGTTACAGCTGCGTCGTATCTCATCCGACACGCTGCGATTTACGCTAACGACGCCGAGTATGAGGACTACATCAAGCCGTTCCTGTACAAGCTCGAAAAGCATCGCGGTGACTTCTCAGGACCACTGGAATTTCTGAACAAATGGTACTCACCAATTGAAGAGAATCATCTTGAAGATATCACGCCCTCAGGCAAGGTCGACGCGAAGAAAGTCGGCCAGCATCTCGTGAAGCGCTACCGACACCTAGCGTCATCAGTAAAGCGCGTCATCGCTGATACGAAAGACAGAACCTACGACACAGCCAAGGCATTTCTCCAAGCGTTCCCCGAAGACGGAAATATCGAAATTACGCGCTTTGACAAGAAGGAATTGAACAACGGCACGCGTGCTCTTCTCCCTCACAAGGCCTGCTCCAAATTCTCCAAATCTCCTGGTACGGAACAACAGCAGCAGTTTGTCAAGAATTACGCAAGTGGCGTAGCTAAACGTTTACGCCCGTATACGCCCGACGATTACGAGCTTGATCCCTACGATGTTTTCGCACTTCAATCAATTTGTGGCTATGAATCTGCAATTCGAGGAAAGAAATCTCCAATTTGTGGATTGTTCTCTGACGCCGAGTGGCTCTCTTATGAATATGCTTGGGATATGAAATATGCTCACATGGTCGGGCCTTTCAATCCCCTGTCTAATTACCTCGGTTTCCCATGGCTACACTCACAGTCTAAGCTTTTCACCAAAATCGATGAAAACTCGGAATTGATTGGCGATGAATCATCAGGATGGCCCAAGGAGCAACGCCTATTTTTCTACTTCACTCATCGGGAAGTCCCTCCATTCGTCGCCACAGCTCTAGGAATATTCAACTCATCATCCCGCGAAGGATACGATGAATTTCCGACTACACACGTCAACCATGTCCGAGCTTGGAAAATGTCTGACCTCATCCCATTCCTGGGCCACGTTGGCATGGAGAAGATGACGTGTGAGAGACCAGTTGCTAAAGATGGCACGGCCGAGAAAGAGGAGTTTATCAGGTTCATTGCCAATACCGCGCCCCGACCCTTGCCTTTGTGTCAGAATGGACCCGGGGCAAGTTGTCCATTCAAGGAGTTTAAGAACATTGTTAGCGCGGGGATGGAGAAATATGGTGACTTTGATGGCGTTTGTGAGAATAAACAAGAGAAGGATGATGAGTTGTAATGCGACAGCACTGCGGTAAAACAGAACAGATTGTACAATAGTAATAACTTCCGCCGGTTACATGCTTTCTATGTGAATTTGACCTTGATAACCCGGATCCAGTTGTTATTGGTAAAACCTATCGTCAACGTCTCGCCAGATTCATCCAGATGCGGGTACGCTATTCCAGCATACACCAGGCCTCCATCGATGGGCTCATCTTTGTAAATCTCTTTGCCTTCTGTCCAAGGACCTTCAGGACTTGGCGCAGTCTTCAAAAACACCGTACCAGCTTTTGTAAGTCAGTCAGTGATGCATTCACCACCGTAGAAGAGTGAACTTACAAAGATCAAGATGAACGTAGAAATACGTCTGAAAGTGGTTGTTATACACAATCTGCCCCTGTCCAACACCCCACATAACCGCTGTCTCACAATTGAACGTGGTGAGAACTTCGCTCTTCCATCCTTCTTGTCTACCCCACCAATACTCATATTTATCGAGATCGAAGGCATCCTTTGCGGGGACCCGAGCCATGTAGATGTACAGTTTATCAGGGAAGTCGGTGATTGGGTTTGGTGGGTTTCCGAGGATGTAGATGTATTCGCTGTTGACATCGCGGTAGGTTGCGACATCGCCATACTTGGGCACCTCATCACCATTCCACCAGATGCCATTCTCGCCATAGCGATCGGTAATATGCGGGACGTCGTCGATGAGCTCAACTTTGGCTATTCCAGCGCCCTTATAATGCTCATCATCATTCTATAGAGCTTTAGGTCAACAAGATATCGTTTAGGGGCTGGTACAACTTACAACGAGGTAATAAAGAGCACCGGTCGCAGTATCGGGATCAACCTCCACGATTCCCGTTCCTCCAAAGCCAAAGGTATTAGTCTCGCCCCAGTCCTCATTAAACGGCATGAACTGCTTCTGGTGAGGCACCGGCTCATCATCATTGAGATGCAGGTCCTCAACAACAAGAGGATCATCCGTCAGAGCAGAAACAGCATTTCTGACCATGCCGTGAAATCCCTCATTGTCTTCTGCGGGATCAGTGACACCTGAATCGCACCATAGTACATCACCATAAACAGCGTACCATTTCCCTCCAAGTTGACCTGTAAAGCCAAGATCGCGACGACTCGCCGTGTTGCTGGACTTTTGGGTGCCAAGAAATTCAACCTGAATATCACCGATAGGATTCTCCCCCTCCGGCTGTGTATTGTCGACAGTCATTATAACTGAAAGATAATGCTTATACAGGATATTTCCCAGTATAAAAAATAAAAGCGTCTGACAATAGCGATCTTTTATCTTGACGTGTCTCTTCATGGTAAACTTAGCATTTCCATCTTCAAAGAGGGGGTCCAACCATTACCGAGGCTCATGTGCAAATGCCAATGCATGATCGGCACGGAGTATCCGATCAAAACCTGTCTTGAGATGTTGCAGGATTGAGGCGCATATAAATGCCAAGTTTCAACGATCTTCAATCTAGCTTATTAGGGTAGATACAGCATAGTGCCAAAAGTGAAGCTCCGATAAGATAGGCGAGGCGAGCTTTTTTTGCTTTTTGGTTTTGACGATGATGAAACGGCCCGGCTGCCGGGAGTGGCGCCGCGGCCCGCTAAAACAAGCTTGCAGCGTCATCTAAGGAACCATAGAAAACAACTTTACTGAGGGAGTTTGTTGTTATCAGATGAACTTAATCGTACATGCATATGTCTGCAAGTTTCTGACTGTAACCTTTAATAAAAATTAGCTCGTTGATAACGTTTGAAGTGTATTACTGGCCTACTCAGTGCCACTCGGCGCAAAAACTGGACCGTCGCCTCCAAAATCCACTTCAACGGCGATGAGACCCAATTATCCAATTACTTTTATGTAATTCTGGAGGAAGAACTCTCCCGGCTCGGCGGTACTCGGTCATGCAAAGATTTAGATCTGAATCGCCATCATGTAACGCTCTCACGATCCCCGATTGATTTTCTGAAAGAAAGGGTCTCTGTGTTATGGAATCTGGGGTAGTGCAGCTGCACAGTCTACCATCAGCATCAACATTATAGGGCTGATCTTCCTGCACTCAAAACGTGGAAAACTCTCTTTACTGCAGGTACAAGATTACCGATGGGTCCTCAAGGAAACTAGTTCTCATTATCCCCATCAATAGCCCCCTTTAGTATGGTTTCACTGGTGATCGAGCCGGGGAGGGACGAGTTAATCGAGCACGCAATCGCACGCAATATCCTTAGAGACATATAATACAATTGATGAACCGCTTATTCTGAAAACTTCAAGCCTTTTCTCACTTCTTGCCTGTTGGCTGCTTCTCAAAATGGCCTCTTCACACGATGGCTCCTCCATCAACCACCCAATCGCCTCCCCCACCAAATCATCCTTCTTCCGCTCGATCCCCTTCCAGATCGCCATAGCATGCGGTGTCTCTTTCACAGCTCCCGGAATGTGGGACGCCCTCGGTGGTCTCGGCGCCGGAGGTGCAGCTGAACCATACGCCGTGTCAGCTGCTAATGCACTCGTCTACGGATTATTCGCAGCGGTTTGTATAGCAGCTGGTGCGATCAACAACAGAATCGGTCTTCGATATGGCCTTGCACTGGGAGCTATTGGATACCCGATTTATGGTGCTGGTCTCTATACGAATAATGTTGCGCCGAAGACGTGGTTTTTGCTATTTGGAAGTGCGCTCTGTGGTATTTCGGCCGGCTTCTTCTGGGCGGCTGAGGCTGCCATTATTATTGGATATCCTAGTCCTAAGGACCGCGCATTTTATCTTGGTAGGTTACCAATTAGACGTGGAATTATCTCACGTGAACTAACTGGAAATAGCTATTTGGCAAACTGCCAAGGCAGCCGGCCCAATTGTCGGAGGCGCCATCAATCTCGGCCTCAACGCGCAAACCTCGTCGAAAGGATCCGTCAGCTCAGCGACTTACATCGTATTCATCGTCATCATGTGCCTCGGTCTGCCTATCGCTTTACTTCTGAGCCCTGCGGAAAAGGTTCAGCGAAAAGACCGCACCCTCGTCGTCGTTCATAAGCAACCTACTTGGTTCGCGGAGTTCAAGGCTGTTCTGTCGCTCCTCGTCACTAAGCGCATGATCTTGTTGATCCCTGCTTTCTTCATCAGCTACTTTTACAATGGCTTCATGAGTACTTGGTTGACGACTTACTTCACCGTTCGAGCTCGCGCCTTTTCATCGTTCTTCACCAACTTCTCCGGAATTATCAGCTCTTTCCTGATCGCTGGTTTGTTGGATCGTCAGTCCATTTTCATCAAGACCCGAGCTAGAATTGCGTTCGCTTCCATCATCTTCATTCTGATTGGTACATGGATCTGGGCTTCCATCCTCCAGAAGCAATTCTACGACGCTGAGGAACCGCCTGTCTTTGACTGGTTCAAGGGCGGTTTCGGCAAGGCTTATACCCTTATCTTCTTCTGGCAATTCGGAGGTCAAGCTTTCCAACAGTTCTTGTACTGGCTTGTTGGACAATACACCACTGATATATCGTCTTTGTCTTATCACTGTGGTATTCTCCGAGGATTTGAGGCTCTCGGTCAAACCGTTGCCTGGGCGTAAGTACCATCTTATCATCTTTACTGGGACAGACCTAACGGAAAATAGGATGCAATCTGAAGGCAACGCCAATCATTTTGTCAGCATCGGCCTTAACTTTGGAATCACTATATTGTGTATCGTGCCAACATGGATCGTGCTCTCTGGACTAGAGCACAGCCACGAGATCACGGTCACAGCTGGAGAGGGTTCGTCAACAAAAGACCAAGATCCCGATGTCAAAGCATAATTTTTAACATAATATTCTATAATAATAATATCTTTCAACAAGAAATAAATTCCACGTTCCCATCTAGCTAGTGATACAAAGAAGCGGGTCTCGGTCGAGGACCTGTGCTTGACCTCGGTCTTGTCACAGCAAGCGGCGGCGGTGATATAGGCATAGACGTAGATCTCCCAACACCTTGCACAGAAGCATCGCTGCCTATAAAACTCCCAGGCCTTGACCTTACAGGGCTCAACTCATCATCGTCTTGGTGTTGGTCTCTCTCAATCTCGACCGCTGATACACCTAAGTTCCGAAATTCTTCCCCTGGTATCATCGGTAGGTCAACACGATCTGGTCTCTTGACTTTAGGCTCTGTGATAAAATCATGCGCTGGTGTACCAATCATCTCGCCAAATCTGAAGAATGCATTCTCTATTTTCTGTCGGTAGGGGTTGCGGGGTGGTTGATTGTGCTCTTCGTAGACTGAGGGGTCTCGAAATCGGGAGGATATGGAGGAGCGGGGCTGAGTGGGATCGAGGTGCAGTGATAGTTGGTTGTTTGTACGCATATCAGTGTTTGTGACAGTTAATGTGATATGATGGCTATTCAGTGAAGAAACGCTCTCTTGGTGTGAGACTTGGCTTATTTCGTCGTTAAAATGGCAATGAGAGCAATTGCAATGATGCGATGGATATGGTTCGTTTGCTTGGTCGGCATGTCTTGCTAGAAGGAGATACAGCGAACCGATCATGGCCATCGCAGTACCTGTAATTGGTGCCCATTGGCCTTTATACATCAATCATCAGTAAACATCCGAATTGCAATGTTATAAGCTTACCTATGTTGGCCATTGGTTCAGTCTGGTAATTGACTTGAGGGCTGAAAAAGTTAATCTCGCCCACGATAAGAATAGCCAAGCCAGCGCCACCAAAAACAGGAATCGCTAGGATACGAAGAAAAAAGCCAATGGTATCATTGACCTTCTTCATAACACCTTTATTAGCGCCATCATCATCCTCACTTGCCGCGTCGTCGGTCGGTTTTCCGAATCTTCGGCGCCAATTGATCTCAAGCACTCTATCCCACATAGAAACGAGACATAAAACAGCGTGTACACAGCATGCTGCAGCGAGTAGAGTCGCGGTGCCGAATGTGAGGGTATGCGGTGCAGGTATGACATAGATATTGTTCGCGGAGCCTCCCCTCATTGGAGATGAAGGCCCGCTTTGCGTTGAACAGGTCAGGTTACAGTTGTTTCCTTCGATGTAGTGAAACTGGGATGCGTTTGGTGATACTGGGTTGCCCGAGGCGTCGATTAAACAGGAGTGAGTTTCGATACGATAAAACTCAATTGTCATACTCAGAAGACCTAATATCCAGTTAGACTATAGAACGGCTTTTGCCAAGGTTCAACTTACCGATCAATAGCAGAAATGTCCACAGAAAAATAGTGTTTCTGCCAGGATCATTAAAGTATGTCTTTGACAGCATAACCGTCACTGGTGCTGCCAAGATACCGATCGCGCAAAGCTGAAAGGCACCAAAAATATCCATATCAACCGCATCTTTACCAATTAGCAGTTGGACTTCTTTTCTATGAATATCACTCACCCGGATTGTGCATTGCCGACAAAACTATGCCGTGAATAGCGGCAACAGCTGGCAGCACTAACGCAGCGGCCAAACAAGGATTTACCAGCCATTCCTCCCTCCTCGCGACGAGACATGCAGCGATAAGAACATAGTATCTAAATGATTGTCAGCTCTATATCAATTGATTGGGATGGGGAATTGAACTTACAGCACTCGAGTACCCGTTCCATACTGCCCAGAAACAGGCCATGCGCAGATAACCTGCAGCGCATCACCAGTCTCATTCACAGCCCGCGAAAACAAACCACTATTCGCTATTGTCTCAGCTGCATCAGTAACAAGTAGCGCAGGCATATCGACATTCTAGAAGCCTTGGCAGGGTGGAATCCGTGGGGAAGGGAAAAAGAAAAGCCAAGATCAGCCCAAAATGTGGGGGAATTGCAAGATCTTAGCAGAAGCTTCTTCTTTATTTAATACCTGCATGTTCCTTGATGAGGCTTTACCCCAAGCGTCACTGGGGAGTCATTAATGGCCAGGCTTCTACATTTCGAGTGGTGAGCATTCAGCTGACATGTTGGCACAGCCACAAAGATCACTTGAGCCGGGCAAAGACTGGGGGCTCAGAGTAGTCTCTTCTAAGCATAGCTCGGGTTGCATACTTCATTTGCGTTAGGCACCAACAAATGTCCCCTGTCACCGGAACGAACAAGGAACGAGCGAAAGCTTCTAGAAGAATTTTTCTTCTTTCTTCTCTCTCCCTTATTTTTCTGAGGTCAGCCCTGTTTTTTGTTTCAGCCAGAGATCGAAGGGGCAGAAGGTCATCGAACTGAAGCTACTGTCGGTCCTTTCCCTCAAAACGTGCTGACACTACGACATTTTTCTCCCTATCAATTGGACACTTTGTCGTAAAGGTCTCCACTTTAGATGCGACCCACATTCGTTGTCAGGTTTTCTCTGTATTTAACCTGAGAGCGAGTGCCACTTTTGACTTTGACGAAAATCGAGTTGAATCCCCTCAGCCAAAAATCATGGTCAAAGGCGTCGACACCAGCGAGATACGACAATGGCGCTCAATAGTAACGTTGATAGTCTTTGTACTCGCCAGTAAGAAACACCCTCTCACACGATACACAGCGTGCACTGACCCGGTTCTACAGATATCCTCGTATTATGGCCATTTCACTTGCCCATTTACATCCCAAAATCCCTCGTCAATTTAATATGCAGATTAGCGGTCAAACTGCGAGTTATACCCCCGAGCACGCATCATGCGATTCTTCATGATAACCCGAGATGCTCGAAATATTTTGTCAAAGTCACTTTTCCTGTCAATTTCATCACTGCGCCTTTGATCGCGGATCTCTTTCTACTAGCTATTTCTGCGATAGGACGTCAAGAGGTTTATGATGGGACGATAGGCGCTGATAATATCCACCCGATTGATATTATGGTCTTCTTCATCACTTTGGCTTACATTGCTATTTCTATCGATGCATCGGGTATTATTCGATGGCTGGCCTTCAAGGTGTTGTCGTGGGGAGGAAAGGTCGGCCATCGGCTGTTCTTCTACCTGTATTCGTTCTTCTTCCTTCTCGGCAGCTTCATCGGTAATGATCCCATTATTCTATCTGGAACTGCTTTCCTCGCGTACATGACGCGCGTATCGAGCAACATCACGAGCCCGCGAGCATGGATCTTTACCCAATTCGCAATCGCCAACATCGCATCAGCAATTCTCGTCTCGTCAAACCCAACAAACCTCGTCCTCGCTGGAGCATTCGACATCAAGTTCATCGTCTACACCGCCAACATGATTGTCCCCGTCGTCGTCACCGCCGTTGTCCTCTTCCCGTTTCTGCTCTACGTCATCTTCGCTGACGAAAAGCTTATCCCTTCCAAGATTGAGATGCACAGCTTACCAGAAGAGGCTAGGGCCCAACGGCCCGTGAACCCCAACATCCCCTACGTGCAGCACCAAGTCGAAGATGCCGAAAGTGCAGGCGAGGGGATGACGCTGTCGCTCGCGTACATTATGAATCCCTTTCTTGACAAGAAGGGCGCTATGTTTGGTGCGCTTATCATGTCTGCGACGCTCATCACTGTTCTGGCTCTCAATGCTGCTAGCGCCGGAAGTGGAGAGCACCCTGTGTTCTGGGTGACTCTTCCAGCGGCAACTGTCATGTTTTGTTGGGACTTAGGCTTTGGGTGGTTGCATCGCAAGGAGACGCGACAGACGGCAGCGCATTATCGACGGGAGATGGAGCGTGCGAGAGCCGAACGCGCACGATTTGCAGTTGAATATGCTGGGACTTCGCAGGATAAGTCTGAACCGGATACCGACACGGTAATCGGTCTTGCTGATAATCAGGCCTCGGAAGATTATGACCAGACTCATGGCATTTCTCTTACCCCGCTACAGACCTCCAATGATCAGCCCAACTCACATTCTATCCCCAAGGTGATTCTATCAAACACCGCCGGAAATAGTCCTGTCATCATCTCAGGATCACTGCCTCAATCACCCAAGTCAGGTCCTTCACCACCCAGCGATCAAAACACACTGCATCCCGGAGCTCTATCAACCTTACCAAGTCCTCAGATGGAACCAGAGAAGCTCGAGGCTGCCCGACCTATGAAAACAGAACCCGAGGAAAGATCAACACTTCTATCCGAGGCCAGAAAGGGCTATGCCTCACTCGAAAAGGCGTATTTGTGGCTGCAAGAAACTTTCCCAACAGTCATGGCCGTCATGGCGCATCTTCCATTCGCACTAGTGCCCTTTGCTTTCGCCATGTTTGTTCTAGTCCAGGCACTAGTTAGCAAGGGATGGGTCAACGTCTTTGCGTATGGTTGGTATCATTGGTCCAAGCGTACTGGCACAGTTGGAAGTATTGGAGGAATGGGCTTCCTTTCGTGTGTCTTGTCCAACGTAAGTTCCTTTCAGGGGTTGATTCTAGGAAGACACTGACAATTCGGAGTTTTCTGGCACTAACATTGGTACCACTATCCTGCTATCACGCATTATCCAAGCTTGGAAAGAGATCAACTGCCACGACGCCCAACTCATCAGCGACAGAACATACTGGGGCACAATCTACAGCATGGCCGTCGGAGTCAACTACGGAGCATTCAGCACCGCCTTCAGCGCATCACTAGCCGGTCTTCTTTGGAGAGATATCCTTGCCCGAAAGCACATTCACGTGAAGAGTCACGAATTCGCCCGCGTCAACTTCCCCATCATTGCGATCTCGATGGCTGTTGGCTGTCTGATACTAGTGGGAGAGGTCTACATCGTGAGGGACAACTCACCATACTCCACATTTGAAAAGGCTTGCTCGAATAATTAATTAATAAATGAACATATAGATATCCTAATTATAGACTGTACATAGCAATCTGAACATACCCATGAAATAGACTTCTCCTACTATTAGGCGACGGCTGAGCGCCTTTGACCCGACCTACCCACCACCAGATTTACGTTGTTCGCGCAGACGCTCCAAAACCCAATCCAAGCTACGAAATCCACTATCAGTCTCAATCCACGACGGTGCAACCCAACTCTTGGTCTCAGCGTTATATGACTTAAGAAGACTCATCACCTCGGTCGTGTTCTCATTCGCCGCCTTCAGAATCTTATTCACAATCTTCTCATCATCCACATCTGCTTCTTTAAGAGCCGGAAGCATTTCTGGGTAACAGCATCTCCTGTACACCAGGTCCAATGCCGTTCGTCCATAGTTATCCGGGATATTTGGGTTTGCGCCGTACTCGAGAAGTCGTCTCACGGCGAAATAGTTCCCAGATTCGGCGGCTACAGCTATTGGAGTCATCTTGTATGGTCCCGCTGTGTTGTCGAGCTGGTCTTTAGTGTTGTACTTTCGAAGGAGTTCGACAATCATGATTCCAGCGACCTCGTGCTCTTTAGCGAATTCGCCGACATACTTGATAGTGAAATGGAATAACGAAAACGTGTCACGGCCGATATCTACCAAGAATCCATCAGAGCCATTGCGGTCCGGAAGACTGAGCAGAAACTTGACGCGATGGAGGGCATTCCTGGTGCCTGTTAAGAGCATGTCTGACATAATACTCTTGCTAATCGACGTAGGAATGCGGTCTCTATCCGCGCCATGATCGAAGAGATACTGTGCAACAGTAAAGTTTCCACTGTAAGCGGCAGTATAGAACGCGCTCAAAGGCTCTGGCGTGACCGGATCGACTGGGAGACCCATTTCCAGAAGCTTCTCAATGAAGTAGACGTCATCTGTTTCTTTGGCAGCACGGTACAGCGCGTTGAGACCATCAGCATCCACCGCATTGACATCCGCGCCAGCGTCGACAAGAGCCTGAAACATATCGCGATCGCCATGCGTAATCGCCAGAAACAGAGCAGAGCCTCCATTGGATATTCTTCCAAAGGTAGTATTGATCTGCTTCGCAAAGCCCAGCTCAAGACCTGAAACCATAAGGTCTACCGCGCATTGATGGTACGCCGTTGCAAACACTGCTGTCATCTTAACATTGTCCCCAAGTTGTAAGACAGCATCTGTAGGTGCGCCGCTCTCAATTAAGGCTTTCATTGTCTTCTTCGTCTCCAACTCAAAGTCGACTCCCAATGTCAACAGTCGCTGCCAACGAGGAGTTCCGGATATAACGTGGAAAAGAGGCAAATACATAAGGTCGCTTCCGCCTACCATTGGCTTCAGCTTGCTTGCTCCCAGTCGAACCAATGGCTCTTGAAGAAGACGTTCGATAACTGGTGAGTAGCAAAGTCCACATGCGAGTTCAAGTGGCGAGAGGTGCGATGCCTCCCCCTCCTCTACCTCCATACAGAATGTCGGATCAGCACCCAGTTTGAGGAGAACATCCACTGCAGAAAGTCTCTTCTGTGTGATAGCCCAATGCAGAGGAGTTTGAGCCAGAATTCCATCTTCGTCAACTCTTACTCCATATTGCGTGCGTGATATTCCACAAGCAGGAGAGTTTAGCTCGGCGCCTTTGCTGACCATAAGGCTTGCGATGGCCTCATGGTCTTCGTCTTCGAAGGAGCCGAGCCAGTGAAGAGGCGTTATACCTCTTGCGTCGGCCATCTGTGCAGCACTTCTGCAGCTTGGGTGTCGTATTATGGTCTCCAGAACGCGTTTTCGACCAAGGCGAGCCGCGACCAGTACAGGCGTCTCCTCATTCTGCAGAGCTAGTTCGGGCAAGTTTTGATTCTGGTTCAAGCAGGTCATTGCCACATCTGGCTTGTCTAGAACAATACTCCATAAAAGCAGATCTCTAGAGTAGGAGAACTCGACTTCCCTCAGAGACAAGACTTGCAACATGGAAGATAAGTCCTCAGACGCGCTGACGTTGACGCCGAGACGATTTAGTTCATCGAGGTGAAGCTTCTGCTTGACTTGTCGCCAGTCTGAAGGCCAGTCCTTTTTCAGTTTCTGGAGAGCAACCGGGTTTCCGGCTTGCGCTGACTCGACAACCCAGGTACGTAGCGTCTCGTCATCAGGAGTCTCTTGGTCAGGAACGTGAGAAAACACGGATATATAGAGAGTTCGGGCTGCTTCGGAACCGAGCTGGGCTGCTTCGCGAATATAGTAGGATGCTGACTTCAAATTGTACTCAACTCCTATATCGTCCATATAGGCACTAGCAAGGTTTAGGGCGGCTTTTGCTCTTTCATTCTGATTGTTGGATGTCTCAAAGATGGTCTTTAGACTATTGAAAAGGGCGACTCGAGCAGCCTTTGGAGTCTTTTGCAGGGTATTTGAGCTTTTCTTAATCTTGATTGAGTTAGTTCCGCTGCATCTTTGCATTGATATTGAAACATACGTCAGGGATGAAGTCTTCGTCTTTGAAAAGCTTTATTGGTTCCGATTTCGACTTGTTGGTAACCCTATCCATAAATTAGCAAAGTAGCTCGGGGGTTGAAAACTAGCTGTGGCCCAGATTATAGGCCGAGGTAGGGTACTAACAATGAGAACAATTCGGTATTGAAAGGCTCATTCAAGAGTCCAGCGCAGTCAAGGATGAGTAAACATGCATTCACGCCAGAAAGAGGCTGAGCGTCACTCGTTTCGCTTGGACTGGCTTCCCTGGGCAAGAGTTGCGATATGGTAGGCAAGAGCTCTGATATCGTCTTCTCAAGTCTCGCCTTGGAAATTCCCTTGAGCGCAGCGATAAACGGAGTCTCGCCTTGACTGAATGAGGAATAGTACCGCTCATGCACTCTTGGCAAGAAATGGGTCATCATGTTACATATTTGCCATGGATCAATGCTTGGAGGGGTGTCCTGGAGATCGAGCTCCTGGCGGAGATATGCAAAGATCACAGTAGTAAGACCTTTGAGAATCGTCCTTTCCGATCTCTCATCATCTGTCGTGGGGATCTTGGCTCTGTAAACGATGCTCTCAAAGGTAGGGAGCGCAGCTGTTAGGGCGCTGGCGTCTGGAGTATCACGCCCATCCATGCTGCCCACGAGAGACTTTGTAACTTCGAGGTGATCGATAATTTTGGACATGCTTGAGAATCTTTTCTCCGGAGAGCACTGCAGACATGTGAGAATGAGTTTTGCAAGTGTCATGAGTGGATATTTCTCGTTTCGCAGACGATGGAGGACGTTGAAAGTAGCAAGGCTCGCTATCAGATTACTCTTTTTGAGCTTCCAAACACTCTCAAGCTTATCGCCGTCTGGTAAAGTGCTGTGATAAGCCTCTCCGTCACCAATAATCGTCCATAGCGTCAAGCCAAAAGAGTAAATGTCTTGCTGGCGAAGATAGCGACTGTCAAAATCTGCTGTCTCTGCCTCAGGTGCACGGTAGACCTCGGTACTGCCGATAAGCTGCCCACCTTGCATGGGCATCGCAAACCCAAAGTCGCTGATTTTAATGATGGTCTTTTTGGTTGGATGTTTGAAGACAAGAAGATTAGAGGGCTTGACATCACCGTGGACAATTCCTGCTTCGTGAAGGCCTTCAAGACCCCTTGCTGCGTCGATAGCAATGTCTAGCTTCTCATGCAGCGACCGTCCGTAACCTGCTTCTTGATATGACTTGAGATTTCCATACTCAGCATATTCGAGCACCAGAGCGGGAACAACAGTTATTCCCTCCTTGTTTCCGGTATCATGATACATGACAGCCAATAAGTCAACGATGTTCTCATGTTTCTGGACAGGAGGGTGTCTCAAGATCTGTAGTTCCAAGGCTATGTCGGCAAAGGACACAGAACCGTCATCTTGCGTTCTTGGATGTTTAACGGCGACATGTTTGCGACCTTTCAAGATCTCCGTACCCAGACCAATCGGAAAAGAAGACGCTTTGACTTTTCGAACATCGAACGAGCCACCACCAAGGGATACATCTTGGAATGTGGGGGCGGCATTCGATATCACAGGCTGCAGGCCTATAGCGTCGCCACCATTTGCGAAGGATACTGCTATAAATCCCGCAAAGTGAGGGCAGTGAATACCGGGAGGTGGAATGGGGATAGGATCTTCACTAGTGGATTCTTGGTTGTCTTGGGGTTGTTGCCGAAAGGTGAATGCTGAGGAGAACTCCATCCTGATTATGCTACAGGATGAGAAACATCCAACATCTCGTAAATCCCTCGAGCTTGATATCATGATTCTCGGGTGACACATGACCTCAGCTTGCAGGAATCACCGGATTATCAATTTACCCCGCCACGAATGTGCGTAAACCCCGCAGCTGATGGTATGCGGCTCAGGCTCTCATATTCCCGGTATTATTCTTGAAATCACTAGAAATTCGGAGTGTCTGCTTAGTGACTGGACCAAGAGCAACATGGTAAGCGATTTAGTGGATTTCCAGGTCGGGGCGGCCGGTCTCGGAATCGGGGCATTTGGTGGCCTGATAGACGCATTCACAGCCTGCGCAAGGATATACGGCCTATGGAAATCACTACGAGGTCTCGATGGATATCTGGGCCTGCTTCGGACTAAACTTATACTCCAAGAGGCTTTGTTAGACCAATGGCAGAGGGACTGGCTTGATCAACCGACCTCTAAGCGAATCGACATCCAGAAGCAACGAATTCTTCAGAGACACAAAGATGCTGTTCTGGCTTCGTTGACAACAGTCAAAATGCTACTTGAGTCACTGGAGCCACTTCGTCAGGCTTCGAGATCAGGACTTGCACTTGAGCGCCTGAAGTTGGTGACCGGTGGGGCGGAAGAGCATGACAAGACGCTTGTGCAAATAAGCGCAGTCCTCAGCGACTTGTATCGCTTACTACCGACTCGAGACCCAAACATTGCCCTTTCACAGACCGTTTTGTCACTGGAGCATATCGGCAATAATCAGCAAGTACTATTTCAAGACAGAGACTCGACTCAACATGTAATACAGCCTGATAAGCTCAAGCGAGCTATCAACTTTCGACAACTGGGATATGACCTAGATCAAGACCTAGAAAAGCGAGTCGCGGCGTTTAAAAGCAGTACTGGTGATGCTGATCTCACTATTCGCTCAGACAGAGTCAGAATTCTGAAAGATGACGATGTCGCTGGCGGATTAAGAAGCTTTGGAACACTTGACTCAAGCACTCCGATAGTGATTGAGTGGAAGCGTTACGACATTACCTGGAAACGACAGAAAGGAATCAGACTCAGAGGAAGGATCCAGAACATTGCGCGGCTCTTGCACGCTGATGCAAAGCCCGAAGAACTCCTGACTCTCAACTGTCTAGGAGTGTTTGAGGACATTGAGAAGAGTCGATATGGCCTAATCTTTGGTTATCCTCTAGGAACCAGTCAAACAACAGATCTGGTATCTCTACAAGCGTTGATCAAATCGCCAACGCCTGAGACTCTACCAACATTGGGTGACCGATATCGTATGGCTTATACGTTGTCACTCTCACTGGCCATCCTTCATGCGGCAGGATGGCTCCATAAGAGCATCAGAAGCCATAATATCATGATTCCAGTGCGGCGCAATCAACCCATCTGGTCTCAGCCATACCTCGTCGGATTCGAATTCTCCCGTCCAGATTCAGCCGATGAGACCACCGAAAAGCCCGAACAAAGCGTACGTTTCAATCTATATCGACATCCTTCCGCACAGGGTATTCCAGGAGAATCATACCGCAAAGGCTTCGACATCTACAGTCTCGGCGTCGTGCTTCTCGAAATTGGTCTATGGCGCGTAGCATGGAGCCTACGTCGTGACGACGAAAACCCCGCCAAGTTCAAGGAAGTGCTGCTCAGCAAGGTAGACGACAGGCTAGCTCACTTCATGGGGACAGAGTATCAAGAGGCGGTAAGGAGCTGCCTGAACGGTGATTTGGATCATGGGGAGGGATCGGTGATACGTGCTTTCTACAATGAGGTTGCGGAAACTATGTGCTCATTGGCGGAGTCACAGCCATAGTGATTGCAGCATCTCTTATCTGCTATAGTCTAAGAATGATGGTACTGTACAGGGCTTTTTGCACTTGTCTCAGTCTAGCTTGGTTTTAGGGACTTTGTTAGTGCCGTGTTGTATCAAAGCGTTTAGCTTGACGGATCCCTGTATGTCGTCCGAAATCCTGACAGGGGCAATCAGAGACCTCGGCAATGATGACTCTAGCTACCATGAAGACTCAGTCAACTCCAGTGCTTGATTCATGCCTCAACGAAAGCTGGGGGATACGTGTTGGCATCTATCGTGTGAATAAATTCAGTTCTTGATGAAAAATCTTGCGGGATGACCTTGTTGAAGCCTCATCTTCAGTGTGCCATTCTGCCTGGTTGGTTGTGAAACTAAATCGCTCTCGGTGCACGGCCTCCAGAATGATCTACATAGAAGCTTCGAAGCGACTCGTCCGGGGTCAAGAGGCCATCAACGCATGACTTAATGTTATCTAGGGCCAAAGGAGCAATGCCGTCCAACATCCACTAACCCACGCGACTAAGAGCGGATAAGGCATGATCTGCAGGGGTATCCGCATCACGAAATCTAACTTGTTCATTACGCTTATCGTAACCGCCGCCTCGACCAATAGCATCCCCTCCTGGCAACCCCTACTCGTTTTAGAATGGTTATGTCCTGAGAGTTCACATGATAAACTAACCAATAGTTCCTTTACAAAAGCAGTTTAATCACGGATAGATCCTAGGTCTCAGCTGCACCCAAAACAAACGTCCCTCCTCCCCATTGCCGAGTCCCGATCCAGCTCCCTATCAGGGCCTTAGCAATGCCGAATTCTCCGGACATAGTCGGCGGTAGCATCCCTTCTCGGTAGGTGCTTAAGCCAAGACTGGCGATGCCCCGCTGTCGCGCCACGGCGGAACTGCTCGTTGTTTACTAGACGTCGCTCATTCCGCTACTGCAATCAAGATGCCTGGAGAAGACCTTTTGTTAGGTAAAGGGGTCGCTGGGGCTTTGGTGGGGCGACCACCTCATGGCTGCCACGATTAATGGGAGCAGCCAAGAAGCCAAACAGATGCCAAGGACGGGAGGCTGCATAGACAGATCAGCCAAGGAATTAAGGTCCGGCATCTATCGCGCGGATCAAAGGGACTAATCACGTCAGAGATGTACCTCTTTTCTCGGAAGGTGGCTCGGATGTTGGAAGCCGAGCGAGGTGTGAGCCAGAGATAGATGAAGCATCACCAAATGGAGATATGGCGGAATCTCTCAATCATTGTCAGACTCCTTTGAGTCAGTAAAGATATATAAGTTGAGATAGGGACCATCTATCCTGGAAACAAATCATCATCACTCACTCACTCTTCTCTAGTCTCATCTCTATCTCTCAGCCTCTCACGGATATCACGATGCCTTCCATCCACGCTCTTCTCACAGCCTCTTTGGCCTTTGCTTCCATTGCCCTCGGCGCCCCTGCTGCTCAGGACAAGAAGTTTACCGTTGAGCAAGTCAAGAACCCCAAGTTCATCAAGAACGGCCCTCTCGCCCTCGCCCACGTCTACGCCAAGTATGGCGTTCCTCTTCCCAAGGGTCTCGAGAAGGCTGTCAAGGCCGTGAGACCTCCTCACGCCCACTCCAAGCGTCAGAGTGGTAGCGGCAGCGCCACGACTACACCCTCGGATGAGGATGTTGAGTGGTTGACACCCGTCCAGATCGGAACTCCTGCTCAGACCTTCAACTTGGACTTCGACACTGGCTCTTCTGATCTCTGGGTCTTCAGCACCGAGACTACCGGTAGCAGCGGTCATGATGAGTATAACCCTGCCAAGAGCAGCACTGCCAAGAAGCTCTCTGGCGCTACATGGAAGATCAGCTATGGTGACGGAAGCTCCTCATCTGGAGATGTCTACAAGGACAAGGTCTCCGTCGGTGGCCTCGTTGTGAGCTCTCAGGCCGTTGAGGCCGCCCAGAAGGTCTCCTCCGAGTTCGAGCAAGAGACTGGCCTCGATGGTCTCCTCGGCCTTGGCTTCAGCTCCATCAACACTGTCAAACCTACAAAGCAGAAGACCTTCTTCGACAATGCAGCCAGCACCCTGAGCTCTCCTGTCTTCACCGCTGATCTGAAGCACCAGAAGCCCGGAAAGTACAACTTCGGCTTCATCGACAGCACTGCCTACACTGGAAAGATTGGATATGCCTCCGTCGACTCCTCCGAGGGCTTCTGGGAGTTTACCTCTACTGGATACGGTATTGGCTCCGCCGCCATCAACAGGAGCCCCATCACTGGTATTGCTGATACTGGTACTACTCTTCTCCTCCTCCCCGATGATGTCAACTCCGCATACTATGCCAAGGTCAGCGGTGCCCGATACAGCTCTAGCTATGGTGGATATGTCTTCAGCTGCTCTGCTACTCTCCCCAGCTTCAGCTTCGTTGTTGGCGGCGTTACCATCACCATCCCTGGCTCTTACATCAACTATGCCCCTGTTCAGGACGGATCTACTACCTGCCTTGGTGGTATCCAGCCTAGCGACGACATTGGCATCAACATCTTTGGTGACATTGCTCTCAAGGCTGCATTCGTCGTTTTCGATGGTGGTAACCAGCAGGTTGGCTGGGCTAAGAAGACACTGTGAGTGACTTCAGCAGGTGATGGATGAGTCTGTAGATAGCTGGATCTTGTGCTACATTTAAACCTTGTACATAGCATTTTACTTGTCAATAGTTGAAATGAACATAACATTGGACACTTTAAATCAACGTCTCACGAGAGTGAATTTAGTCTTGTGTTTTGACGTAGTAATGGTATGATATAGGCCTAACAACCCATAAATTCTCTGTAGAGCTGAAAAGCCGGAAGACCATGTGAAGTGTTTCAACGGGCTAATTCTCCAGTAAGAATAAATATATAGGATGGATGCGAAGGCTTGGGCTGGTGAATGACGTCGAACCTAAAACACTTTGCAGTCTGCCCTCCGTGAGATGTACCTCTCGGTTGACTGTTACGCAGCCAAGACTAACAATCAAAACAGCAAACCGAGATCCCCACGGAAAGCCTTTATCTCTTTTTATTTCGGCAACATCCGTTCTCACTCCTTCCTGCTTAGAGGGCGAATACCTCGCTCTCAAGGCTATCGAGGATTGATCAATGTCACATAGTCGTCGTGTCTCTCGTTGTAAATTAGATTACGATCTGAATGAGAGTTATCGCGGTAGCCATTGGTCAGGCATCGTGGTATCGATGACTAAGTTGTGGGCTAGAAGTGTTATTTGCAGTTGAGATTTGTGGCTGTGAGCTTATTCCGGCAGAGAGAACCTAGAGAGTTATCGCGACTTATTTTTGAAGATACTTAATACTTGATACGGTTTCCAGGCAACACAACACTAAAGTTCGGAAATGCTACAGAGGTATTGCTTTGCTACATTAAATCCCATGACAGGACGAGAAAGTTACATCGCCCCTCTTTGTCAAATCATATATGCCATGGAAAGATATTATGAACTTTGCCCAATTACTATGAAGATGTGTTAATGCGGAGCCCTGATAGAACCTGGTAACCCCTCATGGATACAGGCCTTCCAGCCGTTTGCTCGTCGTCCCAGTCTTGCGAGCAAGCACCTCAAGCATTTGCGGGATTCCTTTCGGAGCTCTTAACGGCGGATCTGGTTCCTCTATATCCGAGTCAGATTCAGAGTCAGAGCCAGATCCCCAATCCATATCCATGGCTATCAGTTCATGCATCTCAACGATATCGTTGCTGTCAAAAATGCCCTCGCGGTGGTTCAACTTGCGAAGGAGGTCAAGTGCTTGGGGCCTCTCGTCCCCGCCTTCATTCGAGATGGCAACAAATGACAGACCAGACACCAGACACCCGTCTAGTGAGAAGGTAGGTTGGCCAAGTGCTATGAGAGGTGCGGCCACTTTCTCTGCGGCCTCTATGAAGCCTTTGAATGGATTGGGAGGCTGTCTTCCTTTGTTGTCGTATGCGTTGATGTACATCTGCAGAGATTGGTAGTGAAGCTCCAGAGTTTGGATATGCGCTATCTCATGACTGGATAAGCTTGGCATCAATTGTTGAGTCAAAGCTTCGAAACGGGAATTCCAGCGACGGAGCATATCCTCAAACGCGTTGTCGTTGGTCAACCCATCTTCCCTATCCGGATTCCATGGCTGGAAGTCGTGGTGCAGCCTTAGCTCATGCAAGGCATATGAGGCCTCGCTGAGCGTTGCAAACGGCGAGTCAACACTCGCTTCAGTGCCAGTTTCACTACGACACCATTTCTTGATGCCCGGCAATGGATGGTCTCCCATGTATCCATACGACGCAAGGCCCATCTCGCTAAACATGTCGACAAGTCCCTCTATCATATCTGAGGTATCCGAGGAGCTTTGACACCTCAGTGACTGAAATACCATATCGCCGGCCGCGAGATGTTGCAGGAGTTCATCGTACCGACCAGTCAGTCCCTCACAAGTCATGAAGAGTAGACAGCAAATCAGTATACAGTGAATGTTCTCGTTCGAAGGTGCGGACATTATGGGGAGAATCGAAGATATGGCTCTGTTGTAGTGTTGGATGACAGGACGCTGGAGGTGATCTGGGCGGGAGTAAGGTAGACTTTGGGCCATGTAGGCTCGATGAGATGCCCCAACTGCAATCATGCTGTACCGGATGGCATCGTAGTGATATGACATCGGAAGTGCGTATTTGAGCCAGAAGTTCATGGCAGCAGACGAAGGTGAAAGCTGTTTTGCTGTCCAGTGAAGGAAATGTTGAAGGTAGCCCTTTTCAGGGTCTGATAACAAGGAGAGTTGGTCAACAGTCTGCATAGATAGCAGTGGGAGTGAAATAGAGACCCCAGTCTTCGGGGAGGCATCTCGACCCTTAGAGCGCTTTGAAGCCTTGGGCATGGGTGGTGCATATCCGTCGCACTTCATCTTGTCGTTATGGCAGCGTCGACAAAAGGGTTTTGCTTCGTCGCATTTCAAGTGCCTGATTCTAAAGAGAGGATACCTATGAGCTTTATACAAGAGGGCTTAGAAGGTTGCTTGGACTCACTTGCTACAGTGTTTCCTAATTAGTGATGTTTTACGAGAAACGAGGCGGTAAGCTATCAACGTACCAGGTGATGCATCCGGTTCTGACCTTGGGAGTCGAGGCTCGCTTGAATTTGCCCCTCATCGCGAGGGCTTGATTGGCTGTCATGGCTGTAGGGAATAAAAGGTCCTATTGCTTGTTACGAGATTGCAAATTGGAGGTGAATGGTACCGGCGAGACTGTTTTATGCCAATGAGAACGCCGAGGCTGGTGAGAAATTGTACGAGAGTGGCTGAGATGAAAATGGGGCTTTGCTTGCAGGTTTACGAGAAATCCAATCATGTCTCGAAATTCAATGGGTCATAGAAGGCCAATAATGATTGGTAGACTGGGAGTTGGTCTGGACTCTGTGTGACTCAGCGTGTTTTCGTGACTCACCTCACAGAGTGGGCCAGTCGTTATCTTATCAAAGAGAGAGGTAATGAGTGTAGCTGTAGGTTAGCTCAGCTTACGCCCTGATCTTCACGATACTTACGGATCAATTAGTACGGATACAGTCATAAATCTTGCCTATTAGGGTAGGCTAAGTACTATCAAAAATTGGGGTAATTTACTGCGGTAAAGTTCGGGTTTTAAAAGAGGCTTCAGCCCCCAGGCCACAAAGGTAAAGGACACCAATAAACACATACGGGCAATATACTCGTCACCCACACAATCGCCTAAGATCTTGCTTTTGGCTGAAAGCTAGATGGTCTGATGACTGACTCCAAAGGTGTATAAATGAGTGCTGGGATTAAGTTAGCGAACTGTAGACAGATTGCAACAAGGTTTGGATTGACCTGCCTGCTGCTCGTCCGCAAGGATGATCGGCTCAGAGCACACGAAACACACACAAGGTAAGCTGCCCGTTGGAAGCAAGTCTGTCAACTCAAGATAACACTCTCAAGATGACTTCCACTGCGACTTACATGGTTAGTAGTGTGACGAAATGACTCAGAGTGGTGGGAAGAGACTTACCCGTACGACAGATGATCGGTGAGCGGCCGCCGGCAGGCACGCAGATCACAACCTAAGCATCAGTTAGTAATTTATCCAACGTTAAAAGTTGTACAGAGACATACCCCGACTCCAGACTTCTTCCCTATGGTCAACAATAGAATACGCAAGACGCTGAGCAAGACGCTGAGCAAGACGAAGGAATTCCAAGGCCTCAGTGCGGCTATCAGAGAAAACAGCCTTGACGATAAGGCCCTCCTGGCTAAGAGTGTAACCCTGTTAGAAATCTCTTCTTGAATATTGATGAATATACTTACAGGTCGTCAAATTCGGCTACCACAGCTACATCACGGCGACAAGCCCTCATCGTGACATCAAGAAGAAATATCACAAGATGATCGAGGAATTGTCGGATGACAGGATCGTAGAAGGGGCGCAAATGGCGAGGAATCTATCCTAGTAAGCCTGTAATCATGAAGTAGAGAGTTCGAGCACTTACAATCCGGCTTGGGCGTACGCAGTGATGGACCTGTGGGAGGCGACCAATGCTGGGATTCCGTATCCGTAGGTTCACTGATTAAAAACGGGTCAGAGTTTTGATCTAGTTACTGAGGTTGGAGGCATGAGAGTGGCGTGACAGCTTACAAAATGAGTCAGTCGGTGAGAGATGACTCTGCTATTTGAAGAGCTGTAAGCTGTGCCATTCATCCGAAGTGGACCTGCATATAGGTAATAAAATGCAGCGTTGGACGTACAGGAAAAAGTTAGACGGTCTGGTGGCGTTTGGCGGAAAAGCTTGTCTGTCTGATGGCATCAGTCGATCTGTCTTAAGAGTTCAGCAACTGAAGTAGAGATAGATGGGAGGAAGGCTTACTGGAGACTCGGTCGTAATCAGGACTAGGTTTTCAGTTAAATAAAGCTTCTACTTGGAAATGTCAGTATCTATATTCGCCAAAGGCAATGCGAAAGAACGAGAGGGGCGTAGCCGGTGGAGGGGACTGGCGATAGTTGAAATGGCGGGAGGGGCCACAGCGCGGATGGGAGGGCCAGCAGCCATGAAGTTCAAGGACCAGTGGGAAAGACTGGCAAGAGTGAGGATGAGAGGAGTAACAAGCTCCAAGTATCCGAGCGAAAGAGAGGGACCGAGAGGCAAAAGCCAAGTGAAGGATACAAGGGGCGGCCAGAAAGAAGAGGATGGAAGAAAGTGAATGGAGGGTGAATAGACAAACGAGAACCGAAATACCTACTACTGAATGAGTCACAAAGGTTTTGAACACAAAGGCTCTGCTGAAAGCAGAGAGAGCGCCGCAACTGGCGCGAAGCAGGCGAGTTATGGCGTCGCCAAGGTAGGATACACTTGGCGTAGCGATGATGAGGAGTGCCTCCTATGGAGGAGATTCGTCAATGTTGGGGAGACGGGATACCCGGCAGGTGATGGCTGCATCCTTGAAGTAGGAGAGACTGCACGAGGCTGCGCTATGGGGTTCATGCAGGTGTGGGGAGTAAGGGGGAGGGGGAGAGAGTAGAGGAGGAAGAGAGGCGGGTTACTGTGGCTGTCTGGTCCCGACGCCTGCCGGTGTATAATAAGATGAAATGGGGACTGCCCTTCGAGGAGACGTAGATGTCCCTTTGGCGCTATCGAATAGTGTGATACCATTGCCATAGGAGACCATTGTCTGTTCTGACATGGTCGACTGTAGCGAGTTGGAAGTGGATATCCGCTCCTCACGGGGCGAGATGCAACTGGGGTCGAAAGGGAACTTGGAAGACTTCTTTCTCACATTGTCGAACTTCTCGATGTCAAAGTAGGTGATGGCCCACTGGGCCGCGACTCCTCCGTCGACAGTGAGAAGTCTAGAGAAGTTGGTGTGTTGAAGCTCCCGGAATAAACGCTTTCGCTGGGAGTCAAGGCGTGTACATTCGACCAAGAGGTGGAACGGGGTTTCTCGGGATTTGGCGCAAGGACAGGATGGAGCATCGCCGAGCTTGATCCTGCAGAGATGGTACTTGAGTCCGATGAACTCGGTCCTGCATTGGAACAGCATGGTACTCTGTGCCCGCGTCAAACCCTTGTAGTAGCCGAGGCTTTGTTTACCCCAGCGCTCATCCAAAGCAACTGGGAGTCTCAGACGCGAAGGGTGCTTTCCAGCTGCGAGTTGGGTCTTTTCGCGACCTTTAACGTAGTCCCGCCACAAGAGCTGACACTCCTGGGCTGCCAGCCACTTGATATGTGACCCCACGATCTTGCCACGCCCCTTGCGGTCTGCAAAGCGATCTGCCATGGCCTGCACATGCGAAGGATCATCCGAGTCCTGAGCCAGCAGCGCCTGATACTCGACGGCACCTTTCAGCATTTCTCCTGCCTCTTCCTCCAGGAGTATGATTGGGTTCCCGATCCTAGCTTTTGAGGCACCATCCCCGCAAGACAGGGACCTCCATCGCGAATCGTGGGAAGTAAAGCTCATTGCTCGTTGTAAAGTCGCCTGTGAGTGCAGAATAGTCCACATGTTCTCGATGAACAACTCCTTCTCAACCAAGGTACCAGCAACGCAACCAAAAGCGCCCGAGACGAAGCGAAGGCATTCAGACTGCAAGGACTGAAGGCGGAGAATCAACTTGTTGTTGAGGCCAAAGTGCAGAGGTGTGCTCACGCCCTCACGCTGCTTGATGAACCAAGCTCCACAAGCGTAGGTGATGACAGGACGAATCAGCGTCAAGTAATATTGACGGATTGCATACATGTCAGAGCCCCATGTGCTCCCCGAGATCCGTTTCATGTAACCCAGTCTCTGTCTGCACTTCCTGACGATCTCGGTGACATGAAGGTCAAAGGTCATCTGAGAGTCCACTATGACACCCAAGATTGTCATCTTCTCCTGGACCTTCTCGACGAAACCTTCGATCACGGGCCTCACTTGGTTGTGAGTCGGCTGTCGAACGGTTGGTAGTCTCATGTGCATGACGTGGTACTTGTGAGAACCAAAGCTGATGAAAAGCTCCTTGGCGATTGGCAACATCTGCTCATGGAGGATTTCAAGTCCTCTGCAGTTGATGGCATAGCTGCGACACGGCGATGTAGTAGACGTCATCCACAAAAGAGAATTGGTATAGGCGGACGGTCTCCTTCTTGCCGTCAACGTAGATGAGTCGGGGAGGGAATGTTTGTTCCACGAGAGGACAAACAAAGAAGTAGAAGAGGATGGTAGAAAGGGGCGAGCCTTGAGGGATTCCTGTGTTCAGCCCAAACGTCTTGGAGACGATGCCGGGCAAACGCAGAGTGGCATCTCGTAGTGAAAGCACAAGCCGGATGATGTCAACGAACCATCTGGGGAAGCCTTTGTCGTACAAGGTTTGCAAAAGCTTCTGGCGATAGACGTTATCGTAGGCACTGCTCATATCCAGACCGAGAATCGTAACAACGTCATCGCTGTTGGAGCACCAAGTGGTATAGATGATACGGAAGAGATACTGCAGGGCCTCGGTTGTTGTCTTGTTACCAAACTGGGTTGCTGGAAGGAGATGTGGATGTTGCTTCAATACATCAAGCATCATGTCGGCGAGGATCCTTTAGTAAAGCTTGCCAACGGTCGAGAGTAATGAAATGGGCCTGTAAGACTCGGGCTTGTGCGGTTCCTTGCCAGTCTTCAGTAGCATAACGATGATACTGTCCTTGAAGTTGGCGGGGTGAAGTGATAGGTTGAGGCAGGCATTGAATCCAAGCACAAAGTAAGGCAGCAAGGGTTCCATGCCGAGCTTTATTGCTTCGTTGGGCACCTTGTCTGGTCCTGGGGCTTTGTTGTTCTTAAGACCCTTGATGATCTTCCGGAGCTTCTCAGCATCGATGCTCCGGGGCATGTCGATGTCCTCTCGCTGGGGGTCGTGCCTTGGGCCAGGCTCGTCCAGGATTCTTTTCGACTCGGGATTGTTGTTGTTGCGGAACTTGACCTTCTTAATCATCTCAACCTTGTCGTAATCTGATTCCGCAAATTTCGTTTCATTGACGTCTTCACTGTCGCACTTGTACTCGAGTGTTGGGGTTTGAGTGAACTGAAGTGGTTGAGATTTACCCCTGGCCAACCTGAACACGTTGAACAACTCTTTCGAGGAGGGACGTCGAGTCTCGTCACGGTTGGACTCGCCCCACATCTCAATATTCAACCTGGCGAGATCGCGTTCCACAAAAGATATTCTCCGCAATGTCTTGGGCGTCTGATCCTTCTTCTTGAGAGCGTCCAACTCTGCAAGTCGCTTTCTCAGCTTCGTTGCCAGTTCCTTGGCTCGCAGAGCTTGAGGCCTGAGACCGCAGGACCTCCTAGGCACGTTCTCCGTCATGGTGACATGTAGAGCATCTATGATCTTGGCAAAAAAGGAAACGATCTGATCTTCGTTGTCAAGTGGGCTGTCGAGAGGTGGAAGACGAGGCTTGAGATGATGTTGGAACTTCGAAGGAGTGATCTTGTGCCAGCAAGGCATAGTCTTGGCCTCCCTCTTGACCGTGCGCTTGACCGATGTTTCAATGACGCGATGGTCACTCTCGAATCCGGGCACTTGGAGCACTTCACAGCACCCAACCGAATTGCTAATCGATTCCTCCGCGAAGGTCAAATCGATAGTCGAGCTCCGCTTCGATGTATCCTTGGAGTTGGAGTAGGTTATCGCGCCTTTCTTCGTCTTCTGTATGTAGTTGTGTGCCTTGACACCTTCGGCAAACTTCTTGCCCGACGTGCTCGTTTCCGTCCTTTCATTGCCGTTCCAGTCCTGGTGATGGTAGTTGAAGTCCCCAAGAAGAATGCTATGGTCTGAACATGAGTCCATGTAGGAGAGCAAGGAGTCGACCTTGAGTTTGTTGAGGTGGTTGTAAACGTTGTGAATGACCAGAGGTTTAGTAGCCGTAGCAGCGTCAAGGCTAGCAATCTCAAGGGTAGCAAGTAGTTCCCTGTTGGCACCTTTGCAGGTCTTGACTCTCCAGGAAGTAGTCGGTATAGAGTTGTGTACATAGAAGCCGACACTGTGTATCTTGGGGATGGCCTTGAACTGGAAGCTCTTGTCGGAGAGGCTGTTGACTCCAGTATGAATACTTTTCTGGACAGAAGAGAATGCTTTCTTGGCGGAGACGAGTTCTGAAGGAGCATCTGAGCATGCCCCCAAAACCTCAGTCACCATCGTCTGCACACTCGAGAGCGTGTTAGCGATACATAGCAGAGCAGACTTTGCCATGATCGCGGTATCTTCGTTCGCAAAGGCAATCTCGCGGAGGTCGGAGAGGGATTCGCGTGCCCCAGCAAGGCGGGGATTTGCCTGCTGAGCGGTGATGGATGTAGGGGGCAGCCACGGTTGACTGACGTTGATAGCGACTTGGGCACGATCAAGGGCTTCGAGGCATTTATCAACGATCTTAGCCCACTTTCTGTGTTGGGCATCGGGTTCATAGTCCGCTTCGGTGAACTGACCGTCAGAGAGGTACCAGACATGATATCCAGGGATACCATGAAAGGCCTGTTTGTAGCACATGTCCTGTACGGCAATGACTTGGGGGAGTGGGCGGGGAGACTCTCCGTAGAGTCGACTGTTGATCTCGGTGCAGAGGGCTTCCACTCGCTTGTCGCATCTCTTGATATTGGCTTGCCATATCAGGAGATTGTCTGGCGTGGTATTGTCAGGGTGGTCGTGGCAGGCACCTTGATCGAGTAAGTTGACACACCGCTCGTCGTTCAGTAACTCGCGGTAGTCTTGGTGTGGACTGTCTTGCTCATCGTCGTCGTCCAAGGACATCTCGACATCAGCCGGCGGAGGAAAGGTGGGTAGGGTAGAAGTGTTCATATCGATCGACATGGTGCTGTCTGAAGCTGCAAGTTCCAGGTACACAAGTGTGAGTAACGACAGCTTCAGCCGGGGGCATGGGTGGACATACCTATACGGTGCACAATAGAATGGAGGAGGATGAAGGGATGGATCTCGAGCGCTGCTTGTACAAGGGGAACGACGGGTCAGTATAGGTAGAGGCGATGAGGGGACGAAGAAGTAACGACAACGATAATGAAAACAGAAGCAACATAACATGCTGCAAATCACTCCGTCAAGGCAAGAGGATAGGACAAGTAGAAAGGGCAAGAGAAGATGCAAAGAGATTGGAAGGTACCTTAGATACCGAGAAGTGGCAGCACAATACGACAGAGCAATGTGCAGACGTGGGAGACAGGCAGAAGAAGGGGAGGAGAGGTAGAGCGTAGGTGCTTGCTGCCTCTGCAAGAAGCGACAGCTAGAAAAGAAAAGAGGCAGCAAGTGAGGTGATGATAATCCCAAGATAGAGAAGGCAAGCTCTTGGACAGCAAAGAAAAGCGAAAGCGAAAGCGCTTGGAAATAATTTCGACAGCAAAATAGAAATCTAGCAAACGAGAAGAGCAAGTTCATTGTGTTGAGCAAAGGAAGAACAAAGGGAAACAGGCGGGCAAGAGAGAGTAAGGGTCATGGAGGCCATTTGCAATCACTCTCCAGATCAGCCACTAATCCAAGATCAGTGAAATTCATTTTGAGAAAATATACGGCAGATTTTTGGAAAATAAAATGGCAATACTCCAGCAGTGAAAACGAATTAAAAAAAAGACAGCCAAATGAAAATGAAAATGGAGATGAAGAAAGGCAAAGATGGAGGGAAATCGCCAGGTCTGAGAGTGATTGAGTTCTGGACACGGGGGCTAGGGGCGCTACAGGGGGCTGATCTCACCGGTGGGGCACGCTGTAACTAGAATATGTAGGGGGTAAAACGTCGTCGTCATAGATGACAAAAACAATTAGCCTCATATTCCCCAAGACTCGACCAAGGTTACCCAAGTCTTTTTGTCTTGTAGCATACGGAGTCCAGTTCCTTGGTCCTTTTGCTCACTGGCCAAATTGCCCCTCTTCCTTCGACCATACGGATGAACTAGAATGAGAATCCAACCCCCGCCGAGACACTAGTTGGCAAACATGTCTCATCATGGATATAGAAAAAGTAAAAAATGAGGTCACCCAGACTTCCGCCATTTCTCTTTTCCAGACAACACAGTGGGAGTAATACTATGATGAGCCATGATGGCTGTCCTACCCTAGAGAAAGTGTTTTCTGTCTGGTTTATCTGGCTATTGCTACTGGTAAGGCCATTCTGTTGAAGCCGAAAGAAACGAGACAACGAGACAGGACACAAACATACAGCAGGAACCTGGAGCGAAGCATGGAAACCGCTCATCTTGTACCTCTATGGTACCAATATCGGAGTATACAGCGTTTCCTCAACACAGAGTTTACATTAACAAGTACCATAAACTACCTACCTATACACTCAAACCATACTTGCGTATACTCCTACAAAAGACTCTTTTCAATCGTAACTGAATAATTGCACCCAATGTGTGCCTCGGGAGGGACGGTCCATAACTCTGGTCCGAAGCTAATAATATGGGTGTAGGGTCTTGAGCTCTGATTGGGGTGATTTTGGGTCGCGGCTGAGGTTGCGAGATACCGCGCAGCCGATGTAGGAGAGCCAAGCATGATATGTGATTACAGAGTATCAAGAATGCAACACGATCCTCGCAGTCTTGGATTCAAAGCCACAGACGCGGAACTCCAAGTTGATCAATTTCATTTCCAGCCACTAGTTGCTACAACGTTGACGAGCGCGAAAAGTACGCTAATGATCACTCAGGAGGGCCAGAAGTTTCGGGGTTTTTGGTCACGCTCACCTGCAAACGCTTTCACTCTCTTAATCTCATCTTCTACGAGCCTCTTCAAGCAGAGTGATTAGGGGAGTGATCTGGATTTCCTTAAAACTTCATCCGCCAGAATGTGCTCACACAGTCTCTCTCACTTGGCAAATCGTCAACCTGAATCTTACATCCCACAATCTTGAACTTGACTATATCTTTCAATCTATCCATCACTCCATCTTCAGCCATCATTATGACTCCCCGTCGTCTTTCATCTTCAAACAGTTTGGCGAATGCTCGTTCTGTTAGCACTGGCCAGTCCTCAACCCTTAAGGGTGGTCAGATGTCTATGGACTCATTCGTCAAACCCGTTTTTGGGCCCTGGCCGCCTCGATCGGAGACACTTCGCTCTGGCGGTTCGTTCTCTCAGCATAGGCGCGCCGTTGGGGGGATGGTAACCCGTGGCACTGAGGCCATCGACGAGCCTCCTTCTCGAAGGTCAACAGACAGAAGGAGGCGCGAAGACAGAAAGAAGAAATCCAAGGTTTCTGTCACCCTCCGATGTGATCCTATGTGGCTCGGGTCACAGACCACTCCCGGCCTGCAGGCCAAGTACATGAACAGACGAGAAGATGTCTCCAGGCTCATCGTCGCTGTCCATTTGAATGACCGCAGAGCCGGCATCATGACCCTTGTCGTTAACTCTGACTCTGACGCACAGCAGATCAGGGACCACTATGAATTGATCCGCGATGCCTTTGATCATCAGGTTGAGATTATTCCTGAGAAGTTTCACATCTTGTCTACCGACATCACCAAGAGGAGGCTTGCAGATCGCCTTGCTGGGCCTGGCCAGAGTCGATCTCAACTACGAATCACTTTTCGAAGACCTTCCTGGCCGTCTCACAGACTGGTTGCCGAAACGGGCTTCCGTCAAAGTTTGTTGACGGACGGGTGGTTCTCCTTGGTCCTGTCATTAGGTTTGTGGCGCCAATGCCAAGCCTCGGCTTGAAGATGGACTTGCCTTTTGTTTGTTGAGCCGAACGGGTCACACTGTGTTGGGGAAACATGTTTCCTGCACAGCTGAATTAAATTAATCCTCTGTTGTCATGGGAGAATTGCAGTGATCATATTCTTATTGACACATTTTCTTCTGCCAATCAATTGACAGCTGTTGAACCAAAGAATACATAAACAAGGTTTGTCGACGTTAATGAGGCTCAAGTGACTGACTTCGATAAGGGTCTTGGCGGGCGGGGCTCCACGTGTGGTGAGCCAATCATTGCCCAAACTGCGTTGTCCCAGAGTTCGCGGTTTCATCTGGATGATCAAGGGGTCTCGCTACCTGATTCTGGTTTAGTGCATCCAGTCCCGAAGCAAATCATGTTAAACCTGAGGTGCCAAAAACACATCATCTAAAGAAATGTAAAGTTCACGAAATCTGTACTCAATTGGCCTAAGCCTTGTTGCCACTTAGCTTGGATGCCACAAGCTTGCTTGCGTCTCCTTAGCAGCCAAGGCCAGCTTCAATTGCCTGCATCTGTGACGTAATCCGTAAGATTATAGTCTGTCTACGGATGCCAACTGGTCTTATTCGCGCATCTTGAACAGCAACACCGACTTTTTAAAATCTCACAAATCACTAACTCTCATCGTCTTCTGCAAAGCTTTCCCTACTACGCACCAATATGTCGTCCACCCAAAAGCCAACCATCCTTCTTGTCCACGGCGCCTGGCATGGCTCCTGGGCCTGGAAGTACCAGATCCCTGAGTTGGAGTCCCTTGGATATCCCACTCAGAATCTGGATCTGCCTTCAGTATCCGGTGTACCAGACAAGACACAATTCGATGATGCAGCGCACGTACGAAGTGTTCTGGAACCACTCTTAGCCGAAGGCAAACAAGTCGTCGTGTTAGCGCATTCGTATGGCGGACCAATTGGTAGCGGCGCTATCACCGGACTCTCTCTCGCCGATCGAGCCCGAGACAACCTACCAGGTGGAATCTTGGGGCTCATCATTCTCTGCGGGTACATTTTCCCCGGAGGCATGGATCAAGGAGCCGTTATTCGCAGCTTAGGCGGTCTTCCATATGTCAATTGGGATACCCCTTCTCCGGGGCTTTTCGTCGCCAAGGACCCTGGTAGTCTACTCTACCGACCCGATGTTTCGGACGAGCTGGCACAGTGGGCACTGTCACAGTTGCAGCCACAGAGTATGGCTGCCAATATGGGCGTCGTCCCTCCGCAAGCATGGCCGGCAGAGTCATACAAAGGTCGTCTGGCGTATATCAAAGCAACAGACGATGCCGTCATTCCCTTTTCCGACCAGGAGAGCATGATTGCGTCGAGTGGAGGGAGTGAAGCTTGGAAGACTCGTGTGCTGGAGGGATCTGGGCACAGTCCGCAAATTTCTCGACCCAAGGAGGTTGCCCAGGCAGTCGACAGTCTCGTCCAAGACTTCCCAAACCACAAGTGAAATGAGTGAGGAGCTCGTTATTATCTTGGCATCATAAATTAGAGAACAGAGACGAAGGTACTATTTACGCCTCAGTTTCGTCTAGTGATAACGAGAGTACGACGTTGAACTTTGCATTGCGTTAACTGTTGGGATTTAAGCCAGACTTTGCTCAGAAGCAATATATTGACCGTTGGAGAATAACGACATTTCACAACGGGAAAAGCATAAATAAGCTAATATATTTATTTCTCATTGCTCTCTTATATTTTCCTGCAAAATTGGCTTTATGCCGTTGAAAGATTAATTTATGGCTGAAATATCGCTCCTAGGGTAATTGGTTTGGCCGTCATGGGCCAGAGCCTCATCTTACCACGGGAAATGCCCGAACGGGATTTCTCAGCCGCACGGGAACAGTTCAAACTGCACAAGAATAAGCGCATTTCCATAAGCCAATTTCTAGTTTTGATGCCGCGCAAAACGTCAATGGCAGAACTGCGATTCCTCGATCCTCTCAAAACGTCGAGAACTGAAATATTTACTAAAGAGCAATAATTCGTCATGTTCTGCGCAAATCATCTGGAAATTCGGAGAGTTCAAAAAGAAAGATTTCCCGAGCACGGGAGAAAACAATAAAAAAATCGAGACTTCAGCTGCTGAGCGAATTCTTCCCCAACCGCGGGAAGTCTCTTCCTTAGAAATCAACGACCCTCATCCGCGGGACGATTGTATTTCAGGGATCGTACCCGCGGGAGCTAGCAACATCAGGCCAGAGGTGGATTCGTGAGTCGAGAGCGAGGGAGCGCAAGCAAATGAGTGATGATGAAGGGTAGGACGAGGCCGGGGCACCAGGGCTTCTTATGTGCCGTTCGTGCCGAGAAAAATGGGCCTTGGCATCGATCTAAGCCCCGTCTTGGCAAAGATCAAAGGAGCTAGGACCAGAAGAGTTGGAGGTTGCGGGGTTCACCGATGAAGCTTAATCTGTTAATGCGGAGATGGCCCTGGAACACGGGGACTTGGGGTGATCTCATCTCGAACTTCGTGGGATCAGATGAGGTGCTGTTGAGTCTAGACGCAGTGTTCAGAGCTCAAAGGACTTGAAGCTTGCGTACGTTGTACCACTATACCGGTAGTGTTCTGGAAGCCTTCTCGGGAGTAACACTGCTCTCTTCAACTGTTGACTCGCCACCAACTCAATCTTCTCCGCACTCGCACGGGTACACTCTATAACGGGGATCCCGACCCATTTCTTTCGTTGGCGAATTCTACCCGCGGGAACAAAAAACGACACATTCTGTCTCCATCAACAGCCATCACCAACTCCATCAAACCCAGCAATGACAAACCGAACCGTTTCTCAATCTCCACGGGGTAAATCACCCGAACCAAGATTTACATTTTTACCCCATGGGCAACCGCCTTAGTGACACCTCGTTTCAATCCCCTATAAGATCAGGGTCCCCCTTCCAACCCCAAGCCTTTCCCCAATCACTAGTCCAGTCCAGACCCAAGCATCCCAAAGCTTAAAGAGTCAAGACCACCCCAATTCATCTTCTCTTCCCCTCTTTCAGTTTCAACAGACACTTCACAATGGCTGGAGGCGTTGTCAAGAAGCCCGTCAACATCTTCAAGCTGGGCGATGTCGGTGAGCCACAGGGTGTCTTTAACTGGCGACTATGGTTTGCTGTCTTTGCTTTCGGTCTTATGGGTGCGGCGCGTGGTATTGATGAGGGTCTGATCTCGGGTGCCTTCAAGTCGAAGGACTTTAAGAAATACATCCACTTTGAGGATTACTCGACTGTCGAACAGGCCAACATCAAGGCTAATGTTTCGGCCATGGTTCAGATTGGTTGTGTTGGAGGCGCATTGATGTAAGTACCAATCAGCATACAACCTGACGAAATATCCACTGACGTCTTTTCTCTAGTGCTTTCCTCATTTGCGATAGAATCGGACGTATCTGGGCTACTCGACAGCTCTGCATTGTTTGGATCGTCGGAATCGTCATCTTCATGGCCAATGGCGGCAGCCTCGGCGCCGTCTACGCCGGTCGTTTCATCGCAGGTCTCGGAGTTGGCCAAACAGCCGTTGTCGGTCCCGTCTATCTCGCCGAAATCGCCCCAACAGCTGTCCGTGGTCTCTGCACTTGTGTCTTCTCCGGTTTCGTCTACCTTGGCATCGTCTTGGCTTACTTCGCCAACTACGGCTGCTCTCTTCACATGGGCGACAACACTCACGCCCGTTGGCTCGTTCCTACCAGCCTTCACATCATGTTTGCAGGCTTGATTCTGATTCTTAGCTTTTTCGTCGACGAATCTCCTCGTTTCCTCATCAAGAAGGGTCAGACCGAGAAGGCTACTGCTGTTATGGCCCGCCTTCGACAGCAAGATCCCGAATCCGATTACATTACCCTCGAAATCACCGCCATTCAGCTGGCCCACGAGCACGAGCTTGAGAGTGTCAACAACTCATTCCTCGGTACATGCAAGGAGCTGTTCCTCAACAGCAGCAACCTTTACCGTCTATACCTCGCCAGTATGGTCCAGGTTCTCGCTCAGTGGTCCGGTGCTGGCTCCATCACTCTCTACGCCCCCGATCTCTTCGCCATTCTCGGTATCAAGGGTTCTGAGACTGGCCTGCTTGTTACAGCCCTCTTCGGCATTGTTAAGCTTGTCTCGGCCATTACTTGCGCTCTCTTCCTCGTCGATGTCATCGGCCGAAAGCGTGCTCTCATCGGAGGCATTGTCCTGCAAGCTCTTGCTATGATCTACGTTGGATCATTCCTCACTGCCGTCCCAGAGCCTCATAGCTCTTCCCCTGCTGCTCGTGGTGCTATGGCCATGATCTATATCTCTGGCATCGGTTGGGCTCTTGGTTGGAACACCATGTCTTACATTCTCACTGCCGAGTTGTTCCCCCTCCGTGTCCGAGCCTTCGGTACCTCGTTCGCCATGACCCTGCATTTCCTCTGCCAATATGGTAGCAGCCGAGCCACTCCTAATATGCTTTTGCCAACATCCGAGGGTGGAATCAACCCTAATGGCACCTTCTGGACCTACGCTGCTATCCTGGTTGTGGGTGGTATTTGGGTTGTTGTTTCAGTCCCTGAGACTGCTGGTCGTTCTCTTGAGAGCATGGATAGACTCTTTGACCTTCCCTGGTACAAGATTGGTCTGTTCGGCAACCGCGATGCTGAGCAGCAGGATGCTGTGTATAATGAGAAGGAGAGCGTTGCTATGAACACTCACGGACAGGTTGTTTATGTTGAGAACAAGTCCAAAGAGGTTGTCTAATTTACTGGAATGGAGTTTGGGATCTTACGAATTTGATATGAAGGAAAGCGATTTGTTTTTGCATGATAGTATATCTTATAATGCATACTGTTCAAAGTGACAACTATTGCACCGCATCTGACCTCTTTTGTGATATTCACTTGCTTAGTTTCCATGATATGGTCGTGAATGGTAGCAGTGTTTTAAGTGCTTGATACACCATGACTAGCTGCGTCGGTCCTAGTTTTTGATCCTTATCAATTATATTGGGTCTAGCACAAGCTCGTTATCGCCTATCGATATCTGAGGGGATTACTCCGTAGATAATCCTTTTCACAATCATAGTCTGGAGCCATTGGTTCAGAGTGAGACAAGCATGAATGTATTCACAAGCTTACTTCGCAGTAACTGCATTCGTTCGATTTGCGCACCTTCTATGTAGTGAGTATAGAGATAAAGACGTATTGTGGTGTTGGCACTCTAGAATTGATTTGAATTTATTCACTATCTCGAGACTGTGTGCATGTTGAACTCTAAAGTATCGGAAGATCATCTGGAACGTGCATTTTTCATAAGACTTGACTGCACAATAAGATAGGTTGCGATATGTAGGGGCCTGCGAAAGAATCGCAACTTATTCTCCTGGTGGTTGGAAGTCCCTTGATGGAAAACCGCTATGGAAGAAGTGGCAGCCTATTTGCATAACTGCACATCAGTGTGTCTATTCCTGCAGCAGCAAGGCAGCAGGTCAATGACATTTTGGTTTACGAAGTCCACAGTGATTCAGTCTGAACATTTGAGTTGAGTATATAGTATATGTGGAACGAATGACAAGGAGAGACGACCACCGTTGCCGGCATGATTGAGAATTGATATGAGACAGAACTAAGTCATGATCATGCCCCCCCATCCTTTCAGATAGTCCCTCCACGCCAGCCTTGAGGAAGTGCTCAACAGTGTCGATTTGTTTACGTACAGGACCAGTCTTCAGCTCATCAACATCCCAATTAGCCCAAACAAAGCGGCCATGAAGAAAGCTGGCTTCAGGCGTTGCTGCCCAGACGGAGAAGTGGCCTGGAAGGTTTTCTATGGAACAATTGTTAGTTGAAGGCTGCATTAGAAGTCCAGGAAGTATTTACCATCGTCAAAGACAAGGCCCTCCCGGTTATCCCCACCGACTCTATTGGCAGAGTCGGTCAAAATGCCACCTAAATGGAAACTGACAATCTGCATATCACTGGGTTTAGTATCCTGTGTAATATGCTGCAGGAGGAGAGTGCTGGCATTTTTGGTCAGCCCATATGTTGGTCGGTCGGGACCCACTGTTGACCACATGTAAGCCGCACAGGTTGAGATGTTGACTAGAAACTGCCTATTGTGAGCATGGGAGAGCTTGGAATGAAGGTGAAAATATCCTACCTTGGTTTGGTCTGTGGCTGCTTTTCTTTGCTTGTAAAATCGCTCTGTCATATCGAGAGTGCTTCGCACATTGGACTCGAAGTCGCCCCAGACCTTGGCCAGACCTCCATCAAGAATAGTCTCGATAGCACCATAGCTTGCAGCACTCGAGACCAGGACATCGACGAAAATATCCTCTAAATCAAGTGCTTTCCAGAGGTGCTCAGTGGATTTCAAGTCCGAGACATCACAAGTGCGGCCTTGTACATCTGTACCACTGCCAAACTGATAACCCTCGTCTTGAAGTTTGGCAGCTGCAGATGCGACTACATCTTTGCGACGTCCAAGGATAATGACACGAGCGGCGTTCGCTTTGACAAAGCTGCGAGCGATAGCATACCCGATGCCACTATTGCCCCCAGTAACAATGACTGTTCTGCCTGTCTGCTGAAGGGCGGGGAGAGAAGGATCAATTGCCTGATAGGGCTTTTTGTGGTATTGGTTCAAAGTAGGAAGACTCATGATGAACAGGATGTCTCGATACAGAAATTGAGTATGGTTATGGCGTAAGATGAGTTGCGTTGTTCGCTTGGATCAATGCTAGGTGAACGTAATGCTAGTTGTAGTTTGCTATTTATATTGCAGTGACATATTTACATCGAGATGTTTGTAGTATAAACAACGATGAATGAGTTGGCAATGCAGATTGATTGCAAAGCATACCCGCCTGCCTGCAGGTTATGAGAGATATTCTGCACTGGTTGGAAAGTTGAGCCTCACAACCTAGTTACAGATACTGCGTTGATTATTGGGCCACTGACCGATCGTCTTTGAGAGGTAGTTGATATCTCAACGTTGGTGATAAGGTTCAGCCAATCGGGATGCGTCGCTCGTATTCTCAAGCCACTTCTCCTATGCGGAGTTGCCTCCCTCCCCAGGCCAAGATTTTGCTGACATATTCGTCCGAACCAATCCAACAATAGAGCTCGTATTTTAGGCAATACAGTACTGCAGTACTACAGACTAGACATGCTGTTATCATACGTAGTGAAGTAGCGACAACTTGCATGATCTTTTGATGAGGATATTGGCCATTTCACTGGACTGTGTGCAGCTAAGCATGTAACCAAGGGTTTCCCATAAATTCTAAACACTATATTATCAATGATGAATGGGCTTAAGCAGCCGACTTGGGTCAAATCAAACTTGGGCACTGAGCAGCTTGAAACCTGTGAAGAGAATGATGGCTATCCTCAAGCTCATCGTGCACTAACCTCACCAACTACCTATAGTATATGTAACTAATTACAGGAGATTTCATAAGCCCAGGGAGTAATGTCCACAGAGTTGCAGGACCCATCTGCGCTTAGAACAATTTCAGTTTCAAACTGCGCACATTCAACACTGGAAACCTTGATGGTTGGAATCGATCCATCAGTGCAAGGCTGCACAAGAGTAACTTTGATGTTGGTTGCTGGGAATTGCTCGACGTTGACACATGAGGTTCCATCGGCCCCTCCATACACGTTGGCAGTGATGAAAGGTCGCCCGTTGCAATCTCCACTTAGCCATTCTTCAACTAAGACCTGCTGGGCAAGGACACCAGCAAGGGGCAGTGAGAGGGAACCTGGAGAAAGTATCTATTGTTGAACTTAGATGGAATCCGCAATAGAATCAAGGACGGCTTACCTTCATCGTGGCACTTTTTGTTGGATACAAAACACGGCGGTGGTAAGGTTGGCTAGTCGAGTTTAGAAGAGAGAGAGCTTCATGATCGACTGGGTCTTATGTAGACTAAAATGTATATCGATTTTGACAGAATTGAAGCCCGCTGACGTGATATTTTGTTGAGTGCTACCTTCTGTTACGGGGCATGATATCGAATTTTATGTCTCAATGAGGGTGATCGGAGTATTGCTTTCCGACACATGTTTCCGAATATGGAGAACCGCATTCAACCTGAAAAGCAGCTCGTATCAAGAGTTCACATGTCACGCCACACGGGTACGGAAGCCTAGATAATTAAGGATGAAAGAACTTGAGCGCCAACGTTTCTTTGGGAGCTCATGTGACCGCAGCTACCGAAGACTATTCACTATGAGGAAGCGAGATATGAAAATAGATTAAAAGAGCGACTTAAGTTAGAATGAAAACCCAAAGAGCAAAACGGTATGAAAATTATCAAATGATCCGAAGAGATTGAACGCGAAAGGGACCTGTGCATCGATAGTTGCCTCTGACTGCATTCTATCCGGCGGTCCCTCCATCATTCCCAGGATAGTACCGAATCCTTATTCAAGATCTTGTCCAACCACGCAAAAATCACTCGCCCAAATTCCTGAGGAGCGCCAGTCTGACAATGATATCCAGCAGTACCATTAAACATGTGAAGTTCAGCACGATCTCCCAAAGCTTCGGCAACAGGCTTAGACTGTCCAGATTGAAGTGTTTCGAATTCTCCATCGGCGATCCAGACGGGCATCTGGATACGGTCTGTGATACCGCCACGTAGATTATAGCTCTTGGTCAACTGGAAGAATTCGTAGGGGGACTTGGTTTTGAAACACCACAGAGCCTGTAAGATGCCCCATTTGGTGGTAGTAGAGATCTCTGGATCGTCTTGAATCTTACTAAGGGCGTCGTCGAATGCTTCTTTATCACCTGACTCGAGAAGCTTACGAAGCTCAGGTGTCAGATGAGCGGCGTATCCAGTGTATGCGTCCCAAATGCCACCGTTCAACATCAGGGCAGTTAGTCGGGGCTCAAAAGCTGCGGCACGAGCAGCGAGATAGCCCCCAAAAGAGTGTCCATAGAGAACCAATTTCTTGGGATCAACATACGCAGACTTCTGTGAGAGCACATAATCGACAACAGGAGTCACGACTCGTTCCCAGTCAGGGATGAAGCCTACACCTTGTTCTCGGCGGACAGTTGGCTGGCCTGGACCTTCAAAAGAGAAGATGTTGTATCCGCGAGCTAGTGCTGGAGCAACAACAGTTGCGTACAGGTCCTCCTGGGCAGCATCGAAGCCCTGAGTGAGTAGGAGTGTCGGGAGGCGCTTAGTCTGGTCATTCTGGTAAGGTTGAGAATACCAAATACCCGAGACATTGAAGTCACCAGCAGGGATTTCAACTCTCTCAGCCGGGACAGGCAAAGCAGCAATGGCTTTATCAAAAGCAGCACGCTGCTCATCCCAATACCCATTGATGCGAGGGTCGTCCCAATCAGCGCGATTATAAGCATCAGCCCGGCGAAAATAGTTTGCCACAGAGAACCAAGTTGCCCTCACATTGATAGGATCGTATGCAATCTTAGGGTCAAGAGCTTGAGTCTTGGTATAGTTGGCAAGATCGAACCATTCGTTGATATAGCTGTCGAAGTCGCCGGGAATGATCTTTTTGGCGACGCTCAGAACGGGATTGACGTCTGCGCCGTCGTTGGCCATTTGACCAAGTCCGGTGAGGATGTCGAAGTTGAAACTATCATCTTCGTTGAGGAAGAGGATAGGGTCCTCCTTGTCTTTAGCACTTGCGGTTCCTGCGTTCAGAACCGCTAGTAGGGTACACATAGTAGAGAAAGAAGCTGTTTTCATGATTGAAATGATCGATGTCTTGATTAATGAGAAGTTGTTGATTGTTGTGATGAACTCTTGACTTTCGAGGATGCTACTTGGGTTTTTATATCTGTCTTCGACCAGTCTTGCCGAGCCTCCAATCTGGCAATTAGATCCATACTTCGGCTGGTCTGGGGAGTCATTCCTGAACTCATGATGAGTAAAGTCTCGATAAAGGAATATGAAGCGATGAATCGTGACGGAAATAATTTCGAGTCCGTCAGCAGTATCCACCATCTGCGTCTCTCGCAAAGTCTAGCCATATCTAGTAACGATCGTCAGACACAGCCGCCAGGACGACGTATGAGGCTCTCGCGTATTGCTCATGTCAGCATTCCACTAAATACGACAAAATTAAGCATAAGAACCATGTCCGCCCTGTAATCATCATAACCTACTGCAAACATCGCAAAACCCTACTCTGTTCAGTTCGCTTAATACTCCCCCACGTCATGGTTAATCGAGGGGCCTCGCAAGGCTGCGTCACATGCCGACAACGCCGCGTCAAGTGCGATGAGAGAAAGCCTTGGTGCAAGGCGTGTCTTCGTCTTGGCATTGAGTGCACGGGCTATGAGAAGCGCGGGCTGAGATTTAAGGATGAGACTGTTCGATATCGAGCGGATTCAGCGGCCGTAACGCGCGTCAGCAAACGCACGAAGCAATCATCACTTGAGAGGACGATCATTCGGTTACCATCAGATCACCCGCAAGATCTTGCTGTACCATTCTTTCTGACTTATGTTACCGATGTGGGTCGAAGTCTGGAATCGACAAGAGGTTTCTTGGAGTTTGTCCGTCCTGCTCTGGCGTCCGAGCGACATGATTCAGCTTTGAGCACTGCAGTGACAGCTACATCAATCAAAATCTGGTCCATGATCGGTAAACTGGGCCCTTCAAGTCCTCTTCCCTACCAGCTCCTAGTGAAAGCTTTGAGTCGGCTCCACCAAGCCACCGAGGAGCCTGCAGAGAGAGGTCGTGATGAGACAGTGCTAGCGGCTCTTGTCCTCCAAATGCACGACACCTTATCAGCTGTATCTGGCCAAGCCAGAGCACATGGCGCGCATCGCGAGGGGGCTCTGACTTTATTGTTGCAGCGCGAAGACTGTTTCAAGAACTCAAAGTATTATGCTCATCTTATTGGCAACCTTCTCCACTCCAGGGTATCCGTTTCGGTGAGGAACAGAACACGGCTACCGACGAAGGATCTTGAGTGGATCAAGACTGAGGTTGCTCCGATCCTGCCGAGTAATCCGAGTTCATCTCTTGACATGATTGGAGTATCTGTCGCAGATCTCCAACATGCGTTCCGTGGTATCTCACAATCAACATTACTCTCCTGCCCTGGTACTAAGCTACGGCAACAAATCTGTAGCTTGGATACTCAGCTGCGAAACTGGTTGAAACGAATACCAGAGAGTTGGTATCCACGACGAGTGAAAAGCGGTATCGATCTCAATCCATCAGTTCCTTCATATTGTGGCGCTTGCGATATCTATCCAAGCATACAAGTTGCGAATATCTGGAATACCTGGCGTATCTACCGTCTCATTCTCGAGGATATAAAGGACCAACTCACCAAGACCTCTGCACGGTCTGCGGTTCAACATTTCGATGCCGATAACAGTATGTCGGAATATGCTATGTTTTGGACTTCCAATGAACGCAAAGTCCAAGAGCTTGTTGATTCTATATGTCTCAGCATCCCATTCTATCTAGGCAACTGTAATTATCCTCACGATATACTCTCAACGGGAAGCTCCGACATCATCTACCCCAGCTACCATGATTTACCTGCCGATGATGAAGGGTATCTGCGGTTTAAGGCAAGCGATCAGTACGTATCCAAACTTGATCACTCGCGCCATGTAACGCTTCATGGCCAGGTACACGCGATAAGCATCTTATCCTACGTTATCGATATATCAATGAGTAGTAATCGGAACCGGCCCGGTCTTCTGAGAGAAGAGCAGACGAGATGGATAGCAAGTCAGTTCATTCGATCCATCTACTCGATGAGGCCTATCTTTGGGGGTCTATCGGAAAGGAGGGCCCATCAAGGGACCGTTGACCTTGATCATAGTTTGCAAGCAGTGGATACAGTATCGATAGCCAAGACCTTCGCAATCAAGGTACAAAAGGAGCTGTGGACCATCAGCATCTTGTAATAGAAAAATATCACCCAAAAATAAGATCGTGTTCTTCCGTTAAAGGTGTCACAACGAAGAAGATTGTGTGTATTGTGTATAAGTAGAAATTCCAGTTCTACACACGCATGACGAAAAGCACCCTTTTCATATATGAGAAGTATCTGGAACAAGACGAACCGAAGTCGTGGTTCATTGGCTTTGTCAGGCCACGCAGGGCGCTATACCCTCCTAGGCAGAGGTGCCAGCCGAGTTATGGGCACTAGGCCTCCTTGCGCCACGCAAACTCAATCAGCTCGACCCCAAGAATGAGGCTCATTTCAAGCGACACTGCAGACCCGATGCTAGGGGAAAGTATGGCGTTGATCATGAAGGTTATGCACATGACCTAGCCTAGGATATGAACTCTCCACCTGGTAACATCGATTGATCAAATTTTGATGTCTAGGTTGACTTGAATTTCTGTAGTCTAGTTTATTTGGGTTTCTGGTGCGTATTTTGATGCCAAGTTTCGACTTGTTGAGCATTGAACATGAGAACAAACCCAAACCCTTATTGTCTGATGAGCTTTGACAGACCATCATATAGAGTGAAATGACATTCGGTAGGCAATTATGTCTTGATACTGATACGTCACTTATTATCAAGGTGATTATCCTGTTTCGATTTTACGGATGACCATTTTCAGCCCCCTTGGCCCCATGTTCTGATTTTCCATTCCATAGGCGTTCAACTACTATGATATCTTGAATATACACTCATTTTACTGAGAGGCCAACAAGGTCCTCAGCTTTTCACTCATTGAAATTTTCAACCGTTATTCCCGTTAGCATGTCCTTGGTCAGACAATACGTGCCGAGATCCGATCTGACAACCCAATACGGAATCTAAGATAACTAAGCCCTTCTTAGCTCATAACCATCAAGGTTCACGAGTATTTAAATCACGACAGCCCCTTGTACAAATTGCTCTATTCCTCCGAGAAACACGGCAAAACGGCAAGTCACCGGCAATATCGGCTTGCCTACCAGAGACCTTTTGCTTGAGAGGCTGCGTATTTGAAAAAGTCTAATTGTTAAGCAGGATGAGCTATATATACTTCGACTCCCTCGGCTGCAATGCTTTATCTCGCATTCCGGTCATTCATTGATTAAGCTTCCTTGAATCGCTTATCTTTATTTTCTTAGACTTTGTTAAGATTGCGATAATGTCTGGACCTACCAACTTTGACCCTGAGAGGGTTAACCTCACTGAGTTCCAGTCCGTCACTGATCAAGGTCTCATCACCTGCTTCCTGACAACGGCTGGAAACCAATACGATGGCCCTCTGGGTATCAGAATTGGCTCACTATTCGTGATTCTCGTCGTCTCAACCGCAGTCACTTTCTTCCCAGTAGTGGCAACGCGAATCCCTCGTCTCAAGATCCCGCTTTACGTGTACCTCTTTGCGCGATACTTCGGCTCCGGTGTCATCATCGCAACTGCATTTGTCCATCTTCTCGATCCTGCCTATTCAGAGATCGGACCGGCTTCTTGTGTTGGTATGACTGGCGGTTGGTCTACGTACTCTTGGCCACCTGCTATCGCTCTCTCAGCGGCGATGTTCACTTTCTTGTTCGACTTTTCTGCCGATTACTACGTACAATCTCGCTACGGGCTTCAGCATAATGACTCTGGAGTTGAGGAGACTATAACTACCTCCGGCGCAGATGGACACCAGCACCACTCTGACGACGGCTCGAACTCGAGAAGGCTCGTGATCAATGGCGAGCACGACACAGAAGCTGCTACGTCAGAGAAGCTTCGTGGTGGCTATGCAGATTTCAAGGAGCTCCAACACCTTGATGGCGATTCTGAAGAAACCGAGCTTGCATTCAAGACACAAATCGCAGCATTCCTCATTCTCGAATTCGGTGTCCTGTTCCACAGTGTCTTCATCGGCCTTAACCTGGGTGTCGCAGACACATCCGATTTCGACACCTTGTTCCCTGTCCTTGTTTTCCATCAGTCCTTCGAAGGCCTCGGCATTGGCGCTAGACTTAGTGCCATTCCCTTCCCCAACCGACTTCGCAGTATGCCATGGCTCCTCTGTCTCGCTTACGGTTTGACAACCCCTATTGCCATTGCAGTTGGTCTCGGTATCCGGAAGACGTACGACAACTCATCCTTCACTGCGAACACGGTCAACGGTATCTTTGACTCTATTTCTGCTGGCATTCTCATTTATACTGGATTTGTGGAGATGATTGCCAGGGACTTCCTCTTCAATCGTGAGAGAACGAACGACAAGGTCAGGCTGGGATTCATGATTGTCTGCCTCTTCCTGGGTGCTGGAATCATGGCTCTGGTGGGAAAATGGGCTTAGTCTCTGACAGTCACTATTCGATGGAAGTAAGATTTAGAATAATGGCCATTTGTGTTCTCTAGAATCTCTATTTAATCTACCTCAATAAGCACTTTCAGAGCGTTATGCTTTGATGCTTCGCCAAAGGTCTTATAAGCATTTTCAACATCGCTCAGTTTGAAATCTAAACGGGAGCCGTCAGTGTGAATGCGTCAGACTTCAGCTAGAGAACTTACTATGAGTGATCAGCTGCGAGGGTTGCAGTTTGCCAGATTGCACTAGCTTGAGCAGCATAGGGGTAGTAACAGTATCCACCAGCTGAGTAGTGATCGCTGATACACCTGCATTAGTGCCATGTCAAACGGTAGATCGGAGAGCCAAGCCACTTACAGATGTTCTTGATCCATAGGTCCTGAAGATGGAGGTCCACTTTAGTGCCATGCACACCAACGTTTGCCAGCACGCCGCCAACGGCGATGAGCTTTTGGCAAAGCTCAAAGGTAGCGGGGATACCAACAGCCTCAATGACGGTATCGCAGCCTTTCCCATCTGTCAATTTCATCACTTGCGCAACAGCGTCTTGACCGCTGACGACTGAATCAGTGGCGCCGAGCTTCTTAGCAACATCAAGTCTGGCATTGTCCATATCAACGGCAATGATCTTGGAAGGCGAGTATAGTTGGGCAGTGACAATAGCAGCCAAGCCAACAGGCCCAGCTCCAACAACTACTACAGTCCCTCCAGGTTGGACTTTGCCACTGAGAACACCAACTTCAAGACCAGTTGGAAAGATGTCGCTGACCATCACCAAAGCAGCCTCATCTGCCCCATCAGGAATAGGGTGGAGACTCGAGTCGGCGTGGGGAATGCGGACATATTCAGCTTGAGTTCCATCAATTGTGTTGCCGAGAATCCATCCACCAGAAGTACAATGGCTATACATTCCCCTTCGGCAGTATTCGCAGGTCGCGCAGCTTGAGATGCAAGAGATGAGCACTCTATCGCCCTCTTTGAAGCGTGCGACAGATGGGCCTGCGGAGTGGACGATGCCCACGCCTTCGTGGCCTAGAACTCTTCCTGGCTCGCAGGTAGCGACATCGCCTTTTCGGATGTGCAGATCAGTTCCGCAGATGGTGGTCTTGGTGACTTTGATAATAGCATCTGTTGGTGAAGCGATCTTGGGAAGAGGACGATCCTGGAGGGTAACAGAGCCATTACCAGCATAGACGAGGGCCTTCATTTTTGATATTTGAGTATAGGGATGGGACAATGGCGTTTTGAGAGGTCAATTGATACTTTTAGAAGAGAAATGAGCTGTCCTTTACATCACCTTTTATACAGCTTCCAACAGATCGGCAGTGGTCTGACCTCACGGATCAGGCAATTCATCAGGCCGCTCTGAACGTGCGGGGTAGCGGCCGCAAAAGTCCGGGGTAAACGGGCGCGGAACCGCATAACGCATGAACATGTTTCACTCTCACCAATGACAATCAATCGGCTGAGGATTCAATGCCTCGTGGAAGCAACCATAGCATCGCATTTCAGCCCAAGGTGAAAGGGTCTTGTAAGCTAGCAGACTCTACCCAATCGGATGACTCGAGGCGGAAAGTTCCAGTCGGTGAGCCACGTGTTGTATCGAATCAAAGTTTGGTGATTCTCATGAGACATCGTTAGGAGGAGATATTGCATACCGGATGCAAGCCGCGTTTCAGGGATTTTATACGAGCATGTCGGCAGATGAAGATGTCACCGACCTGAACAGGGTCTATCCCTATGTGACTTGCTCAACAAAATGTTGAGAACACCGGGTTTCAGCTGATCGCTGTTCTCTCCAATTCCGAAACTCAACAAACAGACTTCGTTTTTCTCATGCGCCACAAAGAATTCATCTACCCATTCCAATGTATAATATTTTCCCATTAGTACTCACAGCACGTCTTTCTTTATCCGAGGAATTTTCAGTCAGTTTAGGCCCAGTGTTCTGTTGTAGCAACCATTGTAAATCAGACTTTCAACAATTGAGGAGAAACGCAGATCTTGCAATGGCTTGCAACTACTAGATCAATCTGAAGGTTACAGGCTCGCCCTTAAATATCCCATCAACCCACTCTCTCGCCCCCTCCTTACCAGCATCCTCCCAAATTCCACCAGAGGTGTCAGACGCCTCGCTCGGACTAGACGCCCAACCACCACTACCCCATGAGCGACGCCACTTCGAGATGCTATGCCCGTGGACATATCCGACTCTTCGAAATTGCTGCCTAGATGGATCGTCTCGGTCGAGGTTGAGTAATAGGCCAAATGGCCCTCCATCATCTGCCTCAAAAACTAAGAAATATCGGGATATTTTGTTTGACTTGGTTCGACCCCCGCCACAATCCCATTCCACTCTTAAATCGTCATCGGGGCCAAGAGACACAGTGTCGCTGTAAGGATCATCAAGTTTCACATTGACGAGATGGCCGCGGATAACAAGCCCCGGGGGTTTCTCCTCGCTGGCTACGATGTCCAGAATCTGCAAATTCGAGTCACTAGGTGTGATTCTGTCCGAATAGTAAATTGGACCGGTGACAGATGCCCACGACCAAGTGGGAGCACCCCCATCCTTGATCCTGTGGCTATTACCATCGCCTGCATTTTTATGCCACAAAAGGTCGGCCTTCATTGTTTGTCGCCAAAGACCAGAAATGTACTCGTCATTACTTCTGAGTCTTTGAGCAGCGTTAGCAAGGCCTTGAATGGCGGGGAGTCGATCAGTCGCAAAGGTAAGGTCCAGCTCAGTGTATGCCGGCACGATTTCAGTTCTCCAATTCGCCTCAGCCGAAGAAACATCGGAATCCTGTGGATGAAGAAAATGCTTCATCACGCTGGTGGTGCGGAGAGTCCTCAGAGAAGTGACTGAGCATTCGCATTCGCAAACAGATCTGCATTCCCAAGCCATCTCGTTTTGCGAAAAGTGCAGGGTCCGTGGTGACAGTAAGCGTTCTTGGAAAACCCAACCTCGCGTTGATAGCTTGCTTTGACCTAAGCCACTTCTTCTACTCCATGAATGATAGGGAAGTTGCTGGGCTAAGAACCCGCGCTCTCGGATATGTACGACCCCCGAGCTCGACTGGTCATTTTTGTATGGCACAACGAACCTTTTTGGAGCCTTTCGAGATGGTGGCGACAGAAAGCCGGATGTACTGTCTGGTGCGGCATCGGCAAAAATGGTAACATAGGCGTTGGCATATACTTGAGCCATCAGCGAGGCTTCATGCTTCCAGTCCTCTGGAGAATCCTGGACAATACATAACGAGTCAATCCATATGAAGGGGATTTCCAACGCCCGGGCCACTTTCAAAGCGTCTTGGAAAGTCTGTGGAAGATCGTTAGGGAGCGAAACAGTGTATGTCTCTAGATTGGACAAAGTCGTCATTGTCGGCGTTTACCCTCCCCAACAGTGGCTTAGAGCTGCATATTGTGCTTGCTGGTTATGCTCAGTGACTACGAGCCTGGGAGATATCGTGTCGTTCCCTACCGATATAACCCTTGTTGGTAGTGTTGAAATAGTGGTCTTGGTACAGTTGGCGTGTTTTCCTTCGGCGCGGCTACATGCGTTAAGCCATTCGTGTGCCAAAGACACACAACTTGGAGCTAAGCCGTACTCTGGTATATGATAGCCCCGGCCGATCAAGTCCCAGGGCAGAGAGACGTCACCTGTATTCAGTCAGATGTGGAATTACTCAGGCAAGAGGTTACATAGCCTACCATCAGTTGTATATAGCTGAAACGTCTTTTTGCTAACAGAATGTGCAACGGTATCAGGGTAAAGGTGAATAACCATGGGCCCTGGATGCTTTGGTGGCTTGCTTTCAACAAGTACTGATTCATATAGAACATCTGGCATAGTTGTTTCTTCTTTCACGGCAGTGCTAACTGCCTCCCAGAGGAGAGCACAAGTGTGACATTGACTGTCGTTGGCTGATTTCTTGAGCTCGGTTACGGGTATAGTCAAGCCTCTAATTGCTGTATCATACTCCAGGACCAGTGAATGGCACACTGGGCATGCAGGTTCTGTTGGCTGACATGGCGTGCTTTCCACCGGTTTTGTGAGCCCGGATGACATTATCTGGCCATGGAGTGACTGCTATATCGGCTTTCACGAGATACGTTAGAAGTATGCGGCAGAGTATCACACATACGATAGAGTTTGAGGTGGTCGTTCAAGCGACCTTATTGCAGTATTCTGCATTCGTCCTGGAACACCACCTGAAATGGTCAGCAGAGTTTGAGGGGCGGGGTAGTCAGCCCAACCCATGGCTTAGGAAGGCGGTCGAGACTGGCAGCAGGATGTAAGACTTCTAGACCTATCGAAATACTGGAGCAGTGATGTCCATAAATCAATGTGACAGAGAGGAGATTGTTAATATCATTTCCTTAAGTAAAATACCGTAACTCTTAACTGCATTGTAAGCTAGATAGCTTAGCGCAAGTATCATATTATGTATATGTACTATAATTAAGTATTCTAAAGGACTAGTGGATATGGGCTATGTTTGATTGAGGATTATTTCAATATGAAGCAGATCGAGCTCAGGGCTATCTATAGTTCTACTTATTTATTGTTATTGTCCGACGGACACTAGGATCGAAACAACAATAGCTGCACGGGTGATCTCATGACCGCTGACTAGGGTTTGACCAATCTGAAAATTATAGCTTTGTGACTCATGCATCAACAAGCGGAATACTTGTGAATGAAGGCAAACTCGTATTTTTTTGGCAGTAGTTAATGAAAGACTGCATGCGTTTAGTTGAGCCAGCCATGCCCCATCCATTGGCGCTTGATTTTGAGCGGCTATTTACTCTTTCCACTTCACCTGGAAGTCACTAAATTCAACCTTCAGAGGACCCTTCGCAGTCTTGTCCGGTCTGGCTGCCAAGGCGCTTACGTCCAAGACCCAGTCATCCTGCTCCTCGCAAAGAATCCAACAAATCTCCCTGAGTGGCAATCGTTCCTTGATACTTCCATCGTCATCCAGAATGAGCTGATGGACCCAAACGTTTCCACCTTCCTTGGCTACTTCGAGCGTAATGCGTTGACCTTCTTGGGCTGTCACAGGGTACAGACTCATATCGGCAAACCTGTCACAAGCGACAGTGCTCAAGTGAGGCTTTCCAGCGTAAAGCTCAATACCCGACTTGATCCACTTGCTGTGAGGAGCTGCGGGGTCAGATGCCTTGCGTGGCACAAGGACGATGCCGGACTGGTCGTAGAGGTTCTCCCACTTAGCAGAGAAGGTGACACGAGCAGAAACAAAGGACTTGAGTGGGCCCGAGACGGTATGGACATCAGGAACTGCCAAATTGAGTAAGTGTCAGCGAGAAGGCGTACTCCAGGTTGACTTACTGTTCCACGCGTTATGCCCAGGTTTTCGCCAGATGTCAGTCCCAGGCCCAGCCTCAACAGTAAAAGGCGGGGTTAGCTGTTTCTCATTGGTAGACATTTTGGCGTGGGAAAGGTGTAGTACAAAGGCTTTTTCGTATCGGTTGATATAGCTTCAAGGGGAAGCTGATAATTCCAGAGTGTGAGGAATGCGAGAGGTGTGAAATGGTCAGCAAACGCCTTTTTATTCTCTGTGTCAGCGAGGGTTACTTAAGCAGGCAGATGAGGGGAATACTTAGATGTAACGTATTACGTTGAGGTAACTAGGGTAAGCTCATATCATTAAGGTGGAGAGTGGCCCTAGGACTATTACTCCACGTACCCTCCCGTGTTACAACGCTCCACATTGATTGAAATAATAAAGTAAGGTCAAGAGAACAGACAGTCAATTTTCAGCGTTTAGTTTGGTTTGGGAATGAGTTGCAAATAGCGAGAGATATGTGTGTTCTATTTTCTCTTCCTTTTCTAATGCTGTAACACTATGAAACCCTCTCCAATCAGAGTCAAGATAGCTCAAAATATCCCGGTACTGGGACAAAGAATGGTTCGCAGCCTAATCTAGGCTAGGATCTCACCCTTTGCTCTAATCTCCTCAAAAACACTGTCAACAACGCGAGATGCACGGTACACAATCTCCTCGACATCACGGGGCGTGACAGTAAAAGGAGGAGCCAGCAAAAAGTGGTCACCATTCCAGCCATCAGCACATCCAGTGGATGAGAAGAGACATACGTCGTAGCCCTTCTCAAGGCCACGGAGTCGCATTCGACGAGCGAGGTTCAGCTTCGGGTCCAATGGCCGCTTGGTGGTCTTGTCAGCGACAAATTCGATACACCAGAACATACCACGGCCACGAACTTGGCCAACGTTAGGGTGGCTGTCAAAGGCTCGGTGGAGTAGATGTCCAAGAAGAAAACCCATCAAGCGAGCATTGCGGACGAGGTCATCATCTCGGATGATGCGCTGCACCTCAAGAGCGGCGACTACATTGAGAGGATGGCACTGATAGGTCTGGCCGTGCTGGAAGGATGCGCTGCCTTGCTTCAGACCATCGATAACGCGGTCGTGGATGAGAAGTGCAGAGATGGTACCGTAGCCTGCAGCTAATCCCTTGCCAACAGCTTGGATATCAGGAACTACGCCATCGTATTGCCAGGCATGCATGTGTCCAGTTCGTCCGAGACCGCACATGACCTCATCGAAGATGATGAGTGCTCCATGGCGATGACAGACAGCCTTCATGGCAGCCAAGTATCCAGGGAGAGCAGTGACACAACCCAAAGCCTAGTCTGAGTTAGTACATGCTATTTGCTGTGATCTGTCGGGGTGCATTAAAAGTGACTTACAGTTCCAACCATGGGCTCCAAGATGAAAGCGCAGACGTTCTCAGGGCCAATCCTCTGAAACTCATCATCCAGTTCTTGGGCAAGTCTGACGACATACTGTTCCTCAGTCTCGCCATCTTCAAGATCCCTGTATGGGTGGCAAGGAGAGACGTGGCTGACATTGGTGGCGAGAACGTCAAGGAAAGGCTCCTTTCGTGCTTTTAGGTCCCCGACAGCCAAGGCTCCCATGGTACATCCATGCCAGGAGCTCTGTCTGGCAATGAAGTGAGAACGAGGTGCACCAGGGTCCTTCTCAAGGAAGTATTGCCGAGCAAGTTTCATGGCAGCTTCGACAGCCTCAGAGCCTTTTTGCATGTTAGATCATATCTTCCTCTACTCATTAGGGATACTCACCGGAGCCAAGGAAGCATGCTCTCGACAATTCGCCCCCAGTAGACTGTACGAGGATGTCGGCCAGTTCATGAGAAGGGCTATTCTGGAAGTAACCAGGATGAGCATATGTGAACTTGTTCAGCTGCTTGATGATGGAGTTTTTGACTCTTGCATTGTTGTGGCCGATGGCAGAGACGGCAGCTCCGCCTGTAGAGTCAATGATCTTTTGACCATTCTTCAATGTGAAGTAAAGACCATCGGCAGATTCAACAGTTGGTGCTGCAGAAGGATAGACACTCTGGTAGAACAGAGATTCCTCTGAGACGAGAGGCTCGTCGATAAGGGGGCCAAGAGATCCCATTGTGATATAAGACAAGGCTTGGGTTGTGTTAAGAAGATGCTGATCTGAGTTTGAGGAAGAAAGCTGTATTGCAACACAACGATGTATGAGAGTTTCAAGGAAGGCTTTATACTTATTTTTCGATTCGTGGCCTTTGGTGGCCAAGTCAATGTCCGCCATCGATAATCGAGCTCTTTTGAGGCCGCTTACAGCAAACACGAAGCCATCCCGTCACTTCCCTCTACGGCAGGACATTCACCATCGCTTACACTGTTGCATATACCACCAAGACCTCTCACATATTATGAATCAATAACATACAGCTTCATGCTCCTACATACAGTTATCGGAGCTATGATAGGTGTTCTTTGTCTCCACATCTGTCAGGGCAGTTTACACGAAAGAAAGCTTTGTTTGGTGATAATGGCACGGCTGTGGAGTAGGGTTCCATGTCTCAAAGCCTGACTATGATTCACGGTGAGAAGTCGGCAATCGCTTCTCTTTCTGGCACCAATGCGACGCCGTGCTTACGCAGAGACATAGCTCACATCTGCATGCAGGGCATGTCAGATCCCAGGAGTAAGCATCCCCGAGTGTAAAATCCACTCAAGGTACTCTACGACCCCTGTCGTATAAATCTCCCCATGGAGTGAACCCCCACCTAAAATCCTTCTTTACTGGAGTCGCGGAATGTGACGGCCCGCAGCTATCCACACAGTTTGTAAACATTCACGCTAATAAGCAGGAATAACAAGCATATTCAATAGATCCACTAATACTTGAACCTGCGTAATGCTTACTGTATCGCGGATGCCGAAGTATGCATGGCTTCCTACCAATTATCGTCGCCTAGAAGGAATACCTAGCTTGCTAGCTTGAAGGATTCCGCTTACATGAAATCCACACCGCTACGACAACAATTATTTTCTCGCCACAACATCATCTCCACTCTTCGTGTTTGCCGAAATGCTGAACAAAGAGATATTGAGAGAACAAGGGAGAAAACTACAGAGGCAAGGTTCTTTTGCAATGTTACACAAGACACAATCAGAGTCAAATTTGCGTGATCAACAAGTAATTTCTATTACTCAAAGAAATTGATTTTGTGATTAGCAATCTCAATGAATTATAATAACAAAATCAAGAGCCATCATTTCGACATCTTACTCACAACCCAGAACGAGTACCCCCATCATGACTAGTATCAACTTGACAGCAGCTGGCTCAGCGACAGATGCAATTGACCTAGAGTCTCTTCCTCGCCTTTCGCACCGCGGTGAGGAAGAAGGCAGACAGCCAGTTGATAGCAATGCTTCATCCGAGGAGACCATCGCTCCGCCAAAATGGAATTATCCTCCTATCAACAAATATCGTACTGCCGCGACATTCTGGTCGTTTCTTGTTGTCGGAATGAACGACGGATCTTATGGTGTAAGATAGGCTGCTTCTACAATGATCCCATTTGCTAACTATGATACCTTAGGCTTTGGTTCCCTTGGTGAGTATTATTTCGACAGCTCTGAGCTAGACTAGACGTGGCTTACTATGTTTCATAGCTCGAGGAATATTACCACAAGAACCATACTCTCGTGTCTTTAGTGTTCCTGACACCCTTCGTTGGTTATGCTATCGCCTCTGCTATCAACAGCCTAATGCATGTGCATTTTGGTCAAAGGGGCGTAGCGTTGCTTGCACCCATGTGCCATATTGTACCATATCTTATCTTCTCCTTCCATCCCCCTTACCCCGTCATGGTATGTTTCACTTCAGTCGCAAAGTTTGACTTCAAGATGGCTTATTACATCCTTTAGATTTCCATGTATGTCCTTGTAGGCATAGGTAATGGACTTGCTGATGCCGCCTGGTGTTCTTTCATAGGACAGATGGTGAACTCGCACGAGATGTCGGGTATCCTACAAGCATGCTACGCCCTAGGGGCCACTATTGCTCCTCTTGTTGCCACGGGTCTCTCTGGAGAAGGTATGCCAGGCTGGTATGCATTCTTCTATGTCATGACTGCTGCTTCGGTGGTAGAACTCATTGCCTTGACAATCACGTTTTGGACACAGACCGGAGCTATCTACTTGTCTGAAGCGCCCACAGAGTCTGGTGCAAAGTCGGGGCGTATGCGACAAGTCCTAAAGAACAAACTGTCATGGATCTTCGCGTTCTTCGTATTTGGATACTGTGGTGCCGAGGGTAAGCTCAACCGCTATCTCGTTGATAAAGTTACTAATAATCCTTCTCAAGTTGCTCTTGGCGGCTGGGTGGTTGTCTTCATGCAGAAAAGGCGTAACGCTTCCGCTATCGTTGGCAGTTCCGTGGCCACCGGCTTTTGGGGCGGTATGACAGCTGGACGGCTCTTTTTATCCTTGATAACAGTCCGATTGGGAGAGTTCTGGGCCATGTTCCTCTACATAGGAGTCACTATTGCTTTAGAGCTGGTCTTTTGGTTGGTGCCAAACCTGGTCGTTAGTGCAGTGGCAGCAGCGCTAATCGGTGTTGCCATGGGTAAGCTTCATTACAATTTCATACGTAAAAACAGCTAACAGTGTGATTCCAGGTCCCATGTACCCAGTCGCAGTTGTTCTCATCACCAAGATCATGCCTCGTTCTTTGCATGTTGGGACTATTGGATTCGCCGCTTCCTTTGGTGGTTCTGGTGGTGCAATTCTGCCCTTTGCCGTTGGAGCCATTGCACAGGCAAAGGGCGTGCAGACACTCCAACCCATCGTCCTCGGTATTTGCGTCGTGCTTGGCTGTTTGTGGCTCCTACTTCCCCGCAGGCCAATGGGAAAGGATCAGCCGGATGGCAATGAGAACTCTGCGTAGGGCAGAGAGCATAGAATGTTGGAGCTATAGTGAAAGACAGGAGGGGAGAGCGGTGCGAAGCCCCTAGGTTAGAGTTCCTCAATACATCTAGCCATCAAGATTCTCATACCTTTATCGCGCCATTGAATCTCCTCTCAAAAGAATGTCTGCTACAGCTTTGCTATCTATCATATGAAGTACCCTCGTAGTCTCATTTAACACTTGGCTAAAGGCTGTAGAATTTGAGTTGTTGCTATCTAAAAAGTTGAGACTTTTGGCTGAGAGCTTAAATCATCACACTTTAGTTGTGTACTTAAAGACGCCAAGATTTTCAGACGTGGATAAACCAAAGGGTGCTTCAGTAATACTAAGGATACCGCAACCGACAGTTTCATTCAAAGATAGTGTACTAAGTTTTATGTACAACTTATGGCCTCTTGAGATTCTAACGAAATATCATTCCATGAGACGAGTCTCAATCTTCTGCAAGATATCTGGAAACTCATCCCAACTTCCCATGACAAATTTGCAGCCAGCGTTCTCTAGAACTACACGCAGTGCCTCAGCCTCCTTGGGCGTCTCGCATGCCCCAGTGTAGCCAACCGTAATGATCCCAGCGCACTTAGCAGAAGTTGCACCAGAGCGACTATCTTCAACTGCAATGCACTCACTGGCGCTTTTGTCCATAGTCTTCAGGGCGTGTAGGTACACAGCAGGATCAGGCTTTGAAGTAGGAACTGGTAGTGAGTCTGCAGCGCTGAAAACGTCCTTTGGGTCGAAGAATTCAGCCTGGCCAGCTTTACTAAGAGAAGCGCGCACACGTCGCAGCGCTGATGAAGACACAACAGCGAGTCTATAGTGTCCCCTGAGACGCTCCAACTGAGCATTGGCGCCTTCACATGGTTCCAGCTTCTGCATTAGCTTAGAGATGACGCGGTCGTCTTCCATGCTGGCATAATGCTCCAACTCCTCATCTGAGATGTTGCACGAGGCATAGAACTTGGCCTCAATAGCACGAATCTAGAAATTGTTATTCAGTAAATTGTACATAGTCATTGAGTTTCGTCACTCACCATGTTTTGGAAGTTCTGTCCCACAAACTCGCGTTGCAAATAGGTACCCGTGAAGCTCAAATTGACTTTACGGGCAGCGAGTATCTCGTTTGTGAGATCAGCGCTTGCTTCAAAGGCAAGAGACTCGGATTGGACAAGGGTATTGTCGCAATCCAAAAGGAGCGTTGTGATCTTCATTGAGGTTATTGATGATGTAGTTGAACTTGGAAGAGAGTTGCTAACCGTCTCAGGGCGGGATCCCATAGTGGCGGATTTTGTTCTTGTGTGAGCTTATTGAAGACGATGTTATTTGTCAGTGAAAGGTTGAGTAAGGGGATAAGAACGAAGCTTGGTAATGAATGGATTATGATATATCACATTCTTACGTTCTATTACAAACCGTTACTCGAAATCTTGACACAACATATCTTGGCGTTGTTTTCGTATCTCTTCTTTTCTCTTTTCACATAAGCGGCGACGACGTGGGTGCTTATGCAGTACTTGCCACTTACAGTACACCCTTGGGGTTTGAATACGTGACCCCTGCATCGACTCACATCAGCCTTACAGGTCATGTCAGCCTATACTAGTCTCTATTATTCCGTCCCTTAGTGCTGATGGCGCGGTAGGACTAATGCACGGCACATCTTCTAAATCCCGCACTCTATTCCAAATCCTAAATTCTGGATGCAGTAAGAAAAGTGCCTGTCAGCGGATCTCACTCTGTGCTTATGTGATTGACCGCCAGCGTCGGGTTTCGGGCGGATCTGATGCAGCATCGGTTTTAGCGGCGAGTGTAACCCTTTCCTGTTGTATCCCGAGATTCACGCGTTACATACAAGGTGGCTTACAGAGCATCCACTCAAATTCACGGTTTTTTTAAGGCGCTCCAATGAACCCTTTGGCCCGTGATCCTGAAGGATTTAGATGCAACATAAAATTAGCTCACGATCTCCACGGCAGATCCGTTCAGCGGGCCGTCATATCCTGCCCGAGCCGTTGCTTTAGACTGTTTCCTCTATCCTCGCCCCGCATTCCTAAACCACGGCAGTTGACCATGTAAGATGCTATAGTAAGCTCTCACTGAATGATCGCCACTGCCGCTTACTGCTATCGGAAACCCGATTCGAAGATATCACACAGTATCTCATACACGGTCTGGGTCCTTATATGCCACGAAGAACAAGCTTAGAATTGTTACACAGACGGAGGTTATGTCTATGTTGGCACTAGGGCTTAGAGTATGCCGAGTCCGCAGGCTATGCGAATCCACTTGAGTATGGTTACACAGATTGTCAAGATCTCGGTCAGGAAAACTATTCCGCCGTCTTACGAAGATGAGCTCATTGTCTCCGTGCCAAGTCAGCAAGATGGATACGAGGCGAATTTCGTGTCTGCTTCCTAGGCTACAGGCAGAAGGAAGAGGCTACTGACCAATTCGGGACTTCCGGCTGAAAAGGCACAAATCATGCGTTTCTCATCGCCTAGTCCTCGAGCATAGTTAGCAGAGTCTATAAAGCAAGCTATAAACAACATGAACAAGATTCCTCAGCAACAGTTCTCCTCTACACCTTCCACGATACAGCTTTTCTCCTCTGGTCGTGAAGATGAAGTATACCATCACTCTGGTGGCTCTCTTGTCACAGGCCTCGTCGATCGTTGCAAGACAAGATCATGAGTCTACTCTCAGCAGCAAGTATGACTTCATCATTGTGGGTGGTAAGTGCGATTCCCCTCGTCAAGTGGCAACTTCAATGAGTAACAATGAGCTCGCCACAGGTGGAACTACTGGTCTCATCCTTGCAGACCGGCTGAGTGAGTCTGGCGATGAGAAGGTACTGGTACTGGAAGCTGGGCCTGATCCAAATGTTGTTGCCATGCACCAAGCTCCTGGAGCCGTTGAGTATATCGCTGGTAAGATGAAATGCAAGAATAAGACTTTTGGCATTCTTAACCAGTCACACAGGTACGGCCATTGACTGGAACTTCTATACGGAGCCTCAAGAAGGCCTCGATGGTCGTAAGCTTGCATACCATCGTAAGTACTACAAGCCATCATAGTGCGCTCTTACTCACTCTTATAGGTGGGCGTGGTCTTGGTGGCAGCAGTATCCTGAATGGTCTCTACTACGGGCGAGGCTCAGCTAATGTCTATGATCACTGGGTTGAGCTTGGAAACCCAGGCTGGAGCTGGGAAGAAGTATACCCTTCATTCATCAAGGTAAGTACCGTCAGTGACGATCCTAGAGTCTTCCACTTATGCTATCAACAGAGTACTCACTTCAATGCTCCCAATAATGGCACGGGTTACAATCAAAAGTACCAGACCTGGGACCCATCTGCATACTCCGATGGTCCGCTGGGGATAGGGTACCAAGGATTTGTCCCGCCCTCGAGCATTGCTTTCATCGATGCTTGTGCGGCTATTGACGTCCCAATAGTCCAAGATCTCAACAACGGGAAGAATGTTGGCGTTAAACAAGGAACTGCCACTCTGACCTCAAAGTACCGCCGTAGTTCAGCTTACGACTATTACAAGGCTACCGTCAAACGGCCCAATGTCGACATTCTCCACAACGCCCCAGTCCAGCAGATCATGTTTTCAACGAATGCTACTGGATTCCCTATTGCGACTGGTGTCAACTTCATTGACCACTCTCAGGGTCGTCACCGCACTGTTGCCGCTTCGAAAGAGGTTATCGTCACTCTGGGGACTTTCCAGTCACCCCAAATGCTGATGGTCTCGGTAAGAACACCACCCACTGCTTCTTCTCTCCTGCGTCCGCCAAGTTATGAGGCTAACAAGAGACCAGGGTATCGGTCCGGAAGCCACGCTCGATACTTTCAATATCGAGCCAGTTTTCATCAATGAAAACGTGGGACAGCAGTAAGTCAACCCAAAGTCTTAGCTATGGCTTATGAGACAGTACTCTAATGGCATCCAGCATGATGGACCATAACCTTTACAGTATCTCAGCCACAGTAGTTCCCGAAGCTTCAACTCATCAGCTCATGTTCAACTCAACTGCCGTCGAAGCCTCGCAAGAGGAATACTACGCTACTGGCAAGGGAGTCTACACCGCCCCTGGCGGTATTACCAATGGCTTCCAAGAGCTATCAAACGAACAGCTTCAAAAGATTGGCGCTGAAGCTGTCATCGACGCTGGACTTACCAACAGATCTACAGTAGAATTTCTGTTTGAGTCATTCTTCTATCCCAATAGTCCAGGTCCCACCTACGAACCATCATCGGAGGAGTCATATATATCTATCTCAGTATCAAGTATGGTCGCTCTATCCAGAGGTAACATCACGATCCAGTCGAGCGGCATGTCCGATGCCCCCATCATCAACCCCAACGTAAGTTTTCATGTTTGCAACCCTCATTACGTACTCTCTACTAACTGCTTTCAGTACTACACTCACCCTGCTGATCGTGCCATCGCCATCAACGCGTTTCGCGACGCACGGAAGATCCTTGCCCATTCTGCTTTGGCAAACCTGACTGTTGGGCCTGACCATGGAGAGGTTGCTCCTGGTGTTTCCAACATTGCCTCTGATGACGACGAGGCCATCTTTGAGTACATCAAGGCTACCACTGTTCCCAATTGGCACGCTTCTGGAACTAATCGTATGCTCCCACTTGAGGACGGCGGCGTTGTCGACTCTCGACTTCGCGTCTACGGAGTCCAGGGCTTGAGAGTTATTGACAGCAGCATCATGCCTACAGTACCAGACGTTAACATCGCTGGCCCGGTGTACATGTTGGGTGAGCATGGAGCGGCTATGATTAAGGAGGATTGGGATATCTGATCGTAATGGGCTTTCATGAGAGGGACTAGTTTAGCTCATCATCTATACTATCAGCTCGTATGAGTCTCATTAAAGCAATCACTTGGATACGTTCATCTCAAGTCAATTTCGGTATACTGATCGCCCTTATCTGCGCCCACAAACTCTTTATGGATTGACCGGTATAGTTCGCCGGTGTTTGCCGGGCGCTAATATCTCACGAACCAAGCTATGTCACCTTGATCGGAAGCTCATGGCATTTTAGCCGAGATACAACGCGACTATAAAGAACTATCCTACTATCTAAGTAACTGATAGCCATGGAATCGCGGGGGTAATTGTCGTTCGTCTTTCCCCGCATTCGCTCATATCACCGGGTTTCGCCACACGAGACCCGGTCTCGTTTAGCAGTTCTCAATGTCATGATGCTGCTGTCGTTCCCATTTTACGCTACCATCCTGGTTTAGCCTAGAGTGGCAATCCAGATTCAAGGATGTATGGGAGTTCTACCGTCGCTTACAATGGAGTGGGTGAGCTACTTAATATCCCGCTGTAGCCACGCATTGACTCCGGGCACAAGGTTCCAAAGTACTGTCCCAACCTACAGACGGTATACCCACTCAGCATGGGCTACCTCAATCAGATCTTTCTCGTGCTCTTGCTTTGCTGTACGGGTGTGCTAGCAGTGCTCCCTGCATCATATGATGTTGTCTGGGATAAACCTGGTGTCAATGGCTCAGCTGACTCTATGCCTCTCGGCGGCGGTGATATTGGCCTGAACACTTGGTATGAGAACGGTAAGCCAGTCTTCAATTATGTATCCTCCAACAACACATTCCCGCGTTCAAGTCGTAGATCCCGTGTTCATGCGAAACTTCTCATTTACTCATATACCGTGTAACAGGCACCATCCTCATGTACATCGCCAAGAGCGGGACATTTGACGAGAACAATTCGCTGCTGAAGCTTGGTCGCGTCAGGCTGTCTTTTGACCCCAATCCATTCGACAGCAAGTCATTCGAACAAAGACTGCTACTCAACGACGGTTACGTCAAATACACTGGCGAAGAAAACGCGACTGCTAAGATTTGGGTCGACGTCTCTAACCCCGTCGTGCACATTGAGGTCGATAGCCCCGAGAAGATCGCCGTCAAGGTCGCCTACGAAAACTGGCGCTACGAGGACCGTCCTATTATCAATGAGGAGCGCAACCAGGGCTCATGGGGCATCTATACTTCCAAGATCGCAAACGGTACTACCTACGCCGACAAGATTGGCTTCCATGAGAATGGTGTACTTATGAGCCATCGTAATGAGAAGCTGGATCTCTGGAACTTTCAGATGAAACAACAAGGACTTGAGAAGCACTCTGATAAGATGTATAACCCCATGCGCGACAATGAGTTTGGTATCTTTGTCCATTCCGAGCAATTGAAACCCGGCGCTGTCACAAACGGCCACTACATCAACACTACTTACAAAACTTGGAATCTTGAGACCAAATCACCTAGCAAGTCCTTCAAGATCACACTCTCCATGTATCAGGCTCAGACTAAGAGTCACGACGAGTGGTACAAAGGTCTTCAGAAGGTCATCAAGTCCGCAGTCAAGAACACCCAGGACGCAACTATTGCTTGGTGGCACAATTACTGGGCACGATCCTACATCATCATCAACGAAGACAAGGGCGAGAAAAATGCAGGCTTCCAGGTCGGTAAGAACTACCAGATCTGGCGATACCTCATGGGATGCAACGCCAAGGGCGACTGGCCCACCAAGTTCAACGGTGGTCTTTGGACTTTTGATCCCATCTATGTCAATATCTGGCGTCCCTACACACCCGACTATCGTCGCTGGGGTGGCGGTACATTCACTGCTCAGAACCAGCGTCTTCTATACTGGCCTCTTCTGCGATCAGGTGACTTTGATGTCATGACGCAGCAGTTTGACTTTTACAAGCGCATCACTCCCAACGCCGTTCTACGTAGTCAGGTTTACCAGGATATCGATGCCGCGTACTTCTTGGAGCAGATTGACAACACCGGCTTGTCAAACGTGTTTGAGTATAATGCGCAGTGGTACGATGATGATGCTAATACTCCGAGACCTGATTTTTTCCCAGATGGTGAGCTCTGGAATGTCTGGCTGAACCATGTGCAGGATACGGCCAAGTGAGTACTGCCCACTACGACTCCTCCTTGTGTGAGATAGAATATGGGGGGTTTCTAACGATTGAATCACAGTGAGTTTGCCGATATGATTTTACAGGCCAACATCTACTCTGGGTTCGATGTCAAACCGTACCTCGAGTTCATCGAGTATCAACTTGCTTGGTTCGACAAGTTTTACACTCGCGAGATGCAGAAGCGCAATCCTTGGCCCTTGACCGGTATGGCTGGAAACGAATCCCTGGTCATTTATCCAGGCTCTGGTGCCGAGACATACAAAGAGTCATACAATCCCGTCTCCACCCTCGCTGGTCTGCGTCAAGTCGTCAAAGATCTCCTCATCGTCGATGAGTATGCACTCCAGAACAAGACGTACTACACCAAATACCTGGCCAAGATCCCTGCGAACACTTTACGCCAGCAACAAGGTCACACTTGCATTGCTCCCGCCGAAGCATACATACGCGTTCAAAATAGCGAAGTCCCTCAGCTATACACTGTATTTCCTTGGCCCGAATACGGTCTCGGACTTCCTAACCTCACCCACGCTATCAACACTTACCTCTACGACACCGAGACCTTCTCATTCCATGGCAACACTGGCTGGAAGCAGGACGTCATATGGCTTGCGCGAATGGGCTTCACAGCCAACGCTACTGCCATGACAGAAGACCGGTATGCACCTAGCAAAGTGTGCAAGTTCCCGACTTTCAAGGGCCCCAACTTCGATTGGACGCCTGATCTGAATCACTACGGTTCTGCTGCTATTGGACTGCAGGAGCAGCTGATTCAGACTTTTGTTGGGAACGACATTAGATTGCTTGCTGCTTGGCCCAAGACTTGGGACGCGCGATTCAAGGTTTGGGCTCCGCATAATACCACAGTCGAAGGGACCGTGAAGGCTGGTAAGATGGAGAAGCTCACGGTCCTGCCCAAGTCACGGAAGGGCGATGTCATTATTGGCCAAGATTGATCGCGATAGTTTCACTAGTGTTGGCAAGCAATCATAACTTGATTCAATTAGTTCCAGCTGTCAAACGTGTTGATTGATTGAGACCTAAAGCCTATGACGCTTCAGCGAGACATATCAAGCCAAAACACTGAAAAGTCCCATTCAAATTTAGCGTTTGGAAGACAATAATACGAGACGTGTATCATGTGAATTTTGCAATGGGTTGAAACGGTCTGTATGAGTAACGCGTGGCTCGCGGAAGATTCCAGTTTCTGTGAGGAGATGACGTCACGAGCAGCGTCAAGATAATGACTCGATGAGTGAAAAACCAGCTTTGCTTTATTAATTGTGGCGACATAACGCACACGACGAGTATCTTGTAAAACTAAAACGCGAACGACGACCGAAAGACTCCATCTGGGTTATTCTCCTAACAAGGGCAAGGGATGATCCAGCAATTGATCGGAATCGGGCACGGAATGATGCCGCAGAGTCTGCCATCGCAAGCACCACCTCCACGAAGCTCCATTTGAGGATCTGTAGTCTCAGGCGCCTTCTGGGGGTCTGCGCGATGTCAGTATCAAGACTCAAACTTGGCGCGCAGGTAGTCTGGGCGCGTTGCTATCTTACCCATTGATTGCTGAGACTTGGGCTGATTGGTCTCCAGAGACTGAGAATTTCTCATCTCGGACAGTTCTTGCGGCGCAAACTGAGAGGATGACATTCTGATGGTAGGGGAGATAAGCCTGAAGGTACGCGATCGAGGTTTGGGTCGATGATATGAGGTTGTTATTGAGGAATTAAGGTTGTCGTTCAGCTGACGGGCGCTGACGTTATATACGCGGCAGCGCGGTAAATGAACGTAAAGCATGTGGCGCAGTCACTGAATGAGGCTGTGCTGTCAGTTGGGTGGCTGCGCACAGGATCTACAGTACAGATCTGAATGGTTCCACTTTAAGTCAGGATACCCTAGAATAAGGGAATGAGTCTCTATTTATAGCGATTATCTGTGTTTGCAGCCTAAAGCTTAACCTTATAGGCCGCCGTCATCCATAGATATATAGCTAGAACAAATGTAATACCGAGTTTCAGTTTTATTACGAGCTCCCCAATGAAGCCAATATCTATACCAGCTAAGAAGAAGAAGAGCATATGCAGAAACTTGAAGAGGATTTAGACGATGCTAAAGAAGAAACATACATTTCAGTTGGTCCTGGAAAACCCGGCCAAGAATTCCACATTGGACGAAACATAGTTTAACAGAGGATAGTTGCAATATACCGGGATAAGGACCAATATCATCGGGTGAGCGATATTCCGGTCTTTGGTCCTGCAAGTGAGCTGCCTTGGCAGGTAAGGGAAATGAAACATGCTTGCTACAGATTTCATATGCTTACACGTCTAGTGCAGGGGTATCTGTACTATGGTCGGTGCCGTTGCCGCTGGGTACCAGAGCAAATGCATTAAATAAAACTCAAAGACATTTCTATACATTAACTACTAATCTTTCTTCACCCCGCAACAGCCTCCAACGATCCGCCGAATCAACTACTTCCGGACAGCCTTTTAACAAAAAGCCCCATCGTCGCACAAACCCTTCGCTCACTTCCCAGGAAGTTGCAAGCCATGGATGCCCCCAAACCAGAAAACCGCATCGTTCTATGTCATTGAAACCCTCGTAAACTCTCAGCCCCAAGTCAAGAAGAAGCTCATGGCTATCGTATCTATCAGCCATAAGTATCAGGTTGTCACGTAACTGTGGGAAAGGTAGTGCATTAACCCAGAAAGGGGGGGTTCTCGACCGCTGCAGGGGCGTTGCTTGGAGATCCGATGGTATGTTCTTGGCTGCTATAGTATCAATTTCAGACAAGCCAAACGAACTACGACATCCTGGCGGTAAGTGATGTAGTAGTGAGAGCAGGGATATATTGTGCAGCAAGGCACGAACAACGTTGTACTGGACCAGTGTGATAAGGCAGTGATCCGCGGACAGTGGGAAAACTATCGGGCGTGGTGGCTGAATCGCGCCAGAGAATGTTGAGTACTGCAACAGTGGCGGTATAAGTTTGTGAGTCTCACATTGAACCCGGCCATTTAATTCTGGCCATTGAGTTTCACGAGTGAGGACTTTGACCTCGGGATTCTGAAGTGGCACTGTGATAGACGCGTCATGTGTGACGTTTGTATGGCTGTACAAACTAACACTGACAAGCATACCATAGCCTTCTTGGTAGAGAGATTCGCCACGTGTGCTCGAAGTTTGAGATGTCTGTTTTCTGGCACCTAAAGATGTGTTAACTGAGGGTCTGGAGAATGAATAGAGGCGCTAGGATACAGGCAAATACTTACGCCAAGCTCTCTGTCTCAAGCGATTCTGTCTCTTCTTTCTCTCCACAGGATTCGTGACACCTTGCCAATCGTCCTCGTTAGAAGGCATATCGGAGGAATCAAGCCGACAGTACTGGGTAATCGGGGCACTAGACATGCCGAGCCACGCTGAGGAATTGTGAGAAGGCGTTGGGTTGTTCCGAAACCCTTCTGGTGGTCAACGCTCGAGGACAATCGGACTTGGGTCGTCCCGACTTATTTGCTTCAATGTTGATGTGCAAAACTTGAGCTGCGTATGGAAGTGTAACCTCCAGCCGATCATAATGTAAGCTTACTTCAGTGCAATCTGCTTTAGTAATCTGTCGAGGCTATCAGCTGCAAGTGCGTTACGCGCTAGTATGAACTCGGCTAAACGGTATGAACTTTTTAAGAATAGGTACCTAGGGTGAAAGAGATTGGTAATTGAGTGTAACTCTCTTGGACGCGCTGCATGGAAAACCGGCAAAGTGTCGTCAGTTGGTCGGTGCATTATAAAACACTGACTCTCTCGCTCGAATAAACCGATCCGTTACTGTATCTAGAGGTCAGCATTGAACTCTTTAAATCCGATTTTCTTATCCACGCATTTCGGCCACACTGATTGATATGATGATACATCAGGAAAAGCCAACTATAGCCTGCTTTGGCTCTACTGGAGGATGTGTGGCGACAGCCTTAGCAAGCGCACTGCGCGAAGGCTTCCATTGTACAGCTCGTACGCCTCGTGTATAACACTTATTATATGTCCTTTGCTAACAGATTACAAGTCATTAGGGACCCAGACAAGCTGCGCAATATTCTGATTACCCAGAAAGATATTCCATCGGATATTGTTGATCGATATCTTACCGTTCATCAGGGCGATGTGAAGGATCCTACTGCCGTCGCACAAGCCCTCATCTGCCCAACAAACGCCAAGTTCGTTGTTGACTTTATACTCAGCGGCGTCGGCTCACGCCCTAGATTCGAATGGAGTATCACAAGACCTCTCCCGCTACAAGACACAACCATCTGTGAAGATGCCATCAAAACGATCTACACTGCTCTCTCTAACCTTTCTTCTTCTGGGATCACCGGCACCACTAGCTCACAGAAACCTCTCCTCGTGGCTGTAAGCGCCGCAGGATGTGGGAGGAAGCGAGGGATACCTCTGCCTGTCTATCTGCCATACCATTACGTTGTGGGAGGGCCACTGGCAGATAAGCAAAAGATGGAAAATCTGATCTTGGAAGATGGAGGTCGCCATGTACGGGACTTTGTTCTCATGCGACCACTGATCTTAATAGATGGAGAGGCCAAGGGCGACGGGCAGCTTAAAGTTGGCTGGGAATGGGGCGTTGTTAGTGACGAAGACAGAGTTGAAGAACCAGGGCCTAAGCTCGGATATTTCATGAGTAAAGAAGATCTTGGGAAGTGGGTTTTTGACCATGTAATCACAGAAGGTGGTTGGGAAGGGAAGTGCATTTACTTAACCTATTAACAACTGTATGTATACTTTGGGTCAAGAAACGGTAGCATTGACTTAGTCTTTTAAGTACAACCTTTATTCCCATGCATTTTAATGATACGATTAGCTTTAGGTTATAGCACAAGAACATAGTTAAAGGCCTCCCTATAGTTTACACTGTTGTACACTACCTCGTGTCTTATAACAGACAATGGATAGGAGGGTTTAACCAAGACCAGCTTGCAGCCCCCAGTAACGTAAAAGCAGCTATACCATGACGGCGATAGCTTTATCCTGCGGTTCTGTCAATTTCGCCCTTCCATTCCGTCGCTCGTGCAGCATCTGCATAGTTCGTAGAGGTCAGCAATTACCCAAGATGACTTTGCGAGATGAGTAACTTACAGTGCTGAACTCTTGCGCCACGCTAATGTGGTCTTGATTCGTGGTGGTGGCCGTAGCCTTTAGAATGGTAGAAATCGTGGTATCTGGATTCATGCAGCTGCCCTGGTGTGCCAAGCCGGAGCTGGCAGCATCTTCTGGCCCTGCTAGCATGTTGGATGAGACTTGTATGAGGGTAGGTAACGTTGGAAGTTTGGAAGAAGGCAGTATGAGAGACAAGGATATTGAGTTATTGCCGTAATGTGGATGATGGTTTGAGAGTTACAAGTCGAGGTCAAGACGATGTTTAAATAGTTACCCGAGATTCTGGTGGTTCGCCCAGTTTGCGCGTTTGCGTTGCTTACTTTTGGGGGCCATTGTTAGTAGGCGGTTCGGTTTGGTGGCTGTGCCAGCATCGTGATTGGCTGTGTCCGTGGGAGGGAGCTTGGTTGAGTGCCAATGAAACAAACCAGGCGTTCTCGGTGCGGCGCAGCGAACTCCATCATTCATCTTATTGGGTGTTCACTTGCGCAATCGCGCATAAAAAAGCCGGAGGGTTTATACTGTTCGAGCTCGACAAACCGAAGCTTATGTCTTCATCATCTTAATCGCCAGTCTTGGTGGATTTTCAGCCCCATCGTTTTCCGCCTTTTCTAACATCTGTCCCCGGAACCTGATAGAAGAGAAAGTCTCTTAGTCTGGTTTGAATAGATATGTTTATTTATTAGATAGATCTGCTATAAATTCTCGGACAATTGGACCAAGTTGAATCTCTGTGCTTAGCAGCTCGAGCGGCTGCACTAGCCATCATCGCGGTTCAGCGAACCCGCAAAAAAGCTATTATGTTTGCTGAAGTTGGATTTAGATAGGCGCAAGAGATATAGTAAGGTCAAAGAGCGGGGCATCGCCAGGTAGTTGAAAGTGGGGCTGACGGCATACATCTATTTATGCCTGCATGACCGTTGCGCCAAAGGACGGGATTGTTGATCATGTATCTACCGGAGCATGATCAACAAACACCTCAACCCTGGTCATGAAGTCATTCTGCAACGTCGCCGAACTAAGATACCAGACATAATCATCACTGGAAGCGATATAGAACGTGTCCCAATCGGTATCCTGTGATCTTGTACACGCCTGAGAGGAGCCCGGTCCAGTTGTCTGACAGTCCAATTTCACAGCACTGCATCTGACAGAGGTGCCAGGACCGCCAAATGATGCACAGGTGAGAGGGACACTACCGTAGTAGATACTGTCGGTTTCGCACCGCGTGATCTTGGCATAAGGTAATCCGACTTGATAGAATGCACAGACGGTCACGCCATCCTGCTGGAGCTCTCCGGTCATCTCGTCAACTAGGAAGCGGACGGGGATGGAAGTCGAGCCACGGTCGCCGAAGACCATGGGAGTGAAACTGTCGCCGTTGGACTTGACTTTGTCTCCGAGAGCTGGGCCGTCACCCGCGGCGAGGAAGAAACCTGTTGGAACTGCCTCGGAAGTGGTGGTGGTTGCGACAGCTGTAGTTGTTTCGACCGATGAAGCCTCTGTTGTGAGGGCTGTAGTTGTATCGATTGAGGTAGCGGCGTCGGATGTTGTAGCCGTGGAAGTTGGCTCGACAAACGTTGTTGAGACGCTGACTTCGGTGTAGTCGGTGCTCGTTGAGCCAGTTGCAGTCGAAGTCTCGGCTACGGAGGATTCGGCCGAGGTCGAGGTTTCAGCTACATCGGTCTCGGTGGAAGAAGCAAACTCGATAATGGTGCTGGAGACGTCGGCGGTAACGGATGATGAGATAACCTCTGACACAACGGCCAATTGGGTTCATTAGCTATCGCGACTTCGTCATCCGGGAATAACACATACTCGAAGATGGTGGCTTGCAAGGGCTAGCAGCCACAAGCCCAACGGCCAGCGAAAACGAGGCGTAAAAGCGCATTGTCAACAAGAGACTAAGGTCAGAATTAGAGTGCCTGCAGTTTTAAAGATCAGACAAGATGTCAGTGGCTGTCGCAACGCCTTAATAAACTCTCCGGCCTGACTCCTAAATGTTATGGCCGATAAATGCGGTTTCTTCAGCTGGCGTTAAACCCTGCCAATTCGACAGACTATCGATTGTGAAGCGGGGCTACGAGCTGTCAGCTAACGCTCTGGAGTTTAACGGCTACGGAAATTACGCTTGGATAATCGCTCCTGATTTTTATCTCAAGAATTTTGTTCAATGGCGGTATCACGACTCAAGTCAACGACGCTCATATGAATATCCGCAATTCGTGGCATTAACATCATCTATGACAATAAATCAATCAAAGTCCGTTGAACTCTCCACCACCATCACGAAAAACCTCTTCCTCCCACGTTGCTTTGGATCCCCGCGGCTTCCGGCTTCCATATCGACACGTCTCGTTGATATCCATGCTTTGAAACCTATCATAGACCGTCAAGTTGGAATTGAGCGTACCCATACGAGGATACCTGTCCTTCTCCTCCGCTGAAGCTGCCCAGTATCTGACCTTGCTGCCCTCAAGCCGAATAGTAGCCAGAGGCTCATCGCCTTCTCTGGGCAGCAGAGCGGATCTGACAAGGTTGCGTAGCTTCTGGTGATACCATGGTCTATCCCACCACGTCTCACGTTTTTCTTTGAATTTGTTGTGATGCAGCATAGCTGGTACTGTTGAGAGGAAGAAATCAGTGTAGAGAGGCATGTCCCCCCAATGAACGGTCTTGCCGTCTTCGACCAGAGGGCTTTGAACCGACTTGAGATCATCTGGGATGTCCTTCACCCGTACTGGTGATATACCGCGTACCTCAGAGTTCATTTCGATGGACTCTTGGTCGCTTAACACGACAAAATCAGCGTCGAAGAGGTCATTCTCCGGGCTGATCTCAGTTGCGAAAGTCTGTGCAGATATCTCCTGAGCGTAATCAAGTCCTACGTGAAATTCGTAATTCTCCCCCACAAAGTCTTCGACATCAACATTGACGTGGTGATGTCTTTGCAACTCGCGCCAGACTTCCTGCGCACCGAGCAGTTCGCCAATCATACCCTGATCGCTCCTTAAAGGGAAACCCTCGCCGACCATTGCTTCGATCTTTTGCTTGGCGCGGCGAAACATCCTTCTCATATCGCCTGCTGGGCCAATGTACATGCCACCATTGATCCATCTAGGTCTGTTGTTGCGAGAGAAGGTAGTGTTCTTTTCCGTCTCCGGTCCATAGAGGTCCTCTCTTAAAGGAGACTCGGGCCAAAGGTCACATCTCAAATCCACTCCGTACCGTTCAGAATTAGAAGGGTAGCAACTCTTTTGCGATGCCGCAATGATTGTCTGCTTCATCGGCATGGGCACATCCTTCCGATTCCATTGTTTGCGCAATCTCTCATTGGCTCTTCTGTTGATCTCGTGGTATCGACTGAGAAGCACTTGAGCAGGGAGCTGGAACCAGACATCGTAGGCGTCAACAGTAAGAACTATATCGTCTTCCTCTAGCTTCTCTTCTGCGGTAGCATTAGGGTGCATGGCTGAGTCAAGGTAGTTCACCAAGCCGGTGATCTTAGGAAGATGCTTGCCAAGTCTCCAATGTGAGATGTCCCTATAGTCCACGCCCCAATTGATGATAACTGGACTTGGGTAGCCTAAGGCAAGCGAGCTGAAGATAGTCTTGCATAGATTCGGACTTGGGTTCGAGGAGGGGATAATGAATGCAAACCGACGGTCCTGGTCAATAGGGGCCAGTGGTTCCGTTGTGTTGACATTGCCCTGATGCCAGTCTGCTGGCGTTATCTCCAGCTTCGACCACCAGGATAAAGCATAGAAAGATAGAGCTAATGCCAGAGAGACGGTAATGACTTTGTAAATTATGGGTGCGCTCAATACTACCGACAGAGGTACCCTACTGGGCTTCGGATTGGGATAGAGCATGCTAGCTTTGATGTTTGCTTTCGGGCTGTGGCTCAGCCACAGGACTTCGGTCAGCGACCACGAGTGTAATACTCAAAGGACTGTAGTAATGCGCAATGAAAATGAGAACTATGAATGTCTGAAAGGGAAATTGGCAGTCAGATGCCTGTTGAGATTGACGCGGGGATGATTGTTGACGGTGAAATGTCGAAGTGCTTAAGAGGAGGAGATAACGACTACCCCTGATCTGCCCTTGTCTTGGTTGGTGGCTTGAGACATACCAATTTAATGGTTGGGGAAGAAGAATGGTGGCAAGCTTAACACCCCCTTGCGTTAGATCGGCTGATAACTAGTAATGCGAGGAGAAGACCCCCTTCGAACCGTTGAAAATGTCCTGAGCTTAATATTCTTATTTACATATGCAGCATTGCGCCACTAATACACATCTTCTGCGTAAAAGTGCGCTTGGTATTTTATTTTGCTGAGCCTCGGAACCAGAGGAATTTGAATGCGGAAAGAATGGTTTGTCTGACACTCACGACTAAAACATAAGCATGTCGCGTCCGCGTGCCCATGACAGCCGTAACGTAGGATTGTTGCTTGACTATGAGATTGACGTGAGACACACGACATTCAAAGCGTTCCTCTCGTGTAACCTTCAAAATAAGCATCATCATCGTGGGGAAAAGGCGGGTTAGTATGAATCTCCGTGTCTTTCTCCTTCCCCCAGTATTTACATCGAGTTGATAGTCGAGCAAGTCACTATAGTAGAAGATTAATGTTTAAATCATTAGAATTGACAACTAACTGACTAAGAAAAACCCAAAGCGTGTTCAGTCCATCAGTTCATAAACAGCAGATACACCGGACCCCGAAACCCAAGCCGATAGCCGATAGCCGATAGCCGATAGCCGATGTAAGGAAATATTACTAGCAGTACATGCGAAAAGAGCCCTAAATCAGGGACCGCATTGGCTGAGATACCAAGCGACAAATTTGACAATGCCCTGCTGAACCTGCGTCTTCGGCTTGTAACCAAGCATGGCACCCGCCTTGGAGATATCGGCGTATGTGATGGGCATATCGCCGGCTTGCTCTCCCTTTCTATCAATGCGTGCCTTGCGTCCCAATGTGTCCTCAAGAGCACCGATAAGATCCTTCAACTGAATGGTCTGTGACTCTCCAAGGTTGAAGACCTCGTAGTCAGAGCCCTCATATTTGAGGGCAGCGAAGATACCATCAATGATATCGTCGACATAAGTGTAGTCTCGACGGGAAGAGCCGTCTCCAAAGAGCGGAATAGGCTTGCCTTGGTGGATGAGCCTTGTGAACTTGTGGATGGCGAGATCTGGGCGCTGACGGGGTCCGTAGACGGTGAAGAAACGGAGGCAGATGCAGCGAATGTTATAAAGATGAGCGTATGTATGGCAGAGCAGCTCTCCAGCCGATTTGGATGCTGCGTAAGGAGAGATGGGCTGTGTGCTCTTGTAGTTCTCGTTGAATGGAGCCTTGGCACCAAGGCCGTACACACTCGACGATGATCCGAAGAGGAATTGCTTGACACCAAACTCTCTGGCGCACTGAAGTAGGTTCAGAGTGCCATTGACGTTGGTATCGAAGTACTTGTTGGGCTGGCTCAATGAAGGAAGAACACCAGCGCGTGCTGCAAGATGAACAATAGCCGAGAAGCCATTGTCAGCGAAAATGGTCTGGAGGGCCTCGAGATCCTCAATGTCGGCTTCGTAAAGCCTCAGATTCGGGTTCAGAAGATGAGGTGCAAGGTTGGCGCGCTTGATCTCAGGATCATAAAATTCATCAAAGTTGTCAACGACGACGACTCTCCAACCGCCCTCAGCAAGAAGAGCTTCGACAAGATGAGAGCCAATAAAGCCAGCCCCACCGGTAACGAGAATAGCTCGTCTGGGCTTAGAGGTGCGTATCCTTGTGATAATCGTCATGCTTGCTAGTGGAGAGAGGTAGTAACTGAAGAGGGTCTGGGAAAATGGAGAAAGTCGGCGGGTTCGGATTTGCAGCGGGGATTAACATATTTAGTGGAAAATAAGAGTTGCTCCCCTTTAAGGGATGCTTCAGACAGTCTGACCCTTTGGAAGTGTTGAAGGGTGAATTGCAATGCGCCACAATACTGCGTGTCTTCCGAATACCTCACTACTGCAAGCCACTTTGAATAAAATGCTCAAGATTAATCTCTTTGATCGATATTTTTTGAGTCGAGGCGCATCATGTGTTGAGTTTATCAGCATGCAAGACAGCCAAGAAAACCAGGGAGATGATACGCCCTACGATAAGGTGGCATTCTAAGATAGCACTAACGCCACTGTCTCAGCCGGGTTTTTCGATCCGGTCTTAAGAGCTTGGCGGGGGAGGAATGCCAGTGGCGACCATTGCAAGGGAGGATTAGGACTGTTTACATAGGGCTGCACTGAAATGCATTGTCTAACCTTAGGGTTCAGATGGTATGCTCTCGCTGAATTAGCGCGTTGGATTATATATTAAGAAGTAAAGTACTATTACAATCAACCCCTCGTCTTATCGGTACTGCCTTTTGGTTCAAGTGTACACAGTCCGATTGCACAAGTGTTTGCTTAATACTTCGGCCGACACATTCGGCCGTTATCGCTAACAGTCCATTGCTCGCTGCCAACTGCATTCCTGGCATAGAAGAATCCCTGCTTATCCCACTTAGCCTTCACAGACAACAACTTGTTGTAATTGGCTCCAAAGAACTCTGACTGGAAGTTGGGCTGGCGGAAGTCCGCCTCGTTCATGTACGCGCCACTGCCGGGCGTGACAGCTTCAATCTCGGGCATGATTGTATCAGTCATGAGGTTCTGGAGATCCAACATCTCTGACCAGGGAGCAGTGAAGTTCCATGGTGTAGTGAGGGTGGCGTGCACGAGGGCATTGTTCCAGGCTGGCAGGAGGGACTGCTTCTGGGGGTTGCTGAAGGGCGCGACGTTGGTGCCGACACCGATCCATGTGACGCCTTGCTCAACGATGCTGATGGCAGCTTGGGTGAGGT